CTAAAAGTTATAAAACCAACTACCTTAAATTTCCATTGGCATAATATAAATAATCCATAGCCAATGTTGCCTTTGTTTTCCTGGCAAAGGTCACAAACACAATTGAAAGATGAAATTTTTGAAATTTTTTTTCTTGAATATTTGTAAAGTTAGGGAGTATTTTATTTTGCTGGGGATAGAGTTCCGTTTAGCTGCATCTATTTGCTACGTAAATATATTCATATTTTTTGTAATTTATGTAAAGTTTTTCCAGCAAACTACAAAGAAGAACACTATTTTTTGTACAAACTCAGTTTTCAGCATTCCATTTTCTATTCTCATGCTTCGAACATAACCAAAACCCTTAGCGCAAGCGCAACATAGCTTTAATACAAAGAAAATAATGTCACAATGTGGCTCCGTTGTTTTATGTTTGGTGTTTCTAACATTGTATGGGCAGTCATTCATTGAAATGATTTCATCCATAAAGGTAGTTTGAAACTGTCGCAACCCAGACTCAAAAAGTTCGATCAAGAGCTTTAAGAGAGGTTTTGATGAACGAGCCCACCTCTATGGTACCTTTTAGATACCCTCATTAAACAAAGATTTGTAGCCTTTTACAAATTACTTTGATGGGCGCATTTTGCCTATTTTCTATAGCCCTTGCTACATTAGCATAAGTAGTAGTAGCTTTTCTCTAACGACCAAACTTCAAATTGCAATCCTATGATCTGATTTAAAACTGCCGGTCTTGTTCAATAATGGAGTCGTGACCACTTAAAAATGGTTTAAGCTTGTTGGTACCGTGACCACTAAGCATAAGAAGGATTAACGGTAGCAGCTAAAAAATTAAAGAAAGAAATAGAGTTGTTTCGATGTCATTTAGCTAATCCCTGATTATGATTATCAGATGAAGGAAACTCTCTGTCTTCAGCATAAATAGCTTTTTACTGATATTTGCCTCCTAACAGACTATTTTTTACCTTTGTTGCTTTTAGTGGAGTTTTATTTTCAATATAATTTTGCTAGCTAAAAAATGAAAAGTGTTTCTGCTTTCTTTCATTTAAACCGTTACCAACCAACACGATACACTTCAAAAAACTTTTATGCAGTCATATTTCAAATCAAAGTCCTTTTTAAAGGAAGATTTACTAAATTGGCATTAACAACTATGTACATTCACAGTGTTCTGTTTTGTTAGTTTGACCTGATTCATTTATCAGTTATCTTTATCGAATGAGATGATAAATGATCGCAACTAATCAAACTTTATTGGAACTTTTTATGTTTGACAGTTGATATCATGTCTGTGGTGAATAACAATTGCTTCTTAAGTACACAGCTAGAAACTCTGAAGTATATAGCAGCATTTGTGTAAAAGGGTTAGATTGTAGGGGTAGAGTGAGGGTAGTTCAACTTGCTACATGCAAGATAAAATTATTCCATAACTATTCCTTTCAAAAAACGTAAAGAACAATCTTTCTATTTTTATTTGTTGACAATATTACATCTCAAATTGTTACAAACACACTCAGTTTTTTAACTTTGTTTATATTTTTTTATATTAGTCTTTTTATTTGCTAAAACATATTTCTTTGTTAAATTCGTTTAATTGATCAAGAAAGAGCACCTTCGAAAAGGGGTATTAGTCTGAGGGAAAATGTTTTGAAAAATGTAGCAAAGGAGGAAAGAATGAATGAAAAAGAGAAATCTCTACATGTTGTGTATCATTCTAATTTATACTTGGTAATTGTTTCACTGGATTTCCTTCGCTTAATTTTTCTCAAAGTTGCAAGCATAAGTTGAGCCACTCATTTACTCAATCAATTTCACATTGATCATTCACTTCTATCTTAATTTATAAAATATTATATGTACGAAGCAAACTAATCCAAATTGATAAACAACTACGACAAATCGACAAATCGACAAGTCGATAAGTTAAATCGACAAATCGATAAATAATCGTATTTTTATCAAATTTGTCTCCTGTTTCTTTCCTGTCTAAAAGTGATTGGAAGTTCATAGCATCGATTATATTGGAATAAAATAGAGGCATTGAAAAAAAACAAATTCAATCAGATAACCTGAAACAGTGAAACAATACCATAATAGTAACATCTCAATAATACTTCATATTTTTATGATGTGACGATGCAATTTCATAATTTGAACGACTTCGTTGCTAATTGCATTGTACTTAGAAGAAAAACGTCGAAAAATTGTTCTCGAAAATATCCTTCAAAACAAAAATTTAGAAAATATTAACAAAAATGGAATCAATGAGCACTACTTAGCAAAGGGGTGAATGAACACTCCCCTATGCAACAAATGTTAGACGTTGTGCTCATTAACATGTTGTTGTTGTTTGTGTGTAAAAGGCGACAAGTCAATAGAAAATGAAGAGCTTCGTTCTAGGCATTGAGTCATTATTTGATTTTTCATGTAACCAATTTCGCTTGCTCAAGCCCATTCTGACACGAGCACATACTTCGTAATTGGTCACACAACGTCTGGCAAATTTAAGCTGTTATGAGCGGGCAGATACAAACAACAGAAATAGACGTGTCTCTAGTGCATATTCCAATTCTCTGATATAGAGCAATCACGGTTTTCCAATTTATTGCTAAACATGGCATGTCATCACATGATGAGCGCAAGCAATACGTCATTAATTAGCATTGCCTAATGACACCATTAGAAAACACCATTATATGCTATTTTCTAATGGTGAATTCCTGCTATATGCAGGGCCTGACCTGTCACGGAAATGCACCGATCGGAGGCAGTACTGCTGAAAGGTCTTACATCTCCCCCCTCAAACTTATTTAACTTTTGTTCTACAATAGCAGTATAAGCAGATTTACTCAAAAAGGACTTTGCAGATCCAGTATCAATTAAAGCTTCGTTCTGCAACCCATTTAACAAACATTTGACAAATGGCTGTGTTAGAGACTAGATTGGCTGTTGATTATTACAAACAGTACTGTGTCCAATTATATATAATCCGGGGTGACCATTCCAGCCTTCTATTTGGCCACCCCTTTGGAGTTTAAAGTCGACGCAAATCGGTTTGGAATATTTTTTGCATTAGCGACACCATTATTCTTTAAAATTCTGTTTGTAAAAAAACCCAGTTATTCGCACATTGCGAAGCAATATGTCCCGAGCCATTGCACATCTGGCATTTGAACGAACCACTGCTGAATCCTTGTTCCCTGCTTGTGCGTTTTTGGGGAAAATTTCTTGCTATGTGACCCTCTTCAGAGCAAAAGGGATATGTCACATGGCGTACTGGCTGTTGACGTCCAGCAAATTGGAAGGTCGGTTCTTCTTTATGAACAGTCGCTATGTACGAACTATGGTTCATCTTCAGCTCCTCCACTGCAGCTGTTAGCTTGCCCAGCCGCCCCTCAATAGATGTCGGTGAATGGACGACATCTGTGGCTGCAAACAAACAAGGGTGATGACCATGATTATCACATATCGCCAGAAACTGTTTGGAAAAGGAGAGCATCTCATTCAACTTTGAGGTTGGGTTATGTTCAAGAAGTTCATAGGGATGGTATTGGGAAGCCCCTTCATAAATTGACGGGATAGCAAGGCAGAAATGACAGCTTCTTCCAAAGTCAGATCCGCCTTTTTCAGCAATTCCTGAAGAGACCACAGAAAAAAACTAGGATCCTCACTACTACGCAAAACACGATCTTCAAATTCACGAAAATAGCCTTCTCGTTCAACAGCAGGACACAAGGCAGTGTGGAGACTGGTTACCAAATGTTCAAAGGTATCCTTTTCATCATCGGAAAGAGTATGAAAATACGTAGCAGCCAACCTTCGCAAAAAATGCAGGCGGTTTTACAATTTATGTTCGTCTGTCCAGCTATTAGTGGAGGCACAACAATTAAATTGGCGAAGCCAAGTCGGAAAAACACCAGAATCAAACTTTCCGGCAAAATGCTACTCGTCATTGCATCCCACCACTGTCACCAAATTGTTATGCCCGTGCAGATACGAACAACAGAAACAGACGTGTTTCTAGTGCATATTCCAATTCTCTAATCACCGAACAATCACGGTTTTCCATTTAATTGATAAACATGACATGTCATCACATGACGAGCGCAAGCAATACGTCATTAATTAGCATTGCCTAATGACACCATTAGAAAACACATGCTTCTACGGATGTGCCATCTAACATGACATCAAATGCGCATTGTCAGTTCCCTACGTTACAAACCCAATCACATGTGTTTATCGATAGACTCAAAGATAAGGTCAGCAATCTGTGAGCATTATTCGCCAGACGTTTGCATCACACCGCTTCACCTGGACACATTGCCTTTCTTATCACGTGTCAATAAATTTCTCACATGATGTATATTCTATGATGTTTGCCATTACATCAAGACAACGGGCATTGGAAATTTAGATCGTGTAGTGATAAACACTGCGAAGTTCTTTCATTACTGCTATTAAGGCTACCCGCGGTTGTTATTCCTTTAGACATCAAATCTCTATAGGAATGTCTCCGCATTCTTAATCAGTATAAACCATTGGATATAATCTTCAATGTAGGCTATCGTTTCATTGATTCTCGCTGTACTTTGTGAAAAGAGTTGTAATTCGACAAACGAAACAATTTACATCAATTCACGACTCTAGCAGTGATTGTTTGTTGTATTTTAAAGCAATCATTTTTCGTAACAGGTGCTAGAGCTAAAAACGTCTTCTGCTACGGACTTCTTAAGTTGCTTTTTCTATTGATTTCGGTCGAGTGATTCTTGTGATTCCGTCCTTAGTTTGTTTTGGAAAACCCACCCTGTGAAAAGATAAAAAAGGCCTGGATACCTGACCCGTCCCTGCAGGCTGCACCAGTGCCATACCTATCTTCAGACAATGGAGGGTATTTTTATCTTTCTGATCTCACACCTTGTCTTTTCTTCTTAGCAGTAAACATGCCTGCCGAATGCTTTTATAGGATTTAATTAATCAGGATAGAGTTGTATAAAATTTGATATTCTCACTCAAAGGGCGAGTTTCGTCGTCTGATTCAGCTGCCTTCAAATACAGATTAGCTTTTTCATTAAACGAGAGAATTTGAAAAGGCGATTAAATACAACAGCCATCTTGATTAATTATTTAGTGCTGCGTAACACCTACACAAAATACAACATTCACTTTGCTTAAGGATCAACTTAAAACTGTTCTCAAATGTACGCAGTGTCTGACTGTCATTCTCAGGCCTTTGGTGCAAAACCGCAGCTTCATCAACAGTTGTACGAAATCGATAAACCTGATTTTATGTGAATAAAAAGGCATTCTTCATTGAAAGAAACCACACAGGGTTGATTCATCACGTATTGGTGAGTTTAGTGCAAGAATTTTTTCCATAACTGTGGTTAAAATATATGAATAATGGTAGCAAATCATGATTTAACGCATTAGAATGCTGCATAATATTTGTATTGCCAGTACTGCGAGTCTCAAATAAATAAATAATTCTAAGAAAAATGTGATCACAAATTCTGAGTTGTCGAAGAGTTTAAGATATCTGCAGTTTATGAAGACTATTCTTTATATCGTTTAAATATCTAGAGTTTGTGCAGATCAACGATGACTGACAATTTGAGGCAAATGAATTGCAAAAAGGGGCGTAAAACGGCACCATTCCGAAGTAGCATACTCTTAACGAGAGCTTGAGCAAACGAATCTGAATGCACTGATTTGGCAGGTCAATTATGCATGGCTTTTTTAAATCTGTACAGCTTCGGTAAAGATGCCTTCTAATAAGACACATTTCGTAAATAAGGTTCTGTAGTTAAACCCAACAAGCCTGTTGCATGAATTCCGAATTCCATTAGTCGGTGAATGTGTTCCACAAACGCCAGTATTGAGAATTTGACATCTCAGTCTGGTAACTATCCTTCACTTTGTTTTGAACTCTTATCTAAATGGATTTCATGCTTTGGACAAATTAAAACGATGCAATCTGATATTATCAATGATTTAACAGCTAAAGAAATTTTTACAAATAAACACCAGCACTTTAAAATTTACATTTTGTCATGTTTGTAAACTCGCCATGAACTGCATGTATAAATAAAAGAACGTTCCATTTTGTTCTCACAAATGAACTTTAACTTTATCAGATTTTTCATTAACTTGCATTTGCATACACGATAAACGTTTTTGCGAAAAAACATAGAAAACAATATATCGCTAAAATAGCAGTTTAAAATTAGCTTACCGTCGAGCCAAAATGGTAGAAACGTTTCAGGATAGCAATGCTTATCTACTCATATATTTTCATAATATTTCTAGCTGTGATCGTTAAAACTCTTCACTGTTCATGTTGTTCATAGGACATTCTGGTCTATTCAAGGCAATTGCGATGATTTTCATGTGTATTGAAATGGCCTACCATCACAACCCTTTCAATTATCATGTACCATTATCCTCCTCAATATTGATCAGAGATTTTATGTCCCACTGGCCATATTTTATATTTTAATCGACCCTCGAGACCCAGTCTCACGCGAGCCTTGTTTCTCCTCCGCTAGATAGTGTCTTTTCGTAGATTGTTATCTATGACAAATTGGCCATTCTAGTTTGCCTTAATGCCTCAATGCTTAAACTCTTTAGCAGTGTCTTGATTGCATTGGTTGTGAGTGAAAATATATCGAAACGCGAAGAATTCATTGAAATGTTTTCGTTCCTGCCAGCCAAGTTCAAGCTATTGAAAAACATCTCAAATTGTTTGAAGACGCTTAGTTGTGGGGCTAAATCTGTCAGATCGCTGAATAATTATTATGAACTATTTACGAAGTATTCTAACACGATAGTTTCATAAAAAGCCTAAATTCATCATATTAATCTTATAGCCTAGGTTATAATATTCACATTTCTAGAAGCAAGTTTTCCTTGGACATGAAGATAGTTTTTAACAGCTCTACGCTAACGTGTGTCATCCTAAACTCTAGTTGACGCCCCTTGCTCCCAACTCCAACAATGTTTAGGCCATCTCTACCAGCTCAATGGCTGTACTGCAAGAAAAAATAACAAACACGACCTTTTACTTGAGATCCCTCAAAGACACGCATTAGACGAGGAAGTTTGCTTTATTTTGGAAAGATATTGACGATTGAAGAAGTTGTTACTTCTGCTCCTCTTCCCTTCAAATATCGACATACCTGCACACGTTTAACAATGCTCCTGTTTGTAACACAAGCAGGCCACATCGATTCATGATAATATAGACCTTTTAAAGGGGTTAGGGTAAAAAATAACAGTCTAAAAAGTTAAGCACGCTAGTCAAACAATGATCGATTTCTTGTCGATACTCACGAAGAAGAAAAGCTGTGTTTTGAATGAACCGATCTAGATTAAGTGGAGTCTAGTTCTAGTTCTTGCTACAAATTCAAATAGCATAAATCTACGCTTTCTAAAGAATAAAGATGTATCGAAATGAAGGCAGGTGTTTGACAGATGAAGAAATGAAATATTATTAATCTTTTTATCAATCTTTTGATGACTCTTTCCTCTTGGAATCGCAAGCAGTCATCTGTCTAACAAAAGACGAAGATGGGAACTGTAACGTAAAGGAAATTTTAATTAAAACAATGCTTTATTATGTTTTATTTTGAAAACGGCATTTGCAGATTTACTCATCGCGGTTCTTAAGGCTTTGGATGGGTTATTCTGGCGTTTCGTCGACTATATATAGACTCAAAGCCTTAAATCCAGCAAACTATAGGCTGGTTCGGCAAGATTGAAGTAGCAGGCTCATAGAAAAAGAGCCTTAAGATAGACAACACTACAGAGTGACCCAATTTGTGATCTCCCCATTCTACAAGAATTCGGCATTACCTTAAACGTTAGGAAGGCTCACATGCATCTACGCTTCTTCTTATTTAGACCGATATTTTATGGAGGCAAGCAACGCTCATGATAACGAGTATTTCCTAAAACCTCTACATAGTGGTGGCTTTCATAAGAGGTTTTCGGTTGAAGGCAGTAGCGTATCGAGGGGGAGGCAAAAAAGGGCGGACGCCTCCCCCCCAAAGGGCAAAAATTATCTGCGAGAAAGGGCGCTTTTAGGCGTTCAAAATGGGGAACCCCCAATTTTCCCTTGCTCATCTCGCCTTTGCCCCCATTTCTTAACACCCCGGCTACTCTACTGGTGGAAGGGGGCAATCGTTTACAGGCACTTGACTTTTTATTTCGCACTTCTTTTTAATATAATTCGTTGCTGATTTTCTACAGTATTGCCCACTTATTGCCATCCTTATGCGTACCTGATTAACATCGCTGCCTCTAAATACAATTATTTTTCCTAATGTACTTTCCCTGTAACACTTGTAGTTCAAGCCAGACGCATAATTTCTAACAAATTTATAGGCATAAAGTAATCACTAAGATTATGTATAATTAGCTACGGTGCTATTAGCTGAGAAATGTGAAAATTTTCTGGAATTCACTATCTAGGATAGCATAGAAAACTTTACTAGAATGTGAAATGTTTAAATAGAAAATTCAAGGACCAAGTTAGCCTTTGGTTCTCTTTAACATTTGGTTCTCTCAACATTTGTCTGTGCATTCTTCAAAATTCTAGTTTCTTAAAAGCCTCGTCAATTCTAGTTTGTTCTCAGCACATTCTAGAAGGTTTAGAAATTTGGATAGTGGATTCACACAGATCTGCTGACTTCTTTTCACTACCTCACAAAAAGGACATTAAAATCACAATCTCCAAAAATTATCGATGTAATATGAAACGTGGGCAGAGGTAAATAGAATTTGATAGCAATCTTAAAAAATTGCATTTTTATAGATTTATAAGATGATCTTTTAATCCCAAGACTAATGTGAAAACTAAACTAGTTCAAAAAATGGTGGGAAATGGCAAGAATTTGGATTTAGACAAAATAGAGCTTTTGAAAAACAGCTTGTCTCCATAGGCAGTTTTTTTAGTAAATGCGGACTGCTGGAAATAACTCAAAGGAGCATATAATCAGCAACTATTCAATAGAAATATTTAGCCATTAAATGACTATTCTCTTTACAATGCAATGTACGTTCAGGAATGAAGCAAACGACATCACATTCAGCTGCTTTGTTGCTGGTATGAAGAAAAGTGCTGCCATCAAAATAATTTATTTTGAAGCCTTTTCTATTTCCTCATTAATCAAAAATTTTGTTTTATATGCATCTTTGCTTAAAACACCCCGCTTTCTGTACTTTCTCCTAAATTTTTATTTACTATAATTCTATACTGTATTTCCTCGAAAATTGGCCGACATTCAAAAATAAGCAGATTCGAAAATAAGCCGAAAAATATTAGAAAAAACAGTAAAAATAGACCGACCTCGAAAATAAGCCGAGATAGTGCAGCCATTGCATTGCAAACTCCTTTAAAACAGTCAAACAACCGTTCGAATCAAATCATACGAATCTACTGGCAAACTGTTTGAAAATATGGCTCCTGGCTCCTGGCTCCTGGCTCCTGGCTCCTGGCTCCTGGCTCCTGGCTCCTGGCTACTGGCTCCTACAAGAAAGTCGTTCTCTGCTATGTTTAAAACAGAAGTCTTAAACTAAACTTAATTTTACAGAAGTATATTAAAGCATATTAAAGTATAATTTCTGAAAAAGACATTCGTATTGTTCTACAGAAGTGATAACTTTTGTAAATATCTACTTAAAAAGAATTTGTTTTTTCAAATTTGTCTTCTCTTTTTAGAAAAAAAATTCGAATAAGCAGATTCAAAAGTTGGCCGAAAATTTTCATTTTATAAAAAAATATGCTGGGGCTTATTTTCGAGGAAATACGGTATACTAAAGTGCAATACACTCATTTTTTATAAGAAACTGGCTATAAGAAACGAGTACTGGACAGTCAGAAAAAATTAAGAAACTTCAGCACTCGAAGCAAAAAAAATTAAGAAACTATTAAATCGTGATGAAACTGAGAACAACGAAATTTTACAAAATCCAAGAACATGGTTGCCCTGATGGCCTCGAAAATAAAACACAAGGGATAAAAATATACTTCCCACGTCTAGATACAGTGTCAAAACGGAAGCGAATCGCTTGACGTGATAAAAAAGTCATGAACATTTCATAACATCATTCATGACTTCATAATTAAGTAACTCTAAAGGAACAGTGAGTATTGAAATTTCAAGAACATTAAGAAACTGACATCTCAACATCGACCTTTGTTTCTTATAAAAAAGAGTGTAGTTTGCGTATGGTTATTCCATGCTAACTGAAAGATATCAGCAATGCATAGAAAGCGAAAACGTGCTTGATTAACTTTAAACTTTAACCATCGTACACTCCTCAATGTTTGGTAAATAATCAAGGATAATTCATACAGCTATCGACTAAGAGCATTTAACGTTTAAGCTGTTGAATGGTTTTATGGCTACTGATCCGTCCTTACTCTCCGAATTGAAGCAGAATAATACAAGAGGACACAAACTAAAATTATTTAGGAGACGGTGCAACTCAAAATGGAGTTCTAAAGTGATGACGTCACACAAATTTATCTTTAGAAGTTTTTAATTTGGATCACAGAATCTATAAAAGCATCTTGAAATACCTCTAAATTTGCAATTTCAGTCCATTGTGTTACGAATTGGCTGAGATATGGCCACATGTGTATTGGTTCTTTCCCCATCAAACCTCTGTACTTTGGCCTTTTGTTTTGTTGGCTCTGTTCATAACTAAATGAGTCAAAATAACAGTGATTCGTTAGCAAACTTCAAATCTTTCATCGGCCATGTCTCAACCGATTTTAGACATATTTGACCAATTCTGCATGTTTGAAAGTATTTCATGGTGATCTTTTATGTTAAATGGTAAAATTTCAAAAATTCTAAAAATGGGTTTTTGATGACGTCACAGAAGAAGAATCAAGTGTTTATCTACTGTCTAATGTAACTTGAATAACATTTTTCTGAAGAGCGAAGGTTTTCATGCTTTTGCCATCTGGGGATGTTTTGTCGGTGAATTTTCAAACTTGTCGGCAAAAAAAGATGGTTCACTCATTTTCATGGCAAATGGGGCCTGAACACTGGGGCGGCCTGAAAACTGATGCAAAACAGGAAAAATCAGACTACGATTTTGGTGACATTCCAAGAAGTTATAAGTTATTTTGTTGGTGTGATATGGAATTGTTCGGGAGATGAATCATGTCCGTCTACCAGACATGCACTAGCCCCCGTTTCGGGGTCATTGCACATGCGCATTGTCACTTGAAGCCTTGGCAGGAAGTTCAAGAATTGTGTGATCGCAGACAGAAAAGCTGTGCGAATACTGTTATTAATGCGCATGTGCTATGACCCCGCAACACTGATTGGTTTAGTGTGTATTGTTTCGAAATAAAGGACTGATAGTTTCGTCTCCCGAACAAATACATAAATCTATATGAGTTTCTCTCTCAACTCCAAGTGTCTTTAGGTTACGTTGCCCCTCCAATAATCAAGACGATCAGAATGTTTTATGTAAAGCCTTATGACAGGATACAAAATGCAGAATTATAACTCTGTCACTTTGAACATCCATCCTTAGAATATTTCTGATATGCGGGACTGTAAGCCTCCTTCCAACTTCGCGTGACAATCTTTACTAGTTAGAGATCTTCGATATAACAATACTCTGCATGTACCTTTTTGTTGGCAGAGCCGTCGGCATTCGAATCTCTGAATATTGGAAACATTTATATGGTCTGGTAACAAAAACCAAGACTTTCTGCTAGTGAAAAAGTAGGCAATCTCTTTTCCTTCAATCCCACTCAGGGCTGCCTCGGCGCCAAATTTTTTAGTTCTCACGGTAAAATAGCAAAGTAACGCAGGCAAAGTTGGAGAAATTAATTTTTTCTTGTGCCCATGCTAGTATCCAACTCACTCTGGCATCATGGCTGTTATCCCCTGAGAGACTTGATTTTACACTCAATGCATTCTTTATGCAACCAGAGAGCCAGGATGAGGGCTATGCTTTGAGATTCTCAGTCGGTTTGAAAAAAGCAAGATCTCTTTAGTCCTTTTAGTTATAAGCCAGCCTAAGCCTATAATTCAATCTGTACTGCATTGATCCGTCTATAGGCTCAACTTTTATTTGTTTTTGTTAGTGTGATCTTGATCGTCCCGTTCAGCAATATTTAGGGATTGGAAAACCCACACAAAAGATAAATCAAGTCTGTTGTGTTTCGATCTTCTATTGCTTCTAGGCTGAGTGAAACTGGAATGAAAATATTATGTTACGGAACTTCAATTCTTAGCTAATCGTCTTCAAGCATCTATCTCGCTTTTATAAATGGCCACAGAAAAAATAGACATTTTACGATTTGTAGCAGGATGCAATTTTTCTTGAACATCTTGTTAGGAGGAGAGAGGACTCACAAGCAATGAACCATCGTAAGTTTCAAAAAGCTTTTCTGCATTCTTTAGTTTAATCATACGTGTTCTATAATGGACTTATTATTGGGACAATGGTTCTAGCTTCATCCGATCCCACAAAAATAAAGGCTTGTATGAGATATAATCATTAAAGACTTCGCATTTCGTAAGAGCCGGCGTCAAGGTTCGCAAAGAAGACCCTTTGGCAGAGCAGCAGCGGAAAAAATATATTTCGTAGGCATTTACTGACGGCCTGCCGCTGCCGTTTAAGTTCTCTCGATTAAACAAGGTAATACTTAATTTACTTCAACAATCGAGGTTCTTAAAAATTTGTGGTTCGAGTCTGCCATCAGGAAAAAGAACCAACTTGTTTTAATATGTTATCTTGGCTCTTGACATAAATCTAGGATCTTCGCCATTTTGTTTCAGTTAACTTTAACAAAGGTTTATAAAGATAAGGATTTTAAGTGTTGTGTTTATAGTCGATTCAAATTTCACGATATCTGACATGAAGTACTTTGTTTTGTCACATTTTGATTCTATTAGATAAGGCATTACGCATAAAAATTAAGCGAGTTAATGAGAGCAAGTTAAAAAACTAGAGCAGGACCCGAACCTGCGACCAACGACACTGTATATCGTTATCGTTCTACTAACATTTTCTCAATCCTGTTCCTGCACTCACGTACAGTTAGTACAAATCGCCCCGAATAGAAATGGCATTTCAAGATTGAGATGGGACACTGTGAATGAAAAGTACCATTTTGATTTCTTAAATTTGTTTGTTATCAAAATCTTTACACTGGACCGTGAAGTCATGTGTTGGTTGCTAAAATAGAAAGACTTTTTATATTGTTTAAACTGCGTATGGCTTCTAATTTCTACAGTATGCCTGGACAAGTTGCAATCACTCTTCAGAGCAAACAAAACACAGCTCAAATAATAAAGTGAGGCATTAATGTGCTTGAATCTAAATTGCAGCCGCTGAGAGATGATTTGCAAAATTACTATCAAAGTAACTGCTCAAAGTCTTCACTTCTCCCCCTCGTAGAAGAACCGTTTCATCCTCGCAATAGATAGCTTGAGATCAGGGCAGAGGAGGACGGGGCGCAGGAGTCGGAGTCGAGTCTCCGTCCAGGCCCGATCGCAGGCTATGCAATAGAAGGCTTCCTGCAAGATTACGAAGTGGGGGAGCTGAAAATCATAGATTCTTGCATGTCGAATCGTTCTATCAATGGAACTATTTTGAGGAAGTTTATGTATGCCTTGTAGAAATAGGTAGAAGGTTTGATGATATATCGTATGCACCTTTAGACAATTTAGAAAAGCTTCTCTGTATGTTACAAATGAGCAAAGAATGGATACAAAAGAAACGTAGATTTTTCCAGACGAAGTTAAGTGCTTTGCTCTTGAAGTAACAATGTAACATCATTGGACAGAATTATAGAAATTTCGTGTAAAAACAAAAATCAACATCGATCTCTATCTGAAGTGGTCAAAGTGCTTATAATCTACCTTTTGGCTGGACTTACTCCATGAGCCTCTGTTTCGCTACTGCCTAGCGAAACAGAGGCTCATGGAGTAAGTCTACCTTTTGGCTCCATTTTCTTAGAAGGAAACGGTGAAGAATAGAAAGGTATGACAGAAATGAGATACAACACCTTGATCATGCTTTATTCACATTAGCAAAGAGCTCATAAAATAGAATTTCAAAAATGTTGCAAAAGGCTTTGTATAGCGAACAACAATCGCAAACAGTATTCTGGTAAAAAGTAAGAAGGTTTTTTTATCCAGGTCTTATCCTATGTTGTCTTTTATCTACATAGGTAACAATGGGACTACTCAAGTAACTTCTGTTGTGTAGCTGCTCTTAACTTGCTCAGGAATTTTTGAAAATTCCACTTCCTGCAAATTCTTTATAGCGACTCGCATCTCAAATTTTTCTTCTTAAGCATTGTCTTTATTTCTACAAATAATTTTTTTGCGCAATTAATTCATGTTTAACTATGCTCTCTACGGCATCTGAAACATTTTCAAGAACTTCCCGCCAAAACTTGCAATAAAGTACACCTATTTCACTTAACTCATGCATTCCAATGTTTGGTATTGTCAAAAATTCAAAAATAATGTCGCCAGTTTTAATTAGGGTTGTGCAATACTTTTGATAGGGTACTGTATCTTTTTACTGAACACGACCCCTCAAAAATCGACAGCTAGAAAAGCATTTTATGCTCTGATCTGCTTTTTATTTGATTAATTATACATTGTGTTTGCCATGTAGGATTAGCTTAAGTTTAATCCATCTGCTTAAGAGTTCTATTGTGTACCAGAAATTGAAAAGCTGAAAATACTTCAGCAATTGTTTTCAATCAAAAATGTTAAAATTCTTACCCAAGCGTAAATCTGTATACTGCGTGTGTAATCGACTTCAAACAATTTTCGTCTTTTTCTGCCATTTCTCAATTCTACGACTTTCTCTCCCCCGGTGATATCTCAGATATTCAAGGACAGGCAAAAAGTCTTTTCACTCATAATTCGAAAGAACTTCGCAGTAGATACATATTGAAGTTCCTGGTGAGTTAACGCGTGTGTGTGACTTTAACTGCTATAGTTTGTGCATCTGTATGATATTATTGTTAATGATACCCTTGATTCCAATGTAACAATCATAAAAATTCAAGATATATATATATATTTATTCAGTAGACCAAGCCTGACAGAGAGAAATAATTTCCACAAGGGTGCTGCCTAATTGTAAAATTTCTGCACCTGGTCGGAACCGAACGCCAATTTTCTGCATCAAAAGCCACGATCATTCCACTGAGCTATCAATATATGGAGTTCCACAACGCTCAAATCTTGCTCCAATTGTTTAATCAATTCATTGCCTTGTTTTAGGTATAGAGAAAGGGTTTGAGAATGTGGAGAATAATTAACTGGCGAAAATCCACAGCGGGCGAGTACGCAGAAGCAAGACGAGAAACAGAAGTGCGATATCCAGGTATGAATCCTCTTCAAAGAGACTTTGTATCATGTCTAGGGTCGTGAATTTTGATCACTTGCCAATTTGATAACTGGTATAGCTAATACAGGGCTTTTGAATTAAACATCTTCAATTCCTGACTCCCCTTACCTTTTAATCACAACTAACACCCCAATGCTATCTTTTTTCTTTTAACTTAGCTACCCGTTCTACTCATGGTATTAAAGTCATGATCTACTCTTGGGTTACCCAAGTGGTAGCGCCATGAACGGCAAGGAAATAATACTGAGCTAATGATGTGGGAAATAAAAACAGCAATTGTTGAGTTGATTCAAACCCTGAAAGATGAAGTTACTGAATTTCGAAAATGAGACGAAACCAAAGGGCTTTTGGATGCTACTGAAGAAGTCGCAGACAAATTAGAGTTGCCGCAACAAGCCATGTTTAACTTGGATGACTAACTAGGCCTAGTTTTGGACGGGAACATGCCATTTTGGTTAAAAATTGAATCCACAATTCAGCACATTTCTAAAAATGGTACTTATAATTCCGCAAACATGATGAAAACTATACTCATAATTCCGCAGAGAAATAAAGCATTCTCAAGACACAACAAAATCATCAATCAAATTGTTTATGTTCAATCATTCTTTAATTTCTATCTGGAAATTCGTTTTGCTAATGCTAAATTTCCCTCCTAATAGTAATAGTTTTGCAATTATTTCTCAAAATAGTACCCATAATTCTGCATGTTTCTTCAAATAATGCCGATAATTCCGCGCATTTTTTAAAAACTGATACCGATAATTCCGCGCTTTTCAGAAAAATGGTGCCCCTAAATAATGGCACATCCCTGTACCTCTAACCTATTAAGGTCCTCGTCGAAACTAGCAACTTAAATATCCCTTGCTAAATCCAACAACGTCCTTTTTTTATTACCCAGAAAAATTTAAAACCTTAAGAAAATTGAAAAATCACGGAAAATGTTTTATTCTCCGGAAATTGTCGTATTCTTTTGTCTTCTTAGGGACAGTTTGTTTTAAAAACGAGTACCCCGCAAACAATGTCAATCCCGACCTAAGTAGCTGCTCTTTCTTATAAATTCATGTCCTGTCATAATTTTAATATTTGTACGTTCTTATTGCAACTGGGATTCCATATTGTCTCTCCAGTTGCCTAGCCCCCTGTGGAAAGTCAAGCCTCCCCGTTGTAGAATTTCTAGCGCCACCGTTGCTCGGGTGTTGGTTTGAAGGGGAATGATGAGGCAAAAAGAGATGCTGGTGGCGAGCAACTTCCCAGCCACGCATTCCCTCTAAGATATCTTTTATAATCTTTTATAATTTTACTTGACTTTTATTTTAGTAGTTATTTGCTTTATTTCTAGGCATTCCAGAAAAGGCTTTCCACATGGAGCAACGACGCAAACGAAAGCGAAATGCAGAGCATTTCAATACTTTTATTTCCGACTCCACCCTTCATGGGCTGCATTTCTGCTTCGACAAAAAGCATTTGGCTCGTAGAATTATTTGGACATTGATTCTCATTTCGGCCTTTGGTTATGTTGGAGAAAAGATCTATGCAAGTCTGCTGCAATTCTTTCAGTACCCAATGAGCACAACAACTACTCTTGTCTATGACGAACCACCGATAAAACTCCCTGCAATATCCATATGTAACACAAACGATTTCAAAAGGTCAATCGTAGTGACAACAAAACTGGGCGACATTTTAAGGAACAAAACAGACAACATTACAGGAAGCGAGTATAGCTCTCTCATTAAACTGGGAAATCATCGACTTGTGGACATGCTTGTGACTTGTAGGCAAAGTCACAAAACATGCAATGTTAAGGATTTCGTTGAATATTGGGATAACTCAGGCACAGTACGCTGCCATACCTTCAATTCCGGCAAAACCGGACCAATAATGACTATTAACCGGACTGGAACCACCGAAGCGATTGAGATGGTTATCAATATACAGCAATATGATTATAACGATTTTGATACAGCCGGTATCAAACTCATAATTCACGGCCAAGACCAAACACCGATCAAAACTGCCGGTTTGCTGCTCGCTCCTGGTACCGTTACAAATATCGAAATTAGCAAAAGAAAGGTAAAATAGAGTCATTATTTTTAAAATTCAGGGCCCACGCTACCGGGGGTGGGGAAGGGCCATGGCCCCCAACTTTTTTGGTAAGCAAAAACATTTCCATAGAGGCCCTTTTTAGCAACACTTAGCTCGATGTATAGAACTTGGCCCCTCCACCTTGAAATTCGTGACGTGGGCCCTGAAATTGTCATTTAAAGTTGCTATTCTTTATGCTGAGGAAACAGGCTGTATTGAAGAAAGATGGCTACTGGGATTAAGTTCTTTAAAAAAGGCCATACCAATGGCTAATAATTTTAATAGTTTTGGCAACAAACTCAGTGGCTCAGACATACTACATCAATTTGCTGAACCTTTGTATTTTACACTAAAAGTCATGTTGCACTTTGACGAATGAGGAAGGATTTTTGCTGGGCAAAAGATGGAATATTTGTACACACTCTGTGACCTTCTTGCAACAATTGTAACATATTCACATTTTTGTGTTGTTGAACTTTCAAAGCATTTCATTAGAATATAAACTTTGAAACATAAACGCAAAAAACCAGAATTCAAGTGTCTTTATCTTTTGACCAAACCCTTAAAGAGTGGGACACGCCCTTTTTTGTCGGCATAAATCACCTCTTCCTCCCTCCAAGTAATTTTCCTGTCTGATTCATCGTTTAGATTCAGAGAGTATGATATCGGCTATCTTGAAAACATGGACTGCTGGAATGTTGGAATACTAAACTGCTGGAAAAGCGGAATGTTGGAATGTGAATAAAAGAAATTTAGCCTTTGCACCTTTCTATAAGACAAGTTTTCGTATCAATGAACCCAAATTAGTTATGAATGTACTCGTAAGCATGAAGTTATAAAGGTTCTTTCCAGCATTCCATTATTGCAACATTCCACATTCCATGTTTTCAAGATAGCCGTGTGATACAGTAAAAACCCGCGTGTAAGAACCTTCTCTTTTCAGAGTTTGGCAAAACAGGTTCCTGTATTTGACAGTCTAGGCTTAATAGGTTCTTAATTAACTTCTTAATTTATACTGTTTAGGTTTTGTTGTTGGTTATCAGAAAATAGCACTATACAGGGATGTGCCGATTGGGGGGGCGTGGGGGGCGTCAAGCCCCCAATGTCTGCCAAAGCTGTAGTCTATTTTTGCTGGATTAACCCAAAAAAGCAAAAAACTTATTGATTCCCCTAAAAACGCGAAATCTACACAAAGTTTGTTTCTGTAAATCTAATTTCCTTATACTTTCACACAATTATTTGTTCTAACTTTGTTATCATTAAGTGTATATATGATAATCCATCTCATTTTTAATACACATTTTAAGGAGAAATAGTAAGTCAAAAAAGTGTAGTTTGTCACTTTTTTTCTGAACGCCCCCCCCCCAAGACTAAATTGTTTAGGCACATCACTGACACTATATCTGGTCTATACTTCTCTCTAAATATTTGATTGTGTACTAATGTTGCCAAAAGCCTACCAACAATCGATCAATGATAATTACTGTTTATAAAATAGAAACTATAACTGTTTCTTAATAACAAATCAAATTTAACATACACTGTGCATTTTTAGTTCAAACTTAACATACATTGTGCATTTTTAGTTTTATTTTAATAATTCAATTTTCGGTCACCTTTGTAGTTTTTGTAAAAAAGTATAGTACTCCACATATAAGAACCTATAAGAACCTGCCTGAACAGGTTCTAATTTTTTGGAGTATTAAAAAAGCAAAGTTCTGCCAGAAAATTCTTGAATCCCAAGGTTCTTACACGCGAGTTTTTACTGCATCTATGTTGTGTATCAGTTTGTGCTTTATTTTGGATAGTTGATTTTGCATTCAATAGAAATTTCAGTAATCTCTCAGGGGGGCACTCCAACAAAGTCCTGACAGGGGGTCCAGTCGGATTGAGGGTCTTACCAAATGGCCCAGTTTCGATAATAACATTACGGCTTTGTTTAGCTTGCGATTGATTATAGACAATGAACAAGATTTTATTTGTCCCGGCTTCCTGAATCTACTACAGCCAATGGCGAAGAAATTTGTCAAAGAAAGACCAGGCCCGCACAAAGAAATGGATGCTACCAAGGACATAATTTCCGTCCTTATGCCGCCATTTGAGGGTTATTGTCAAAAACGTCTACCATTTGATTGTAATTTTTTAACGTTTTAGCTTTGGCCCTCTTTGACCCTGACTGGAACCCCCCTGTTAGGCCATAATGAGAGTAACCCCCTCCGGGAGTAATCTACACTACAGCTATATCAAAGCAGATATAGGATGAAGCCCTGATGGAACGGTTCCATTTGAAACGGTCCCAAATACTTCATGCTTGCGTTTACACGAGAACCTTGGGGCAGTTTAAAAGGTTCCGCTCCAGGACCCTAGCATTGTTACAAGGGAGGAGTAACATGCGCAGTTTTTGGCGCCAAAATCTGTAAATCAGATAATCGAATGGCTCATGTTTATTTTGGACAAGAACACACAGAAACAGAAGCTAGAAACAATACACCTACAAATGTTTTGGTCTAAACTGAAACTGAAACTGAATAAACAAAGAGATCTCATTTGGCTCGGCTCCAAGCGGTTCTGCCCGTTTACACAAGAGCCAAACAGAACAGTTCCAAATAGAACTACTTCTGTAGCGGAGCCAAAAGAGAACGGGTAGCAGGTCCCAATAGGAACGGTTCCAACAGTCCTCGTGTAAACGCAACGAGGCGTTGGAACCGTTCTGGAACCATGGAACCATGGAACCATTTGGAACCGTTCAATTTGGAACCGTCCCATTTGAAACCGTTCAATTTTCTCTCATGTAAACAGTGTCTTATGCTCGACAGCGTTGGATGGGACTCTGTTGCAGTCCGTAAAATAGGGGCTCTGCTCAGTGTTTTCCACAGGCCCCTAAATGCCTCCCGTTACGCCACTGCTTTCATGGCTCTTCCTTCAAATCCTGTTAGATACTTATATTGCTCAAGTTCACATCATTTTCATAAACTTTTAAACTTCGTCAACTGAAGCTTCTTTAACTCAAGCCTCATTATGGACCATTATGCAAACAAGGCCGTATTGACCTTTTTTAATGCTATCCCTGCCATTTTTAACCTGGGGTATTTTAGACTACGTTGTAAGCTTTTATAAATGAATTTTATATATCTGTTATTAGATCACTTTCCTTTTCTTAATTATAAATCATTTGATGGCAAAATGCATACATACATACATACACACATACATGCTTATTCTATGAAGTCTATGTACGAGCTTCATATATTACTTTTCCCGTGTCGTAGAGAGTGAATCTCCAGCATCCATACAAAACTAATTGTGGAAGTCTCAAGCTCAAAGCTTTCGATTCATACTCGGAGCATCTTTGCTGGCTTGATCAGCTGACGTCATATGTTGTTGACAAATGCGGTTGTGTTGATGCCTTCATGCCAGGTAGGCTTCCATTCGTCTTTATCTTTGAATCTTTTGACCGCGCGCCAGTTTAAATTTGGGAGGGCTGAAAAGGGCGTGACCGAAAAATTTTGAGGTCACACCTTCTAGAACACAGGAAAATGACCCTTTTAGAAAATACTGGTTTATTTCTACTGGGGTTTTATAAATAATCTGGTTCAGGGAAGATATCAATAGCTATAAAGACAGATAAAATTAGCTTGGGGATAATAAACCATCAAGAAAAACAGCTAGAAATTGAACAAAAGGGTTACCAGTCAAGAAAACTTGCTGTTGCTGAGGAGCATACTATCCAATGTTGCATTAGAGCATAGTTAGAGTAAACTTTTCACAAAGTTTTCTAATATATTATTGAAAAAAAGTAGAGGGGCTATAGCCCCTGCTAGCCCAATGGCTGCGCGGTGCCTAGGCTCAGTGATAACTAATCTATGCATTTACAAAACAAATCACGACCCGCGCCACTGATCCTAAACTGGAGGGGCTAGCAATGTAAAGAAAGTTTCCTCTTACCCTCTCTAGCTCCAGTTGGGGCAAACATTTTGCTGATGCTGTTTTACTTGTGGGCTTCGGACTTTATCTCCTAAAAGCTTCCATAAAAACTTAACTTTGTATATAATTTTTTGGTGCTTTGCTGTCGTTCCTACCGTTCCTAGCTGCTAGATACCTATTGTGACACTTGACATTATATCCATTACATCTCATTTGTCATCTAATCAAAGCGATGCTTCTGCTTACAACTTTATTTACTGTGGATTAAGTTTTAATACTTACGAGAATTTTGTCCCCCATAGGAAAACACAAGGTCTGTGACTTCAAAACAGTTGGATGCGTTTGGAATAATTGGGGTGAGTATGTTTATTAAAATAAAGAATTATTTCTTAATTTACTTTGTCTTTTGACTCTTTAAAAACTCCTTTTGCTTCAATATCGGGAAAATTTCTGAATTATGGTGTATTCCAACTTTCACTGATAACGAATTTGCGCCAAGAAAAATTCTAATTTTGCAATGATAATTTCAAATTCGTGCAACGCTAACTTTTTCATACCATTATGGACCTGCAATATGTGCAGTAGTACAGATCTTTCCAAAGTGATCCTGCCCTATCTTCTTCTCATAGTGTTCCAAACTAGACCTCTCTCGTCTGCCATGCATATGTTACAGTGGTGGCGCCAGGGGAGGGCTAGGGGGGCTACAGCCCCTCCATCGGAAGGATCTAGCCCCCCCATTGGAGGAAATTTTAGGTTATTGTCGGAGCAAATTTGACATAATAACGTACGAAAAGTGCTCATTTTAGTCATTTTAGCCCCCTGTCGGAAGCTCCAGCCCCTCTGTCGGAAGATTTCTGGCGCTACCTCTGATGTGTTAGTTCTTAATCCACCAGCTTCTCATATTTTAACTATACTCTTTTATTAGAGAGGTTTGACATCGAGCAAAAGTATCAATGCCCCATTCCGTGCGTGGTAGAAGAGTTTATCGCAAAACAAAGCTCTGCAATGTTCCCATCAAACGCCGCAGCAGATAACCTTGCAATAGACCTGAACCTAAGCGGAACAGCCATGGAAAACAGACTGTTCATCAGGTAATTTTAAATTTTGATTTGTTTTCTTATGATTAGTACATAGTTTGCACAGAAATACATAAATGAAGCCCAATTACACAAAAAAGAATATTAATGACTCAATAATTTGCTCAATAAGCTTAATAATAATATTGAATAGCTTTGGCTCATTAGAGCTCCACTTTACTTGTCTGAACTTTGGTGAAGCTGATACAGAAGAGGCAACCTGTCACGATGTCCTCATGTGAAAAGATCCATTCTGGCTATAAAATATCAAATTGATGACAAAATTGTTCCAATTATAATGATTAACAGTAACATATATAAGTTACTATTTTTACCTTCATTCTGTTTCCCTTCTAGCAGAGTAAATAACCTTATATTTAGTTTTAATTGTCTAGCTTGTTGAGTTACAATGTGTATGCCAACAAAAAACACACAGAAAATTCAAACAGGTTGTCCGGCCGATCACGATTATTCATGATTGATGGTTTTGGTCTGGTAATTTTAGTAGTTTTAGTCTGGTCGTAAAATGTATTTATAACATTTCAGAAAAACAAGTTGTTATATAAATGATAATTAGAAATTTTTCATTTACTTTTAGGGAGAATTTTCTCAAGTTTAAGGTGTTCTTTGGAGAATACAGCTATGAATTGGTTGAGCAGGTTCCAAGCTATGACTTGAAGGTGTTACTTGGTGAGAATAATGTTTATTTCTATGCCTGAACCGCCAACATGCCATCATATATAAGCATCCCTTCATGTTATGTCCTTAAGACCAAAATGGATCTTCATTCGTTGCAAAAGTCAGATTGCACACACTTACTGTTATATGACAAAAAGGAGATGTATAGTCACCTCCGCTTATATTCACTCTGGTTAAAGCACAAGAGTAGCTAAAAATACTATTTACAACATTCGAATGTCCTTATTATCAACTGTCTCCGCTTGAAATTCCACATCTTCGTCCTTATCTTCCTTTTTCTTTAATCCCTAGACTTACCTATTTCTTGTAAATAATTTTCAGTCGTCAGCATACTTCAGTCGTTCAGGGGATACTCAACCTCTCTCACTTCAGCCACTAAAATTGACAATTTTTCAGGCTCATCCATCGCGTTAATTAAATACTATTTGAATATTTGAAATTCGTTCGCGTTATCTACCTCTCATTTTAAAATCTTATCTTGCTACTCGCGTTAATTTGTGATTGCATTAATTTGTTCCGCGTTATTTGGTGTACCGCGTTATTTTCGTGTAACAAGGTATATTATTTCTTAGGTTTCTAAGAACTTCTAAAAGGTCGATGTTAATTTGTTCTTATATTGCATAGCTATAACATTTAATAAACCTGAAATAACGCTTTGCTATGACTCCTTTATAGATTTTAATAAGTCAATGAAACTTGATCCTTTTCAGTAAAAACAAATTATTTTTAGCTAATTCATTTCTATTTACCATTTCATTCCAGGTGACATTGGTGGCCAACTTGGTTTGTTTCTTGGTTCAAGTCTTTTGACATATGTCGAGTTTTTTGACTGCCTTCTTATGATTATATATACAAAATTTTTTGAAGTTCTTCTGCCAAGGTAACAGACCATCACCGCACATTCAATTTCTAGTCCAGAATTTGCAGACACGGGGCCACTGTTAAACTGGCGGGAATTTATCGCAGATATTCTGTAGCCCGCTCAGAAGGGCAATTCGTTCATGCAACCATAGTGATGCAACACACAACTGGTATATTATGATGTTAAATTTGCAATGACGTCACATCAAAAAATTGAATATTTGCAATACTACGAGTCAAAAGTTGAAAATTCACCAAGCTGTGTATTGGGACCAAATACCCACTTAATACAGGATTCCGGTTTTGCCTATGCAATTGGCACAAGTGACTGTGCCCGTGTATTGTGCTCTCTGTCGGTTGTTTAACATGACTGTAGACTGTTTCAATAACTCGTAGTTAGAACACGCCTTGTATAAACTCTGTTGTAAATAACAATTAGCAATATACTAGCTACGGCAATGGGATTGCTGACCCAGGTGCTATGTTTCTAGAAAGGGACTGTCTTCCTTGTTGCATACACCACAAGTGACTGTGCTCATGTATTGTGCTCTCTGTCGGTTGTTTAACATGACTGTAGACTATTTCAATAACTCGTAGTTATAACACGTCTTGTATAAACTCCAATGTAAATAACATTTAGCAATATACTAGCTATGGCAATGGGATTGCTGACCCAGGTGCTATGTTTCTAGAAAGGGACCGTCTCCCTTGTTGCATACACCACTGCATCTCGGTCTGCCAACCCACCATTAAACTAAACCATAGAAGCAAAGGTTTATGGGTTTTTTCAATTAACGTAAGAATCCCAACGAAGTATCTGTAATGATTGTCTTATAAATGTACATGTATCTTTGCATTTTATTTCATATAAATCTTCTCGCCAAACGGGGTGCTAGTATTCTTTGTAAATGTCTGTCTGGGCAAGCTACATCATTGTGAATCCTGTTATTGCAGTGCAGATTGCCATAGAAATGATATATGACATTCAATGTACTATTACATCAATAAAACTACAACATCAAGAAGACATGTTTGGACTGGCCTGGCATATACATATTGCAAAATTAGGTGTTTTGTGCATTAAGTACAAAAACTTTTCGCACAAACATTTTGACGAAAATTTTCTCGACTGAATGCTAATTAAGACGAAAATTTATCGCGATGAAATTTTATTGCTTTTAAAGATCATGATAATTGGTCCATTGTAACTATTGTATATCATCAGAAATAGCTTTTGTGTATCTTTGTTATCTATTCAATGCAAATTGACATCCCTGTCTACATTTTTATCGTCATCATGATTTCATTGTTGATGTTTTCGGGATGATGACATTTACTGAAACTGACACTGCAATGCTTTGTCTTGTCATTCTATCTACAAAAATACTGATTGTCTTCTCAAAAGCAGCTTAACATCAGTGCTTAACGAAAAATAAAGAAAAATACATAGCACATGTACATATATATATATAGCAAGAGCGCAAGAAAACTAGCAGACATGACTCCCAACCCGCAGACAGGCAGTCATCGCCCCAACAACCATTTGTCGCCCCAACAACAACCGGAGATAGTGAGGGCAACCAGAGACAGATTTCATAACAATCGTGCGTTTAATGAAGAAAGCATGAAAATTGGCGTGCCTATAGATTTTGACATGCTGAAAACGATAATATCGGGACCCCAACTGTAAAGTACTCCAAAGTGCTATTTTTAGCTGAACCAAGTCCTCTGCAACTAATTCTGTCAATTTTTCATCATTCTTCCATATGAAAATCATAAAAAGTTGTAGAAGTGTATAATCAGGCATCTAAACACAATAATATTGATATCTAAAAATGAATTGACCCCCGGGATTGACCCCAAATTTTATTTTTAGCTGGGATTTTTGGCCCCAGACCTCCAGGAAAGGTACTGATTATTTTTCTGTCATACCCGGCAACGAAATGCGAAAATCATAAATATTATAGTGATTAAAGCTCTTCATAGCGATAAAAGCAATCATATCTTTTAAATTGCCCCACAATCATTATTAAAAAGGGGTACTTGGGTCAAGACCTCTACAAATGTTTCAATTTTTCATCAACACAAAAATGTCATTGTCCCTGAGGAGTTTGTTCAAATCGTTGATTCAGTATGACAGTCGCTAAAGGACTGTCTTCTTGGTGCAAGTTGTACTAAACAGCTTTTTTAGCATTGGTATTAGTGCACAGTCCCCTGAGGCTACCGAAATTGTTTCAAGAAGTTTCACACAGAGGCATAAACTTTCAAAATAGTGAAATTCATTGAAATGATACTGTTTGATCATGAAATAACGAAAAAGATTTAATTTCTATTGAGCTTTCTATTTATGTGTTTCTTGACCAGTTCTCGGCAATAATGCCATATGGCATCATACAAATTTTTCAGCAAATTTGCATAGAAATTGAAAATACTTTATTTTTCATTTCAAAGTACCAGATAATAATTGCAAAAAAATATTTTTCCATGTTACAATCCAACCACGTAGCTGTATATGTCGGCTTAGGGTGGGCAAACTCGAGTAAGAACCATACCTAACGGGGTAGGTTTTAAAACAAGAGTGCAGATCTATATCAAACAGATATGTTTGGACTAAATCGAGCTCACGGAATTATAATTATGCCAGCTTTTCGAAATATCATTTGGAAAAAGTGTAGCCAGAAGGGGGAAGTTGTTGTCAAAATTTTCTCTCTGTCCGTTGGCAAAATCACAAAGCCTCCGAAACAGACGAAGACATGATTGACGGCCTCTTGATAGTTCTAGCCCACACGAACTTCAGAGAGTTGGATTATAAACGCCCTCATGTGTTTTTTACTAAACAATTAATTCACATTTCCGCTTGTTTCTGGGTTGTTCTGCTTGTTCCTTGGTTGTTCCGCTTGTTACTGAGTTGTTACTGGGTTGTTCCGCTTGTTCCTCGTTTTAGCAACGTCGATTTAAATGTTGTTGTTGCATGTCTAGGTGGTTGGACTTGGAATTCAGAATTCAAAATGGAGGTTAGTGAAAGTACAACAGCAAAGAACTCTTTTACCCCGCGTGACTGGGAAGATAACGATAGAATGAATTTTATGTTTAATGCATTTCCGAATGACAGAAATACAAATCCCAAACGTTGGGAAAGTAAAATGTCATACTGGACTGAACAAATCAAGCAATGTTGCCGAGCCTATCGTGATGTGTATGTCAACTTGGACCTTCTAAATGATAGATTTCGAAGAGATGGCAGGGTTCCACTAGGTATGAGCAGTTTTAAGAGTAATTTACAGTGATACCTCCTTGTTACCGTGGCTCTCAAGGTCAGGGCTAATATATTTATTGTTTTGTCTTCATAGCAAGCCTCCTGAGAGACTGATCATTGATTGATCACATTATATCTCAAAGTCGAGCCTGCAGATCAAAACTAATGGCAAGTTGCTTTAGGTTTTAGGCTCACAGCCGTTTGTGCAGAATGTCCTCAAGATTTTGTGCGCCAAGAATTACAAGAAACAACCAAATTATAAAACAAGTACTATACACTCTAAAAGAAAAATTTTATAAGAACACAAGCCTCAAAATTGGTCAAAAGTTAAGAACAAATTAAGAATAAACCGAGGCTGAGCTACTGTAAAATGAAATTTTGGACAATGTTTTATCTCAAAATTCTAGCCATGTGTGGATGCTTTTTGGGGAATATTCAAATGGGAAATGAAGGTTGTCTCATACCATTTGTTGGCAAACGAGGCCTGAACACCTCCTTAAAGCAAAAAGGCTAGCAATCGCACTGCTTACATCCTATTAAATTAAAAACAAATTAAGAACAATCCAACCTCAGATATTCAAAAAAAATTAAAAACAGCCAGCCTGAATGTAAATTTACTGGTTCTTATAAAAAAGAGTGTGTGTATTCTGCAACAGAGTGTTTCAGTGTAAATTTATACAGAACTTAAAATGGCTTTGAAAAAAGCAAATATTTCACAACATACTACTGAAAGCTTTTTCTTCGGACACTCTCTAGGGTTTAAAACTCAGAGTAAAGTGTCAAGAAGAACATGATGGAAAATATATAACTAGTTGTCCATCGAAATAGGCCAATCAGAAAAACTCAAGGACATGACTAGCATAGTTGTCCAATCAGTGCTGTGTGCCTATAGAAAAGTTACCACCGGAGTCTAAGAGAGAAAAGAAACGCCTTCTGTCTGAACTGCTAGATGGAACGATGACCAGGCTCTGCCAATTATCTGGAACATGTCTTCATTATAGAGTTTTGTACAGTCTGGGTTGTCTTAAAGGTGTTGTCCAATGCCAGAGTCACTAGTTTTTGCTGTGTTTTTAGACCTACAAGATTGAGGAGGCTGTTTTATTTCAGCGGGCAGTTTTGCTTCAGATTATATTGGAAAGAATGTATGTTGTCTTATTCTATCCCCAATCTTTGGTTTGTGCATCATACGTAGCCAGAATTACACTGGCACGTAAATTCATAAACAATGGAACTCTTTTAGGTGGTAAGATCGCAATCCTTTTGAATGGATGGAAGGGCTCTCCTAGAACTATATACAATAGGAGGATTGACAACAAAGAAACACTTTGTGATGGCCTGTTTTATCTGACTTTCTGTTTAATTTGTTTAATCTGACAGTAGTATGTTGTGAAATGTTTCTTTTTTCAAAGCCATTTTCAATTTTGCAAAACTTCAAATTTTTGGATGGCATTTTGATTTGGGTGTTGCAATTCTTTTGTCCTTGTAGTGTAGTATAATATACAGTTTTTTTAAAAGCATTTTGCAACTAAATGTGCCAGTTCTTATCAGAATTGTAAGATCAAAAACATCCACATCACAATTAGATGTTGAGAATTTTGCATGCAATAATTAAAGGACATGAGTGGCACTTCCAGTAGCAATAAACAATACAACGTATGATGAATGCTGGTGCTAAATTTCAGTAAAACCTGTTACATATCAAAGAGTAAATTTTCTTTTATTGCAAAGTTGATATTTTGTAATGTTAATGTTCAAACATTAGTGGACATATTTGAAATTGTGCCCTTAGTCATAAGTCATAACTATGTTTACAATCAGTTTCCATGACTCAACAATGTTTAAAGGTTTCAAGCCTAAAACCTAATGGCAATGGCCACTTGCTCTAAACTGCAAAATTTGCCCTGCTTTTTTCAACCTGTGCAGTGGTGGTTTGGTTTCCTAAATGCAGGGCTGCCATTAAGCCGAAGGGCCCAAATGGGGAGGAGGTTGAATGACCACAACACTGAAGTAAGAGCTACTGAACCTATCAGGCAATTGATTGGCTGGTAGTATTTGTGATGCAGGTTTTTCACCTTGTGTCCTTTCTCTGAATCAGTTGAATAACTTAATTGTGTATTTGGTACTTCCCTTACCTGTGTATTGTGTTTATTAGAATTGTTAACAGCGTTTTTGATTCATTTTGATTACCTTATTTGTGGAAAAGTCTCATCATTGTAATTTGATACTCTTAAAAATTTTGAAAGCTGCTAGAACACCTTATCATGTACAAAGAGAGACATGCTGAAGAGAGACACTTCTAGGAGATGAAACTTTCTTAGTTCTCAGGTCGACTTTCTTTTTGATCTGAATTATCAATTTCTATTGTTCTCTGCAACATCTGATAATTCATAGGCCAATTTTGTAGTCTTAGTAGTATTCAGGAGGGAAATGAAAGAAGTCTATGATCAAAAAAAGTATATATATCAAGCTATTTGCTTTTTGATTTTAAAGAATCTGTAATAGTGTTTAGAAATCTTTTTAAGTTTTTAATTTAAATCCTTATTCCTTTATAGCACTATTTGTAAATTTGTGTTGGAAAACTAATTGACTCATGTAATCAAAACTCAATCTGAACTTGTCTTTACCAACTGTTCCTTATTCCAGTTTTCATTATTTCAAGATATAATTTTTTGGCCATCAATAAGGTAATGTACCTAGGGCCATTGTCAATGAATTACCAGATTAAAGGTGAATAATACTTTTTCTAAAGCTCTTTGACAAGATTGCTAACAGCAGAGGGTTGGATGCCATCTGCCAACACTGGTTTAAAGAGCTAAAGGTGACGATAATGGTTTCATATCAGTGGCCAATGCTTGACCAAATTATAGGGGGGAGGGGCAAGCAAGCCTATTGTTTTGACAAGGAGATGTCACATTTGTCAATTGTTTTAGAACAGAAGACCATTGCTTCCCAATATATTGGGGTGACTGCCCCCTTGCTCCCCAGGTATCTGCCACTCTTTTCCATGTACTGTAGTATTATTTATTGTGTGTTTCATTTATGACATTATAGTCAGTATCATGCATTTTGTAGGTCTTAACACGGTAATGCTACAAATGGAAAAGGATGGGATATTTGTAAACAAAGAATCATTATTGAGAGGTCTGGAAAAATCCTGGTTGGGATGGAGTTACAGTCTTTTCAAAGGGTCTGCCCAATTGGTGTGGACATCATTATGGAAAAACAATTCTGCTGATGAAAAGAAAGAATATATTTTGCTAGAAAATGTTGAGGTAAGCATCTACTGTAGCTGTTGTTATGATCAATGCTGGAGGTGTCAATCAAAGCATTATGGGGTTTTAATTAGCATGAGTAGAAACACTTCTCTGCTGTGTCTGTTGTTGCAGAATGTTTTCAGAGTACAGTTAACTCTCTCTCTAAACGGACACCTCGTTAAGACGGACACTCGTTTGAAGTCCCTGACAAACCGTATAGGAAATGCAATACTATGTTCGTACTCTATAAGACGGACACCTCGCTAAGACGGACAGCGGACGCAATTTTTTTTGTTCCAAACACACACAAAATCTCAATAAAGCGGATACTGATAAAACAACTTTTGTTTGAAAACGATGATTTGAAGATTAATTTCCCAAACAAAGGTTACAACACATTATGTTTTAATGCGTTTATTGCAAAGACATATCCTATGTTGCTGGCTTCTTTCTTTTCTGAGATTTTCGCTCTTTGTTTCTGTCGACCAATTTTTTGCAATGTTCTTTTTCTTTTTCTAATCTGTTGCAACAGCCAGACCACAGCTCTTGTGTCGCCTTCCAGCAAATATACACATGGAATTTCCAGCCCGCACCTACTACCTCTATTTGCTTTTTCTCCTGTAACTCGAGAAGAAATCTTGCTGTTGTTGAATCTGAGGAACATTGTCACTCAAGCACTGATATTTTTGGGGATATGCCCAACTACGTTTCCTTCGTTTATCAGAGCGACGGCGCTTTTATCTTCTGGATCATCAGGCTCATGGATGGATCTCACTACAGCAGTTTTCTTACCATTCATGGTCACGTTCAAAACAGCCATCGGTTGAATTAATTTTTAAAATCTGTTCATTTTTATTCAACCAAGCTTCATTTCCAGTCGGGGTGATTAACATGTGTAGATTGAAACGGGCTGTTTTTTTCGAGCTCTACCTGATAAGACTTTGTCTGAAAAAGAGGGCGTCTTTGCAAAGGAGGCAAAAGCTCAAAGCTATGAGTAGCAGTTGCATTCTTTGTTGACGCAGCTGGAGGTAAAGAGTCAGAGCCATTGGTTATATGGAGAAGCAAAACGCCACGATGTTTTAAGTCATTAAAGGACAACACAAGACCAGCTAATATGCATTACGTTAGTAATTCAAAGTCATGGGTGACCAGCGACATCGTGAGCAACATCTTGGCATACATCAACCGAAAGCTAATATCAGAACGTCGATATGTTGTCCTGTTTTTAGACAACGCTCCCTGCCACCCACCTGATTTGAGTTTTTCCAATACCAAGATTAAAAGTCATTTTCTTGCCTGAGAACACAACATCGAGACTTCAGCTTTTGGATGCTGGAATCATACAAAATTTCAAGGTGAAGTACAGAAAACTACTCTTGAAACCATCAGATGGATAAAAGAAGCATGATTTTCAGTTAGTGAAGAAACAATCCGTAGGTGCTTCCAGAAGTGCGGATTTACCAACGATGCTTGTGCAGAGATAGACACCGAAGATAAAGAATTGGCCAAGCTTGTAAAAGAAATTATTCTTGAGATGTCTCCTGCAGAATATATAGCTGCATACGATGCTGTCCCATGTTGCAAAGCACCATTTGGCACAAGCACATGCGATTGGCGAGTTCGATCGAAAGTGTGAAGAGAGTTTGTTTCGATAGTGACAGCAATGACGATAAAGATAATGAAAAACACGAAGAACATGAACAGACAGTGCCATCCATTCAGGCTGCTACTCAAATGGTAGATGACTTGACGAAATTTGCGCAGGATAATTTGGAAGACAAAGAGCTTGTCATCTCTTTTGAATTCAACTTGCAGATTGCTACAAGAAAAAAGAATCCGGCGACTCAAGCTAAAAAACATTAGTGTCTACTTTTCGTGAACATTACTGACTACTTTTTGTATAACAGTATAATGTGCTACGATGCTTTTCAAATGGCAACAATGGTTTTTTGTTTGAGCTCCTCCGCAATCAAAACGGCAATCAAGACTGACACCTCGTTAAGATGGACACTTTTACAAAGTCCTGAAGGTGTCCGCTTTAGAGATAGTTAACTGTAGCAGATTGCCTTCAGGGCCCTTGAGCACTGAGTACAAGAACCAGAATAATTTTTCAGAAAACACAGTACCAAATCCAACACCAAATACTTTATAAAAAGAAGCTTCGGAAAAAGCAAACCTTTTGAAATATACTAAAGCTTTGCATCAGATATTCGTGGAGTAAATAATGTCAGAAATAGATAAAAAAGCCCTAAGCTAGGAAATATTTATACCTAGTTGTGGATCAAAATAGCCCAATGCTTAAAATGCAAGCACCCGACTGTGAGAGTGGTCCTATCAGTGCCGCTACCCATAAATATCAATTAATTGGAAGAGTCTGCCCTGTCATCAATCATTATTTAAACCATGTCTATTTGCAAATTGTAATTTTGTTTATCATTCTTTGATAGGATCTTGGACAAGAGCTGCTAAATAAACATTACCAAAATGTTAAGAGTGACATAACTGATCATGTCGTGCCTTTGAATGTTGTTAAAAATCTTTATATCACAAGTAAAAGCAATGTTGAAGATGAAGATATTATGCTGATTGTAGCTTACTTGAAGAGAAAAAAATTAGCAGATTTAAGTCACAATTCCCAAGGAGAAATGGTATGTCCATTAATGTCTTTATAGAATAATAAATGTAATTACATTTTAAGACTTAAGCTCTACTTATTTTCAGAGATAAGATTTTTATCACCTAGTTACCTTGTCCGTGATTGATATTGTAATTGATTCATTGAACTTGGTTTTTAGAAGTATTCTACACATACTTATGTTTTAGTTACATTATGCATCAAAGTTTTAGTACCTAGCTTAACCTTTTAGTTCTATTAGTCATGTCGCCTGGAATTATGGCACTATTCCTTCAAGTTGGAAAAAAACTTGCACCACTCTCATTGGCACCACAACAATTCCAAGGAACCTGGGAATTTCACACCTATCACACTTCAATCTCTACCTGTGAAAGTCTTCACTTCTTGCCTTCCTGATTCTTTTTTGACGTTCTAAGGAAAAACAACTTTATCGAATGAGAAATTCAGGAAGCTTTTCTACCTAACATTTCAGGTGTTTTAGAACATACTGCTTTAATGACAGATATTATAAACAAAGTTTGAATCAAACAATCTACCCTTGTTATAACTCTTCTGGAATTTTTAACTATCACCATATTCCACCTTTCATATCAAAATTAGTTTCAAATCTCTATAAAGACTTTCAGACTTCCATGGTCACACATAAATAAAATACTCCATTAATACCTATTCGCCGGGGAGTTCTTCAAGGTGACTGCTTAAGCCCTCTTCTTTTTTACATTTTAATGCATGTTCTACTTTTAAAGATATGCTGGAAGATCTTGCTGTTGAAATTTCCCATCGTCGTTACATCTATCTTTGTTTATCAAACTCGATGCACCTATATTATATTCTGCCGTAGAAACAAACCTTGGCCTAACCAAGAGCTTATTTCCATCTAGTATTCTATCTCAACCACCATCACTACAATCTTTATTACCATTATCAACGTCATCAACACTTTTGTCATCCTCAACAGCATTATCAACATCGTCATCATAGTTACATCATCATGCTTGTATTCATGCTGTGTACAACTTTTTTCCATTGTGTAATAGTTTTTTCAATGTTAATGTGGTGCTTATAAACTATCTTATAATAGTGAGCTTTGTAAGTAGTGGCGAACGCCTGGGGGCAGTCGCCCCTCCCCCCAGCATATTGATGGACAATGGTCTTTTGTTCTAAAAAATAGAAAAATGTAACGTCATCTTATCAAAACAAAAGGATTGCCCCCCCTCTAATATTTTACCAAGTGTCCGCCCCTGTTTGTAAGTGCTATATGTTTTTACAAAATAAAATGGTTTAAAAAAAGTATTAAGATTTTCATTATTACTGTTATTATCTTTGCTTTAAAACTTTTATTCATTACATCTCAGAGTAAAAACCAGTTCGGTTTTATACAAATTCCAAAAACCCTGTCCATTGGTTTCAGTTCGCTGAAGATGCGGCAGTAGTTACTGGTCAGGAAAACGAAGATCAAATTCGCTTAAACCACTTTTTTAGATGGTGCCCGTGGGCCAAAATTCGGATTGACAATCGCTCCACAATTGAAATTTGGAAAACCTCTACTTCATCTGCCCCTTTTCAAGCCAAACTTTTGGTCAATAAAAACAAAGCTCCTACTGTTGTCAAAGATAAATCTTTTAAATATCTTGAAAGTTACTTTAACTTCACTATGGATAACAGTGGTCATATGTCAGAACTACTGGAAGCTTGTTAATGTTTGGTATCAATCTCATTCTACCATCTACCAAGATCTTGCAATGCCGAAACAGCTATCTGTAACTCTTTGAGATTGTCCCCAAACAATAAGACCCGCTCTTTATGGATAGATTCTAGCACTGTCACGACATTTATCGCAACACAAAACAAGTTCTCAAATCCATCGAAAGTACCTTGTAATTTGCTAACCAACTTCGGTATAGTGTCCAGCAAAAGTTACCGAAAAACATTTACAACTTTCCCATCTAATAAACCACTAGGAAAAGCCTCCTTAAATGGCCAATTACTCTGTCCTCTGCCTGCTCTTTCTGTCTCCAATCAGAATCATTACAGCACATAGTCTCTAGCTGCAAACTTTATCTTGAACACGGTAGGTTTACCTGGAGACATGATTCTGTACTTCTATATTTGGCTAAAACACTTTCAACTTTGAGAAACAGCTTCCTTAATGCGCTGTTTCACTTTTATTAATCACAGGCAACTCCTATCAACCAAATCCTGTCTTCGTAACAAAAGATCAAAGCCTGAACATTCTTGAGCTCACTGCTGAGTTCGAAAGCTACATCGACAAAAATAGTACTCGGAAAGCTAAGAAATGCAGTGATCTTATCAAGGAACTGACCCCTGTTTATAGAAGCGTTATCTTTGTTAACCTTTCCACGAGTGGCCTTCTTTGGAACCTCATCTACCACTCTCTTTGAAAAGCTACCACTCACGTTGACTCCAATCAAACTAAATCCTGCTTCATGAAACTCATGAAAATTTTCTATCCGCTGCACCTACTTTGTCTTCTGTTGTCAAAACCAGCCATGGCTAAGTCCCGAACTTATGGATTTCTAAACATTGTTAGTAATGCAGATAAGCCAGTTATATGATGCATTTGAAAGCGAGTTGTATAATTGAAATTTAAAAATATATTCAATAAGAATGAAATAATTTAAAAAAGATATTATTTTTGATAGATATCGTTTGCTTTTCCGCATCACCCACTACTCGTTCTTCGCCCACTTTCATCATCCCATTTTCTCTCCGCTGCGCTGCATTCACGATATTCCATATCAACCAATCCGGAATCACCAAAGCACATTTTTAAATTAATCTACTCGCTCGTTACATTTACTCTGATGAAGCCCTGTATGCCGGGGCGAAATATTAGCATTTTTTTAATTTAAATTGTTCTAGAATTCTGTTTCATTCCATTGGATTCTCGTCGTCGTGTTTCTTTGTTCCTGACCATTACCTATTTTGTTAAAGTCTGCTCTTACAAGGGAAGATATATGGTTATTTGAATTTTTGTAAACTAGTTGAGAACCTGATGTTTTTTTATTCAGGTTGTAAAATTTGCAAAGAACTTAAGCAGCACAGTAGCTCCTGTTAACGAAAATGATTGGCACATAATAAGGCAAGCTTTATAATCTCAATATCTGAAGCTTTTTGTGGAAAATTTTGCATGCTATAAAAATTTTCTGTTTATTTTTAAACAAATGCTTGTTAAATGCAAATTTTCATTTCAACGGTGACAGCATTTCTAGATTTTTGTAAAGGGCTAGGAATTTACCGCAATCTCTCATCAAATTGTTTTTGAATTTTCGCCATAGGTTAATTTGTCTGTTTAGCTCGACTTTAATTTCTGCAAAAAACGTAATCTTACTTTAAATTTTTTTGCAATTTGATGTAAGCGAATGTTGTTGCTAACGATTTTTATTTTAAAACCTTTTCTATAGTTTATGATTTGTGTTTTCAACAGATTGGAAGAAAGTTTAACAAAATTTTTTTTCAACTTCAAGGTTAAAGAAGGCGATTGCCAAATTGAAAATTGAGGCATCCGATATTAAGACACAAATTAGCCGGTATGTTGTTAATATTTTTTATGTAAACAGTGGCACACTAAATGATTGACAATTTCAGCGAGTTATTTACCAATCTATACCTATAAAGTTTTACGCTTTTTAACATTAGTCTCGTCCATATATTTAGTCAGATAAATTAATTATGTTTAAGGATAGTTGTTGTCTGTTTTTATAAAGACATTTAAGTGACATTTTGAGGAGCCCATTTTTGACATTTGCCCACGTAGCCCAAAGAATTGAGCTCCACCCCCTTTATAATGGACTTTTGCTGTCAGGATTTAAATATATGCGTTTTAACATCCCATCATCGGCAAATGGTTGAGCCTCTAGTTGTATTCATAGTCATTGCTAGTATTTGGATAAAACGTGACCCTCATACACAAGCCCCTTCATCCAAAAGGTTGTGAATTGATAAGCCCTCAGGGGGCTAAATGTTTATGCTTGAAGATTCGATATTTTACGTTAATGTTTTATAACTGGCTTTGAAAAAAGCAAACATTTTAGAACATCCTTTTGCAATCCTTTTGACAGAAGGAGTTCGTTTTCACCTTAAGACTCAATTAGGTAAAATTTTCAATAGGCAAGCTGCATTGATTGGACAACCTCAACAGTCATGTGCTCGCATTTTTGATTGGCCTATTTCGATCCATAACTGGGTATATATATTTCCTAGCGTAGAGTTTTCGATCTATGTTTTGACGTTTTATACTCTGAAGAATGGCAGACGAAAAGCTACAGTATGTTCTGAAATGTTTGCTGTTTTCAAAGCCATTTTTATATTTTTTACCCATAAAAAGTTGTTTTAATGTTTCATGTTTTGTGTTTTGTACGATGAAACTGATATGCAAATTGGCTTTTTGCAGGCTTCAGAGCTCGGCAAAACTTTGTTTGCAGGATAAAGACAGGTCACAGGTAAGGTTCGCGCTATTTTCTTTCAGATGGACATTTTTGCAAAACGAAACCATTTTGGAATACTGTGTTGTTTTTTGTAACTCTAGGATGTTGGGATTTTTCTTTAAAGTAATATGTGTGACAAGTAATATATTTTTTGGTATCTAGAGAAAGATCACAATTTATTGGTTGAGGAGGGGGGTGGGAGCACCAATATTGTATATTCGCCAAAAATGATTACTTGACTCCCTGATCTTGACAGCCTCACGTGTTTTTTTTTGTTTCTTATTTTTTTTATTGAATTTCCTGTGCATAGTAGTATCCGAACTTAAAATGTGTTTGATAAAGTAATTACCGTTATTTCCTTATGGCTTTCTGTTATTCTGTTGCTAATATTTAATTTTTCAATTTTTGCTAGTATTTTATTTCTTGAGTTTTGTTGATCTTCAGCCTGCCTTGTTTCTTATGCTGTTCTTATTTTTGGGCAAATTTCTACCTGTGTTTCTTATAAGCGTTGTTCTTATGAAAAAAGCGTGTATTTGATATCTCTTGCTTTCGAATTAAAAAAGGGCTAAGACAAGAGGGGCGTTGCCTTTCCTTAACTGTTTGTTGAATTAATTTCTTTTCATGCTTTGATGGTCTGTAGTTTTCAAAATGCAAACTCCGCAAATTGATGATCACAAGTTTCAATCGTTTCTGCTTTGTACATATCTAAGCGTTCATTCAATTCTAGGCGAGGAGGATTATTTGCCAAAAGAAAAAGTTGGAGAAATCATATAACCTAAAGCAAGATACCCTTTTGACATTAACCGATCAATTAGATACAATAAGAAGTACTGACTCAAATAAAATGGTAAGCTTGATACAGCGTAGGCGTCAAATCTTGATTGGCTGCAAAAGGAATCGCCAAAGTGGGAGTCACCGTCGAATTAAGCCAATCAAATTGACACGAAGGACGAGGGTTGTTTTTAGGTTATTTGACGACAATTCCTCAAAGACAAAACCAATCAAGATTTAACACCTATGCGGCTTAAAATATGCTTTTATGTCTATATATATTTTTATAAAAATGATTAACCCCATTGATTATTTGACTGTTGACTGTTGGTTTTATTTAAACCTTTTGATTTTTTGCGCTTTGTTGTTTTTCCCTGAAACATATTAAATAGTCTAATTTCAATGCACTAATTTCGTTATGTTTAAAGGTTCTCGATTACTGAACCGGGGGTGGTGCGGAGCGCCTGATAAGATCTCTTAGTGTGAACATCGAAGATTGATTTTTGAATGTGTCGAGGGGTAAATCGATAGCGACTCTTGGAGATATTTTATTTGATAAGCTTCTCTTGAAGATTTATCGTTAATCTAGCACAAAATGACTAAAGCACGCGTTGCCTTTTCTGAGGACTTCTCTATTTTACGACAAGAGTCCCTTCTTTATATAACTGCTGCCCCATATTACGGCGCTCCGCACCAACCCGGCTCATTTCATGGAGCTGTTATTAACGTAAGCCAAAACTTATTCGCCTAAGCAAGACTGAATTTACTTTTGTTTTACTAGATTTTAGATGCAATTAATAGCAGTTCAACCATTTTGAATGCATCATTGGAAGAAGAAAACATGAAACCTGAAAAAATTGATGGAATTTTTGACAAGGCCCACGAGGTTATTAGATTTTTATCTATTTATTTCTTGGATTTATTTGTTTATTTGCAACAATACTTTGTACAGATTCCGGCAGAGGAAGCTTTCTTCAAAGATGACAGAAGCTGGGACGAAAGAAACCCCTTCACAACGCTCAAAATTTTTATCTCCAACTATAAAGAACCAAAATGTCTTATGCCCTGCAAAAAAAACTTGACTTTTAAGTTATCAATCTTTCACCAAAAGTACTTCAATTATGGTTTCAATTTTGTTTAAGAATCCTGTAAAAATATTTAGATAGTTTTCATTTCTTCAACTATCCTTTCTTTGTCTACAGTCATCATTTAGCATCTTTTGAAAACTATAACTCTTCAGAACCTACACATTGACATGAAACTAAAAACGAGCCACGCTGACATAAAACTTGCTTTAAACGAGACCGCATTTTGTACCGTATTTAATATAAGTAACCTTTCGTCATCATCATCACAATCTCCATTCTTTGGAATAATCCGTATTGATATCCTATGTAAATTACAGTTCGTGCATTATAACAGAACATTATTACAAATCACAGCTGGCACCCCAGTACCGCCCATTTATCCCATCCCGTACGATGCTTTCTACAACCCGAAGACCGACCCTTTTTTAATGTTATTTTAGGTTTATACATATTGCTTTTGTTTACGGGTTTGAAAGTTTAGTTCGTTGGCTTAAGGATGGATTGAGACTTTTTGAATTCAAGCCTAAGATCAGTTTAATCTAATTAGGATTTGCAAAATCCTGTTGATGTGATACGAAACTGACGTGGGCAGCAGACTTATGAATTATATTTACAATATCTGTCTATTTTGCGATGCCAGATTGCATTAGCTATTTATAATCTCCAGGCCTTCGTCAAAACATTCCTTTCGATACTTAAGCGAAGGTAGCTAACATAATATGATCTAATCCAAGTATAATCCAATACATCGATGGCTTAATCCTAATTGATCTCAATCTCCTATAATCATACTTAATCTTTATTAATTTTTATGCCAGTAAGAAAAATAGCTTTGTGAATCAAGATATCATGGTCATTTGAACTTAGAATGTCAGTCATTATTCTTCACAATTTATTTTTATTTATATAATTCATATACGGTATTTGTGTGTTTATTACATTGCTTTAGAGATGGCGTATGGCCGAAACAGAATCAACCACTCACTTGTCTACGGTTATACTTAAAGGGTTTGCTTCATAAGTCCATTACACTTCTCATCTAGTCGTTTGGATCAGTGGGAAGATCTAGTGATCCACGTGACGTGAAAGTCACGTTAAAGAATTTCCCGGGTGTCAGCTTATAGGCCTTGTGAATAAATCTCTATTATTTATGGCTTAAGAAAAAAATTATGAATCATTTTATGAGGATAATTTCTTCATTTTTCTTACCATGGTAGTTTTCAATTACGTTTTGTCTAAAACATTTTTGAAATGAAAGGGCGACTCTGGGTCACTCCATACTCATTTTCTTTAATTGAAAGTCTGTACCACACTAATTAGTTCATGTGATTACGTTAACACCAATTTCCTAATAAATTGCTTTAATTATTTGCAGTCTTCCAATCTCATGAGGGAAATCGATATGTCAATTTCTGGCGGTATGTCTTAACTTTATTTAGTATTCCTACGAATTGACGGATATTTCGTGAAAATGGAGTAGAATTATTTATCGGTTTTCCAGTTGGACTCATTGTTTGATCAAACTAACTCGATTGGTTTTTAATTGAAATAATGCAGGCTAAAATGCTACTTTTTAGCAATACCTCCCAGCAAGAGTGCCTTCCTAACGGTGTAAACCCTAAGATATCGAGAATTATTCAGCCCCGTTGCTCTTTTTATTCTGCCTTTCAGAAATAGTTTAAAGACAACTGAAAGAGTTGCCACTAGCCATGCTAACGGCCAGCATTGCCGCCTAAAAATCAACGAAAATTTGGACTATACTTTGCCTAAGTTTTGTTTAAATTTTGCATAGCTTTATATCATAGTAGAATTGCTGTCTTAAAGGGCATTAGCATCTCTACTTTCAGTATGGATTTGATTAAACTCTGAATGACAATATAAAGGGAATGAAAGAACATATTCTTTACAAGGTTACAGATGTTTTTGCAAGAAGAGCATGTAAAATTTGGATAATGACTGATTGAAACACATAAAATTTGTAAGGTTGATATTTTAATGTTCTCCTGGTTTGCTTATCAAACTGTTGACTCATTTTTTAAGGTTTAAAACAGCTAGAGGATGATGTTGACATGGAGGAACTAGAGAATGAGCTGGCAGATCTTTTGCTCGAGAAAGGTAGGACAATTCTAAAATTTTATCATGGACATTTGTTGCCTATGGTTTTGATTGAATAACTGACTTAAACCGATATCTTTTAACATCTTGCTTCTAACCTTTATTTTCTGTTTTTCTTATGAGTAGTTGAGCATTAAACTTTGATGATGAAACTTTTCAAGAACTGACACAGGGTGGGAAATTCCACAAACGCCTCAAGTACATTTATAGAGGACGTAAGGGGCGGGGGGGGGGGGGTGCCTAATCGGACCTCGAGAGTTGTTGGGCCAATATTAGCGATATTTCGTGACTCAATTTTTAGGGTAACATTTATAAGCCCCTTATTTACAAATTGTTCCTTTTTGAAATGTTGTAATAACGAATGCTTTGCAAATGATACTAATTGCCAAAAGACTTTCGCAAAGGATTCTGAATACAGTAAAAACTCGTGTGTAAGAACCTACTTTTTTCTGTGAAATTTGTTAAACCCCACATGTAAGAACTTGTTGGAAATTGTTTGGCTGAACAGGTTCTTATATTATAGTGTATTAAAAAAGCAAATTTCTGCCAGAAGGTTCTTAAAAACCCTAGGATCTTACACGCGGGTTTTTGCTGTATCTGAAAACGATTGGTGAATTGGCAAGCAAACAGCTGTTTGTTTGTAGTCAAGTGAACTGTATCTGTTTACCAAGCAGACTCACCTCATGTTCACTGGATAGCCGAAGAAAATCCATTGTTGCCTCCGAGGGGCAATTCACTCTTGGTGTACGAGATTTCCACCAAAATTGAAGGATTTTTAGGGATTGAAAGGGATTTACCGACATAGGAACAAGATTTGCCTCCAGATGAATGCGAGTGCTTCGAAGGGTGCTACCAACAAACGGAAAATGATTTAGGATAAATTTGGTCTTAATACTATAATAATGATAATAATAAAAAAGACCGAATTTTTTTCCTACAACTTCCAACAATGAGGCAAAAATCCTGAAATGACTAGTTTGATGAGCCCCCTGACGCCCCCCCCCCATCCATTGCGCCCTTGCAACGTACCTTTCATGCGCACACTCAACTTTGCAGCGTTCTCTTTGAAGTCGACTACGAGAAGCATGTAATTCAGGTCAAAGTGATTTCATCCAAAATTCATAAATATAATTTAAGCTGAATCAATTTTGCTCAAATCTATGAATTAGCAAGATCTTGCCAACGTGATACATTATATTTAATTGGGGAATTGAGTTTTCCAATAGATTTTTTCAATCCACTATCACATTAAGTTAACAAAGTTTTCAGTATTTTGTTGAAAGCAACAAAGTTTACAATTCTGTCTAAATGAAGAATTAGTTTATGTCGCTATGAACTCGCTCCATCGCTCCAGATCATCCATCTTTACGTTATTTTGCCACCTATCGGAGTACCAGGAATAAGGTTTCGCCATCATATTATCCTGCGTGTTGGGACCTTAGCTGTTGAAGTTTTAGAGAATTCCTGGAACAGTACATTACTCTTGAAGATGAAAATTGCGGGACTAAAGTTCTAGTTTGTTTGCAATAATTGAGGGCAGCCAATATGATTGTTTGACTCGCATATAACATAAGGAGATGATTTTAAGGATTCCTGAACTGAAATACCTTTAATTAAGCGGGTCGATTTCACGATGGCTGATAAAATATGGAACAAGTTTAAACAGGGTTTAAGAATGATAGTTGACATGAGGCACTTACACGTAGGGGAGAATGCGACTGCCAATAGATAAACAAAACTGATTTTAAAGATACGATGCCAGCGAGAATGAGCTAAAGATATGATGTCAGTTTTTCCCAGCAGGAGTTAACGAAAAAAGCAATGCGCAAACTCAAATAGTAGACCGGTCGTAGCTAAAAACGTTTGATTGCATTTTATGAGTCTTGGGTCACAGGATTACTTTTTGGGTTCAAGATAGCCAGTTTTATTTTTTTTGGCGAAAAATTAGTATTTCGATAGATAACATTGATTATTACAATTATTATTAATTACCGCTTGTCTTTTTCTTCATGCCCTTGGCCTTCTATAGTATGCAATGTCAGTTGAATATTGAGATTATTGATCTTTAAACACGAATCTCTTTTAGATGAAGAAACAGAAGGTTATTCCAGAGCTGTTCTAGATCTCCCGAAAGTGCCAACTCACTCGCCTGAACCTTCCAGTTCAGTCAAATTGAAAAAGAAGGTTGCTCAAGAATTGCCTAGCTAACCGGCTTGACAGCCATCTGCAAAGAGGACAGGCGAAGATTTTTGCTACTCATTTTATAAAATGTACATGCAATGCAGCAATTTGTTATCATATCTTATCTGCTTTCTGTACTTTTTATTACTTTGAGTTACTTAGTCATGCTAGCTATAATATGTTTCGATTGCGTTTCTTTTATGTTTTAAGTCGGTAGCTAAGATTAACCAAAATTGAAGAAATAGAAGCGAGTGGTGTGACGTCGTAATGCTCCACTTTAAATTTTTGTATTTTTGACAGCGAGAAGATAAACTTCTGTATGAAGACCACGGCAAGTAGCATAATTTTATTCATAAAGGCAATTCAATCGCGGTAAAAATTGACATTTAAATGCAAAAATATATCAATTTACAGACTGAGCAACATTTTAACAGAAAGAGTTTTGAATTTGACTAGGCTATGTGATTTCGAGACTGGTGCATTTCGAAACAGGGTCGTCTCATCCCCGGTTATTCTGTTTGGTTGTAATGTATACTTTTATAATTAAGGGCAAGTTATCTTGTTCAGCGTAGCTCGTGCAACCTGTGTCTTTCTGAATTAATAATTGTATCAGGTAGCCTGCGTTCAGTTGCTGTAAATGAGTGTGTAGTCCAGCCGTAGTAGGAATTTAATATGCACTAATGAATGAGAGAATTTAATCTAACGCGTTGTTTTTTAGAGTTTCATTTACATATGGTCCTTTTCTCAATAGCCTTATATGAAAACACAGATTGAAGGCTCTTGTGCAACCGGCATGCTTAGCGGCAGCAGACTTGAGAAACTGACTGTGTTTTGCATTTTCATGCAGTAAGAATTTAGGCCAGTTTTGAAAATATTCTTGCAAAGCATGCCGGTTGCGCAAGAGCCTTTCAGGTGTATTTGATATCATTGGTGTGTTCTCTTGAAAACATTTTCCAAATATATACGCAGTTGTGATACACACTTCAATTGAAATTACTGTTTTAACCTTTTGTCTAATAAATCCTAAAAATTAGTGGTTTGAAAAGTAGCTCATTTCAAATTAAGGCAGATGCTCTTGTTTTCACTGTTTCCCTGTATTGTATGTCGTCTAACTATATTGTATGTTTGTATGCATTGTATATATTGTCTGTTTAATCTAGTCAGAGGTATAAAAGTTTGGTTTTGAAGTGTTATGCGTATGCGAGAATGACGTGGGCCTAAAAAGATTTTTCTAAGTCCATTCTGTAATTTGCTTAAGCCAAATAAATTTCTCAACGGATTAATTTTAAATTTTTCATGAAAATAGATAGGCAATGTTTCAAATTAGTTTTTATTCAGCAAGGAAGGTTCTCATTTTAATATTTACTTTTGGGAAACAAAGCGCAAAATCTAAAATCAGCCGTTTTGCTTCATATTTCACACATCTTGCATCTTCTTCAGTAAGTTTGTCGACCTTGGAGTGTCCAAGACGACGTTAGAAGCCCAAGGCTTTATATGTGAAAAGTATTTCGAGCTGCAAAGAAGTCGCTGTGTATCGATCAAAGGAAATTCCTAAGTATGGAACTATGTTTCAGACATAGTTGTCCTGCAAAAGTCGAAAAGATGAACTTTAGGAATTGCATTTCCAGTGTGAGACCTGGTATCCTATTTTTAACTTGTGCAAATATAAATTACAGTATTATTATCAGATACTCTAAACAAAATTGTTTCTACATTAGTTTTTGATAGGTCCTCTTGGGATAAATGCACAAAATGTTCACGTTACTTTTCTGTTTCACATATAAGTAGACGACATATGGGCTAATGTTCTAAAAAGTTAAAAATGAATTTGCATTGTACAATATGCTATATAACATGCTTTCGAAGCTCTTATCGATGTACTTCTGCGCTTCTCTATTGAAACGGAAAACTGAAATGCTTTTCCATCCCCCTTACCTACTCTGTCGTTGGTTGTTAGTATCACTATTTTATCTAGATGTTTGCAGAGTCGAACAAAGTTTTCAATTTTCCTTCTGATCAATGGTTCCGTACCTTGAATTCTTCCATAAAATCTTCTTAGATCCGCCGTGCTTGATTGTCAAACATCGAGTGACCTTCTCTAAATTCTCTAGCTATTGCAATGAAACGGCCATTACTCCTGGACCAATTTCTTATGAACGCCGATACAGTAGTCTGGAACCCAGTGTAACTTGGTAAGAGATGATATGATATTTTACACAATTCCAATTACATGGTTTGAGGGTTAGATAGGATGAGGGTGGGGAGATGCTTTGAATGGATCGGAAGCAAGTGGATCTAGAAACTGAAATAATAGGTAATTTACCATCACGAGGAATCAATGCCTACTCTTCAATAAAAGTTTTTATACAACATCTTCAATAAAACAACAACAACAATGGAACAACATCTTCAATAAACAACAACAACAAAAAACAACAACAATAGAACAACATCTTCAATCAAAGTTTTTTACTCACAACTGGGTATACATTTTTCATCGTGATCTTTAGGACCGACATTTTATGCTCTGAGGAATGTCAAGCTATTGCAATAAAAATAAAAAAAGCTCTTAGCGTTTTTGACCTCGTTATCAAAAAGAGATATGCTTACATCATCGAAATGGCCTAAACAACAATTTTGACCGCACATTCTGGAAACATCTTACCTGCCCATCAACGTTATTGCTTTTATGATATGGCAAAAAATGCTTCGTTCTGTTCTTAAGGTAGTCCTTATTTTATTATTCATCAATATTGGCATTGATTATGTTAATCCTCATACTGACGACGAGGACGCAACTACAGAAGAAATCCCACAAACTCAAGTTAGTCATTGCTATCGGAATAATCGAGAGTAAGTTCACTTTTTGCTCCAGATTTTGAATAACCGAATCTTCCAATAATCATAAAATACTTAGAATGCATCAATATCTAATTTGAATAAAATTTAATGTCAACAACTAGATTCTTTAGCTTGGTTAAATGAAATTCGATCACGTTTGATATGTGACAGGGTACGCCTTTTCTGTGCCCCTTGGGCTTTTCTTGTTGGCACAGAAAGCACGACTGTGTGTCGCTGGAGTAAGCATTGCATTGTCTTTTTATACGGCCAAATTAACAAGTTTGCATTGGGTATATAAACTTTATGTTAGCATACATTAAGGACCAAAAATCCAGTGCCAAAAATTTCGGTGGATTGATGTTCAGTGGGAAGGTTTTCAGCATGGAATCAATGTATCTTATAGAGATATTGTCTTTCTATTGTCTATTGGCGTATAACCGGCATGACAATTTGAACTTGAAAATTTTAAGTGAAGAGAAAAAATTTCTGTGAGTAAAGAAGTGAAACACTCCCTGTAACTTATTGCAACTTCACAACATAAAATTTTTTGGACGCAATTGTAAAAGTTGCAAAAATCAAATATTTTGACATCAGCCCAATAAATGGAACCGAAGAGAAAGCAAGAATGTCATAAACTCTTATTTAGAGAATGTCTTTTTTATTTTATTTTTAACCAATAATTAATTGGAATCCTTTACAGCTCATAATATTTTAGATTGCCAATTGCAACAAGAGGATTAGAAATTATGATTGATTATGACTTGAAAATTGAGGAAAATCCAGATTGAAACTGCTGGAACTTTAGAAATAAATACTTTAGTGAAATTATGAAGAGCCAGTAGAAGCATCAGTTCAGACCATAGATAACTCAAAATTAGTTGATGTAGAAGGCGAAAGAGAAGAAAGTGAAGATGAGCTTGAAATCTTTTTTGTTGATGACAAGGGAGAACCAGAATCTGAGAATTGATATGTATTGGATGTATAGTAATACTCAAAAAAGATCAAAGGAACAATTTTGTTGTTGTTTTTTTTAAATTCCATGGGTGTCAAACAGCATTTGTATAGTGTTTCAAAATTTTGATAGGAAATAATTTCAGTTTGAAAGACAATTTTGAGTAAACTTAAGCTTTTCGTCTAACACTCTTTAGAGTTTACAACTTCAAAACAAAGATTGAAAACTCTACGCTAGGAAATATATATACCCATTTGTAGATTGAAATAGGCCAATCAGAAATTCGAGCACATGACTATAAAGGTTGACCAATCAGTGCCACTTGAAAGGTGAAAACAAACTCTATTTGTCTACACAATAGCGGTTTTTTGTGCTTATGTAGATAGATTCCAAAACTGCTAAATGGAACAACGATCAGGCTTTACCAATAATCCAAAAGATGTTGCCATTATAGATTTTTGCATAATCTGGGTTTTCCAATAAATGCTGCCTGATAGCAGAATCTCAGGTTTAGTTATACTTTTAGATCAGCAAGACCGATGTGGCTGTTCTCTTTGGGGATGAGTTTTGTTTCTTATACTAGACGGAACATGTTGTTTTATTTTATCCTCCAATCTTTGGGTAGTGCATCCTACGTAGCCAGAATTACACTGGTACATAAATTCATATACAACATAATTATGTAATGGACAACCTTCAAATTTTGTGGTACCAAGGCTCATTTCATTATAAAAAAACTGAGTCACAGTTTGGAAAAACACCAAGCCAGGTGTGATAGAAGGTTGTCCATTGCACATGAAAAGACTCTAGCTTGTTTAGGCATATTTCATTACTTTATGGATCATTTTTTATCTTTTTTTAAGGTCTTTGACATTGGTGAGCACTCTTGATGGGAGGTTTGTAGCACTAGACTCAAATTCTGGCAAAATAATTTGGAGTCTAAAGGAGTCATCAGGGCCGTTGCTCTCCTCAAGCCTTAGTTCTGTCAAGGTAACTGTTTTTTTCTCTCAAGATAAGTTAAGATTAGATAAGACCAACTGAATCCTTTTTTGTTCCTGTCATTTTTTCTTTTTATGTTCACATTTTATGTTTTCTGATACTTTCTGATACTATTACTTCTACATTGCAAGGAATTAGGTTATATTTTTTTTAAAAAGTTGATTCATCTTAATGTACATAAAATAAGGATGGTTTTAGAAAACAGGGGGAGGGTTTGGTATGGTTATCATTCTATCTTGTAATATTTGACATAGAAGATATTGTGTTTGAGCACAACTTGTTGCTTGCAATTGCACAAGCATTTGACTGCATATTGGGACAAGAAATGTACTGCAAAAATATACATTATGTAAGTTGCCCTGGCATCTATAAGATCCTGATTTTCAGAGATAGGCTGCAAGTATCTAAACATTAAAGAAGGTTTTCTGATGTAAGTAGAAAAGAGAAAAGACATTTATCAAAATTTTGGAATTTCTGCCTAGTTGCACTGCCTCCACATACTCATTAATGTATGTAAGGACAGATTACTATTGTTTGCTTGAAATGCAAAAATTTTTCTTAGCCTGAAAACTTTAGATCGTTGAAGACCATGCCTAGAATGTACTTGCTGCTATAAATGCCCTATCAACCAAGCAGTCAAATGCTAAACACTTTTCTCAAGCCCATGTTTTTATTTAATTAAAATAATCAAAATATGGCTTGTTCTAGAGTTCAACTTGTCCCCCAATCTCATTCTAGTATTCATAGCAATTTTTGTGTAAAGCTGCTATCATAATCAAATATAAACCATTTTTAGCACGAAGAAGACCGTATGAAGCTTAGGTATGTGCCTTCATTGAGTGGTGGGATTTTCCAGATTGAAAAGGATAAAATAGAGGTAAGGTCCTAAAATAGAAGGTTTAAAAGGGCCTCTCCAGCCAAAATTTCAATGATCCCTTTTTGATAAATAATGTAGGAATTAAACCTGCTGAAGTGCTGATCATGAGTTTGCTATTTGTTTTTAAATATTGTGTTGTATGTGCTTGCAGTTTTGACAATTGAATTTGAATACAAGAAGAAGACTTTTGATTGGTCACACTGCTATATTTGCATCACTTGGTCTGTCTATGTGAAGTCTATGTGAAGCAGCAGTATCACCTAATTGATTTGTCTTTGTTTTTCTGGAAAAAGTCAATTTTTAGCTGCATTAGCTAATTAGTAATTTAAATTTTGATTCTTAAAACATTTTTATCACACAACACACATCAAGAGCTATCTTTTGAATCAATAGCAAAAACAATAATTTTTGATGACTTTTTTGGCAGGCTGTTCCATTCTCAGCAGATATATTGCTTGGAAAATTCCAGAAGTTGCCAGATGGAACCGATATAGTGGGTGGAAAAGATATCAAAAGTTTTGGTATTGATGCAGAGACAGGAAATGTATGTGCAGTAGTTTTTGTACAAAGCTTTAATACTTCCGTTTCTTACAAATTAAACTACCAACCATATTCTAGTGTTAATACTTCTGTTTCTTTGAAATCAAACTACAACCACATTCTAGTGCCATGGCTGGAAAACTGGATTTGCTGTATGCTATATTTCATCCATTCTTTTCTAGGTACTTTATGAGTGCAATATAAATGGCTGCAAACCTGTTGCTAATAGATGGCATTTGTCAGAAAGAGATATTTTTGTTATTAGAAGAACTCAGAAAGTAGTTCGGGCTGTTGATTTGAAGACTGGTGAGGAAAGGTATTAGAGAAGTTTCTTTTCTAAAAATTTTTGTATGCTGTGTTTTGTAACCATGCAAGTAAACATTTTTTGTACTAGTGATATGATTTTTTAAAACATTAGTTTGACAGCACAGATGAGCAGAAACTAAAATATGTGGACAACAGCAAATAAGTTCATGAGTTTCAGTTCAAAAAGATAAATGCAGCATGTTAAAAATAAGCATTTCAGTGATAAGATATCCTTGGTGTAAAGATCCAGGCTGCAACTCCAAGTTTCGAGCTAAGTACTGTCCTTAGGCAACTGTTGAGTGTGTAACTACAACTCTGCCTATTTGACAGACTGACAAACAGTAACTTTCAATGACAATTTAATTTGAAACTAAGTCATGTTATTTGAATATGATTATGATTGAAAAGAAACCAATTACAGTGGTAATTCTTCTTATAGCAATATGAGCCTGATTTTGTACCCTAAAAGCCTGTAAAATAAGAGACCTGTCTCAGTGCTTTTCCTTAGGGTCCCAGGTGCATCCGTTATGTCACTGATTGATATGCTGTTTTCTGAACATTTATTCCTTGACTATTTTATAATTTAAAAACAAATGTTTAAGATGTTTGAAAGCTTAATTCTTTGTTAATCATAAGTGCTAAGGCTATGCAAACATTTCAGGTGGAATTTTTCAGTTGGGAATTTTGATGTCAGTTATCTAGACTCGCCTGGCCACCAGCAAAGCTGTGAGAAATATTCAGAAAATTCAAATTTAAAAATGAAATTCAATGTAGCAAAAGGACTTTTGGAGGCATTTAGACAAAACAGTGAGACTGATGTTGAGTGGAGTTTCAGATTTGACTCACCAATAGCAGACGTCTGGAAGCTTGATAATAAAGTCATTAAACCAGTGGATATATTAAGATATGGGTTATTGAAAGACATGATGGATAATGAAATATCAAGGGAACCAATCCTGTACCTTGGTGTGTATTTTTCGAATAGTTATTTGTATTATGATGTAAATTATCAAAGCTCTTTGCGTGTTGAAATATTTGTTTCAATTAGGATCTTTCATTGTATTCTATCACACACAAGGAAAGTATTAAAAAATATTAAGCAACCAAATATACTGAAAAATTAGCATCAACATTAGCATATCTAGAACTGTTTTTGTCCTAAATTTTTGTGTAAGTTGCTGGCTTTTTCTGTCCATATACCCTTTTTCTTTATAGGCCTTTTTATCAGTTTATTGACGCAGTCTATTAAACTACAGGGTCTTGCTATTTTCTGGCATCAAGAATATTGATTTTTCACCGCTGAAAGCCAAATTTCTTACAGATTTTTTTTCCACATTAGGCGTATACGAAGGTCAAATGTATGCACAGTCATTGCAGTTCAATATGCCCCAAAGGCTACCAAAAGATCCTTCATTAGATCACGAAGGAGCTTCAAATTCAAATGAAGTGTCATTGTTTGGACAACCTTATCTTGGTACTTGGCGACCATACATTGGAAGTTCACCATCTAGAACACCCTCTCTCATGAACAAGAATGGCTTAACAGTTTGGAACCAGCTTGACTACCCTTTCGGTAAGCCAATCAGATATTGTTTGTTCTGCTTCTTGGCTTCGTTTTTAATAGCCAATCATAGCTTTTGATTCATTTCCGTTGTCAATTATCTTTAAGGGCTAATTTTTAGCTTTAATGTTCATTGATTCAGGTTTCACATCAATATTTTTAGTTCATAATGGCTTTAAAAAAGCAAACATATGTTTGCTTGTCTTTTTTTGCTTTTTAAAAGCCGTTTCAAGTTCTGTACCGCCAAAAATTTGATCACATTTTTAGTTCAATACACCATGTGGAATATGTATGATGAACGACATTAATACCCCTTAACATCAAACAGGCTCTTTGTTAATATAGGGCATTATCTTTGTATCTCTCTTGATATGATACTTACAAATACTATCCTGATACTTAAATTTGACACCAGTGTTTGGTAAGGGTTGGCCAGTGGCTGACAGTGTTTGATAGTGGTTACTAGTGGTAGCCTGTGTTTGATAGTGGTTGACTGATAAGTGGTTTGATGTTCTAATGTTTCAAGGAAACATCTTTAAATTGCCAGTTGTTACAAAGAAGACTTGTCCAACTCTGCCTATGAGACACATGACAATCTTTGCAAAAATTTCCAGAACTTTCACAGCTTGACTTGCTTTGGATATTAATAAATGTTGATCTTCTTTATATCCTGTCCTCCATAGCTTGAATAAATGCCTTTGATCAAATAATCAATATTATACGGATATGGGCGGAAAAATATTGTAGCCCTGTTAATGTTAAAAGGACTGGAAGTTGTCATCAACTTTTTCACTAAAATTGTGCTCTGTTGTTATAATTCTAAAAATTGTGAATTTGTTATTTTAATTTTTAGATAATGGCTTCTGCATGATTGCATTAAAAAGAATCACAGCCCTTAAGAAGTTGGAAAAGAAAGAGCAACCAGAAAAAACAAACAAAAGTGTGATAGAAGATCCATATACTTACGACTTTGTACCAGTCTCTCTGTTCGAAAGATGGTATGCCGTATTTTTTAAAGCTCATATTTTAATTATCGGCAAACTTTGCTGATTGATTACCGTGGTATTCATTTAAGTTATCCCAAACTTCAATTTTCGTATGAATATGCAATTGTTGTTTTAAAGAGTTATTTTAAGGCCATCGAATTGCGTGATCATTTTGGAGTAAAAAAGCAATTCAAGACAAGCTAACACTATGGCGTAAAAGTGTCGTTTTAGTTAAACGCTTTTTTTGGTGTGAGATTTTTAAATGAGAGCAGATCTATTCTCTTGCAAGCAATATGCAGTATCTTTTCTTTCTATAAAAAGTTACAATTTTTGGCTGGAAAAGTTCTTTAAGTGTGTCAAAAAATGTCAAATGCTTCATTTTGCTTTTTTACTATTTTTGTTTCAGGAGAGAGATCTTATTGCTTGCCGTATTAATTTCCATATTTTTACAATACACAATCTTCAAATTTATCAGAAGGAGATACAAGATGTTAGAAGAAACACAGGCAAGTAACTTCTTGCTTTCTGTGTGCATGTCTTTTTTTAACTCTTTGAATCCTTCCTCAAATGCTCTGGTGCATTCTTTAATACTTTATTTATGATCCTCTTTGAAGTTTGAAATGTTTAAAATATTACATACATTTGATTGTATTTTAAGTAATTTTTTATTCATTCTCAGTTACTGTGAAATGTTTGTAATTGGGTATTACTCTGAGCCTTTTCTTGAAGTAAAAAACATTCATAGAAAAAACTTTGTCTGTTTTTAACTCTTTTTATTAAAATTATACAATTTTGCTTCCCATCCAGTCTTATCTTCTATACCTTCCAAACAGGAAGACGACCTGCCAAAAGAAGGCGAAATCAAGAGGGTTAGATCGGTAACAGCATCCGTTTCAACTTCGACTGATCCACCCCAGGTAAAATCGTGTTTTGTTTCAAAAATTTTGAATCTAGTTTTTGCTGTCAACAACTTTTGCTGATTGGATGATAACGGTAACCTTGATTTACAAACTGTTCTATTCGCATGCCTATTGTTTTAATAAGATGACGTCACATTTCCTCATTGTTTTAGAACAAAAGACCATTGTCCTCGAAAAGTATTTTTGAGGGGGGGGGGGGAGTACCGCCACTGGTTGCAAATAAGCTGAATGAAAAAATGGAAAGATTGCCAAATTCATTGATGTTGTTGAAGTCTCATGCTGTAAATATTCGGCTTTCGAGCCCGATAATTGATGAAAAAATAGACTTAAAATTTAATTGGGGGTTGGGTTTTTCCCATAATTAATAAGCAGAAAGGACCGTTAACACTTGTTCCAAGATTAGAAGCTACAAGTAAGGGCTCTATATGATATGTGAACGCTTGATCCATAACTATTCATAAACGCCGTATATATACGCTACATATGATTATAAACTTGAACATGAAAATTAAAAAGGAACATGGAAATGGTTTGAAAGAATGGGACATTTGAAACACACTTTAGTTTTTATAATCAAGTATTATGAGAAGAATTTTTTACCCTGAAGAGCCTCTGGCGAAAACTTTAAGTATGTTTCAGACTTTTTGCTTTTAAAAAAGCCATTTTAGAGTTCTGAACCGCCAAAAAGTTGTTAGCTGTTAGTTTCTATGCATTTAATAGGCTGTCCAGTTTTAGTGATCATAAATCTTCCATCATTCTTTCCGTAGGAAAGCCTTGAGAATGTCATCCAAACCATTGCTTCTATAAATGACTTTTCCTCAAGGTAAAACAATAAAGTTATTTGAACTTTTTTATTATGAATGCTCGAGTTGTAAAGTTTTCTTAAACCTTCAGTGTCGAAAAGCTGCTAGTGTTTGCATAAGATTCTTTTAATTTTAGAAACTATTTTCCATGGTTATAAGATAAGAGCTTCTGTTCTGTTTGTCATCGTTTTTCTCATATACTTTAATTATTATAATTAATAAATTTTGTAACTTTTTCATTGATGATGGGAGAAGACATGAGAGCACCTAGATATGATCATAAATAGCATTGATATCGCTTATAAACAATTTTACTCTTTTATGTGTGGAATTACGTGGTTGTAAGTTTGAATTCCGAGTTTCACGCCTTCTTCGGTTATCAGGTGTCTCAGAGAATTTATTGATTCAAGATTAGCAGACAAAAGGGTGGGAGGACGGATTAGGAAGATATGGGACAAGATTAATGATAAGTTACTATCAATTAAGAGAAGAATTTCGAGATTACTCTATAGAAAGAGCTATTTTGATCACTATTTAGACCGGTTTTGTACAATCTCCCCGAAAATGTATCATTTTCTTTGTGAATATTGTAAATTTTGATGTTAATATTGTAAACTTTTCCTCATTGGAAAAGGAGAAATTGATTATCTTTTTAATCAATTATTGTCCGTTTGATGGTAATATCGTAAACATATCCAATGCAACTGTTTATTTCATATACCGATCTTGGTGTTGCATCACATCGTTTTACACAATTCTATCCTTTGCAGATATCTTGTTGATTTCGACCATATTGAGTGCATTGGAAAAGGTGGCTTTGGGGTGGTTTTTAAAGCAAGGAACAAAATCGATGACTGTGAATATGCAGTAAAGAGAATCTATCTGCCTAATTGGTAATTACCCATTTAAAGAAAAGCAGATACCCTGAATCAATCTTAAATGTACCTTTTTGTATTCACCAAAGGGAGCAGTGTGAGACTGCTAGTTTAGGAAGATTGACTTAACATACCCCTTTCTTTGAAACCGTCAAAGCTAACAGAGTCCAGAGAAGTGATCTGCCAATTGATTTGCTCAGCTTTCTCAGAGAACAAGGCCTGGTTTGGGTTTTGTATATAAACTTCCTTTGTTTTCATTGGCCTTCCCCATGGGCCGGCGTACGTTCGCTCTGTTCTCTGGGCTGTGAAAACAAGAACATCTTCAGGCTCCAGCAAAAGAAAATTGAGATCTCCTAAATCATAGATATTCGAGTTTTTTGCACAACCTTTCTTGCTTTGAAATTGGTCAAAATCGACAAAATTCAGTCGATATTTAACTTTGCAATGCCTGCTTTATATTGCTAATGCCTTTAAAAGTTTTTTATTCTCGTCGCATTGTGATTGCACCACCTTTTTACAATTTTTCTCTTTATGTTAACATTCCTTAATAAAATATCAGCAAATTCAGATATAAAGATATTTTAAAGTTGTATTAAGGTGATATCTCTCTACACTGGAAATTTGCCCGTTTAAAGACCTGACTGCATATAACCATTAGGATTTGAAGAGCATGACTGTCTCAATTGCTGTTGTTCCAATCGCAATCCATTTTGCGGATATTCACTTATCAATAAACTTAGCTACAGCACTAAGAAAATCCATTCAGCAGACTGTTTCTAATTGTGATTCTAAACAATTTTTTGGTTTTAAAATATTAAAAACCGACTTTCGAAATGTATGTTTCAAAATTGCTGTTTTTGTTTACCTTCAAGCAATGAAGCAAAAGAAAAGGTTACTAGAGAAGTAAAAGCATTGGCCCAGCTCGACTACCCTGGGATTGTTCGCTTCTTTTACTCTTGGTGGGAGTCGCCTCCCACAGGCTGGCAGGAAACTATAGACAGAAATCACCTCATGTCAAAGTAAGTTACTTCTGAATGGCACTTGTGCTATTGATATTGCTAAATGCCTACAACCGTAATAGTTCTACTGTTACAAAGACTATCTATCCGTTTTTTGTTTGGGATTACATTGTTGCTTTTGTAAGACATCGTATTGTTGCTAATATAGTCAAAAGAAACCTGTCAATAAGGAAGCAACCGGTCAAAAACGCGTAATGATTTAAACCAATCACAATCACTTCCGGTTATCTGAGTGTAGACACGTTTCAGATCATGAAATCTTTTGAGATAACAAACATTCTCAATATTTAACCACCCAATGCATACCTCTGACTTGGCCATAACAGTTCAACAGGAAAATGATGACGTTTATGCACAGTATTACTTAAATCAGAATCAGTGACTTATTTTTCTTTACTCTTGGTTTTTTCACATCTAAAAAATTTGAAAACTTTTATGCAAGGATTGAACCCTAGGCAAATACCCCCCCCCCCCCATTCGATAATTTATGGCCTTTACCTGATTATAAATTTGATGTAGTTTGTAGTTCTTCATTCAACTTTGCTCTTTGTTCCAATCTTAATCTTTTAATGAACAGACTACCTATGATATTCAATTAATACTTTGAGAGTTGTCCTAACTAATTAAGATGGCTATTGTTTCAAGAGACTTTTGCAGAATTAAATACTTTATTCCCCCTTTGCAGAATATTTTAAAAATGGTTACTATGATGATTACTTTAAAGGCAATCGACAGATGCTTTGGCCATATGCCAATCATTTATTGACCAATCAGCAATCGCGTCAGTTGTATTAAGCTTGTTGATTGGCCATTTTTGATTGACAGATGACTTAAGCCACTTTAGTATCTGTTGATTGTCTCAAGAATCAGTCCTTTCTTTTAAAAGTATCCCAGGAGCGCCGGTCATTGGTCTTTCGAAAGAATGGTACATACATATTCAAACTGACGAAGAAGATACATTCGATGAAGGTACATAAAACGTTTGAATTTTAACTCATCCCGATGTTTGCAAAATGGGTCTTCTGCTTGGAATGATATGTCTTCATTTGAATGATAATGATCGTTTCTATTATCTTCAGTTTTCTAATTGAGCTTGAAACTCGAAAAAGCACAACCATCATCTTATACAGAACAAAGCGCCAATTGTTAGAATGTCTATTTGCCAATTATAATTTGGTATTTTCACTCGATCAATCAATCAATCGATGTATCTTATGTGTTAGCTTTTCAATGTAAAAATAAGTTTTTTCCAAAATTATAAGAAAGTTAATGCAGATTGAAAGCAGATTGTAGTAATCCTCGTTAGAGTGTTCCAGGCAGCGTAGGAAAAATTGGCTTCTTGATGACGATGAGTGAGATAAACACTGTGTTTTAAGGCTAGAAATATTACCTGTATTCTCAGAGCGTAGGAAAATATATAACATAGTAAACTCTTTATGTACGTCAGTCCTACAAAATGGGGTGCTTGATGTTTTGTTGTTGACGAAAATTTGTAGTGCACGTGATGTTGAAACAATGTACGTTTCATTTTTCAGAGGATAGTGGATTAACGTTAAAAAGAAGAAGAAACAAAAGTACCAAGTCATCAAACTCGATGACGTCATCTAAAAGCATTGGAGATGACCCTTTTGGGAGGAGGTCTTTTAATGACTCATTCGGCATTGATGATGCAGAACTATTAAAGGTCGATTTGTTAAAAAATAACGATGTATTTCACGAGGAAACATCTCAGGATGATTCTTTTAACATTGAATTTAAAAATGAAAATCATACAGACAACGGATTTGTTGATTCAAGTGAAGAAGAAAAGGAAATAGAAGATATTTCTATAGAATTTAATGACGATTCTTCGACGGGATTGGATTTTTCTCGGAGTAAATCCGACAAAGGCACACAGTCAGTAGCTAATGTTGGCAGCTCTAAAGGAAAACTGCTGAAATCTAGATTATCGACGAAGCTTGTGGGTAGGTTTATTCTCTAATCGAATCTTGTATTTTTAAAAGTGAGCTCGGGGGGGGGGGATCTTAATAGGTCTGAAGAACGGAGACTTGCCATTATTTAGGGTTACCTTTTGTCTAAAAATTCTGAAATTATTGGTACTAGTTTTTGAAATATGTGCAAAATTATGGGTACAATTTAAAGAAAATTTTGAACCCAAATAGCACATCCCAGTCCAAAACAAGGCTTATTTAGCCCCCCCCTACTCCCCTTCCGAGTTCAGAAAATTGATCAGCCTTCCTTTTGACAATTTCCTCCAGCTTAAAAAACCTTCCACAGGGATTTGGGTGTGATACCTTTTATACATTGATATTCTCATTGCCATGTCGTATTTCTAGAAAGTTTAAAAAGTTTTGAAACATTATGCCAGATTCGATGATAAAATTCCTCGATTGCTTAAAGAAAACTTCTTTGTTTTAGGACGTTGTTGTTGTAAGTCAGAGGAATGTATCAGGGCTCCTCCGCTATATCTGTATATACAAATGCAGCTATGTATGAGCAGTACTTTGAAAGATTGGCTGAATGAGAATATAACAGAAAGGCAGCGCAAATATATAATGGGGATCTTCGAGCAAGTAAGTGTATTTAACAAATGTTTTGCTTAATAAATAATTTTTTCTGATTTGTTTCTATAAGAAATTGAATGTTGCCCTGAAATACGTTTGTCATTTTTTATTCAGTATCACAGGTTTGCTCTTTGATTATTCTAGCATGTTGTTTCATTTATGTTCTTTTTTATTTTGCTTACAGATATTACGTGCTGTTGAGTACTGTCATAGACAAGGGATGATGCATAGAGATCTGAAGGTGAGTTACCTCGACTGTTGTTGTTTGGTTTGCTTAAATATATCCGGTTGATAGCACGTGGTTATGGCAAGGAAAAGTTCGACGAGAAATTTTGACAAGGCAGTTCTACGAGGCGGGTAGTTTGACGAGGCAGGTTGTTCGATGAGGCAATAGTTGATAGGGGAGTTCACCGAGTGGGCGTGTCAGTTTAAAGGGATTTAAAAAATTAATGAAATTTTCAAAATTTCTTTTCCATATCCAACAACAACCCGCCTACATATTGGATGAAGGCTTTCTTTGCCTACATGCTATCGAAAATGAATAAAAACTAGGACAAAATGCAAGGCTTTTAGAGGCTTTTATAATAGATGGCATATATGTCACAAGAAAAGCTGTTTTTATTTCATCAACTCGTCTTGCAGCGATTTGAAGAAGATATTTTAATCATTAGAAAATGTCAAACGGGGGCAGTATTGGATCTGGAAAGAGTTATCTAGAATATCTAGAAAAATTCTTAAGAACTTCACTGGTATGTGGGCTTATGATGCACTGCAAATACCATACCAGTCCTGCAAATCAGATTCAGTTTTGTTGCTTTTTGATTTTGTTGAAAAATATTTATTTACTCTTTATAATTCTCAGAAAGGTTTTTTGCTTTGCTGATATGAGTCTCTGTTGTAGTGTCCTTAAAGTATGGCAATAACGAAAATGAGGCTCATGGAGTAAGTCTAGGCCAATCTTTCTTCTCGTTGCCTTCAGCCTCCAAAATGTTTTCATTAAGTACTAGATTGCTCTTTAGCGGATACGAGGCAGGTTTCTAAATGAGAACCTAGAATTTGAAACCACAGTCGTCTACTCAAGGGCTGTCTAGCGCATGGTCTGCAGGATCGGATCTATTCAAGTTATCTAATATTTCTGTATTTGTACTAGTATAATTAGTAAAAATTATTCTTATCAATATTTGTTGTTAAAATCATATCCTTTTATTTTAGCCATCAAACATTTTCTTCGCAAAAGACGGATCAATTAAAATTGGGGATTTTGGGCTCGTTACAGCCATAACAAGACCGTCAGAAGGCAAAGGTAAAACGGTATTTTGTTTGAATAATCTCAAAGCCTTGCAATGTGAATTGAAGAGATTCGATGGTGTTTCGTCCGCCTGATGGCCTTCTTGTCTATCACTAATCAGTAAAATGCATATCAACAATCACTTAACGAGTTTATGCCTAAATAAGTAAAGGCAAATTTGTTAATCCATTCAGATATTTCGTTTACTTGTTGGATTCTTTGCGTGTTTCTTTTATCCTATAGAAAATATTGTCTGGTAGGATTTCAAAACCGCACAAAATCTAGCAATATATTACCGAACCCCTTTAGTTGCAGTCTTGGTCGACAAAACATTTAAAGGGTGGCGCAGGGGGCCGTAGTCGGCCCACTTTTTATAGAAGAATAGAAATCTTTTTGCAAAGCAAAAGAAGCTATGCTTTTATGAGTATTCATTTTTCCCTTGGCCCCTCCCCGACTCTCAAACTTTTTCAGAGCCTATGATTTGAACTATGAATCTTTTCTCAATAAACAAAAAAAAGTAGTGTTTCTTTTCCCTTTAACAACTATCTTTTTCCGCTCCTCTGATTCAATGCTGAATGCATGTTTCTGAAGCACAAATGATAGAAATACAATGTGGATTCAGGGAGAAAAGGGGGTATCAATTTCGATGGGAAACCTTGAGTAGAAATATGCGAGAACTGCATTTTGTCTCATCAATTTGTCATAGATTGTAGATGTTCTTAAATCAAATTGATATTTGTAGGTGTTGGCCAACCAGCTATAGATGAAAATCACACTGGCAATGTCGGTACTCAGCTTTACATGAGCCCAGAACAGGTAGTGTTTCTCCTATCCAATTTGATGTCATGGTTTCTATATAATATTAACCAAAGGCTCTACCAGATATTCTTACTCGCATGTTTTTGGGGGTCAGAGACAAAGTCTTCTATTCAGTGAACCAGTACTTAGACTCGTATGCATACATAGAAAAAACCTATGATGGAGAATGGCTCAGTGCAAAGAGGGCTTTCTCTTTATCATTCCAAAACTGCAAGTCTTGCAAGCACAAGCTAAGAATAGCACAGGTGAAAGATACAGTCAGAAATTCAATTCAACATATTACAGTGACCCGTTAGCGAACCGTGGACATTAACTAACGTGATAATAATCGTGGACACGTGGAAGTCAACTCTTTCAACTTCCATTTCATGTTTTGAGTAATTGCTCTTAGTCTTTGTTTATTTGCTCAGAGGCAAGCCACTCTCTCAAACTGATCATTCCAGAGAAAGTTAAATAAATTATTTTGTGAAATAAGTCATGCAGATTACAGATTTTTATTTGTTTCTACCTAGCATCCGAAAGTAGTTTTTAGGCCACTGAGAAGCTTATGCTCATCGAGCAGTGTCCTGGTACTTTTTCTCGATGTGACCACACCTCGTGATTACCACGCCTGGAGTTACAGAGAACTGGTGACTCTCCTACCTCTGGGTGAAAATTTGATCATGCCAGGGACTCGAATCACGGACCCTTGAGTTTGTAGTCAGCGTCTCTAACAACTGTGTCATCCTCGCACGTTATCCCCTCCCCCTCCCTCCCCCCCCTTCCCCAAGACTTGTCTCTAACACCAGAAACTCTTTGCGAATATCTTTGCCAAATTCACGAACACAGCCTTGAAACTTTTATTTCCTTTCCAAAGCCTATGAACTTTTGACGCTTTGTCCACTTTTTTCTTTCCGGACTCTTGTAACCTGTCCTCTTTTAAACTTAAAGCAACAAATGGACCGCACCACCTTAGCGTTTCCTCCCTTCCCCCGTTTTGGGCTTTGCTATAGATTCTTCGGAACTTTCCCTAACATAATTCGCTTGAAAATTAGGGTGGTTTAGCCATTGCATACCGGCAATCTTGAGGTATATTTATAGAATGTTGAATAGTTCTGATACATCAAGGTACAATTGGCATAACTGTATAGAGTTATCGTCGCTGCTTGTTCCTAGTTTGTAATATATCATACTCTTTTTATGTAAATGCGTAAAAAGGCTGTGATTAAAATGGTGCATTTCCATTCTTCACTCAACTTAATTACTATGATACCCTTCTCTACCTGACAATGAACTGAATACTACAGAACTATACTTTCATATTCTCACTCATTTCCTTGCGATTCCTCAGATTAAAGGCGATTCCTACAACCATAAAGTCGACATATACGCACTTGGTCTGATATTGTTTGAATTGCTGGTGCCATTTTCCACCCAGATGGAGAGAATAAAAGTAAGTACTTGTATTCCGTATAGTAAGAGCATTCTTTAAGAGAGAACATGTCTTTCAATTTATAATAGTGCCTTACTTGAATTGAAGATTTTTACAATAGTCAAAAGCTTTCTTTTAAACATTGTCAGACAACACCCGCGAATTTATTATACGCAGTCCTATGAAAACTCGTAGTCCAGTAACTGTTTTAATGCAAGTCACTGAATTTGATGACGTCATTGGTTACTTTATACAATAGCAGATTTTCGACTTTGGATAACTTTGTTTGGTATGCTAGAAGGAACATTGTGCTATATTCTATTCTCCAGTCTTTATGTTGCGAGTCCTTCGTCGCCAGAATCACACTCGGACGTACGAAGCACGACGTATTTTCAGAACTCTTTCAGTTGGCAGGAGCGAAATCTTTTCAAATTGTTGGAAGAGCTCTCTTTCCACTGTAAAGAATAAGAGGACAGACAGCAAGAACTTTTTCCAGCATGTCAAAAAATAAGTCAATCCTCGTATTGTTTACAGTACCGTCAATAAATTGTTTGAAAATAAAATGTGTTTGGATAGAGGAACAATCAATACCCGAAAAGCAAGTTGTCTGCATTAGAAACGACATGAAATCAGTTAAAAAATAAGAAATTTCCATAGCATCAAAGTTACGTTGATATGTTTACGCGGATGATAAAAAAACTGCGGAGTTGATAAGCACTTGAGGGAAGTGACAAAAAGCTGTTATTTATAGGAGAGTTAGTTATGTATGAATGCCCAGCTACTGGCGTCAGGGGCGAAACTAGTAGGGGGTGGCTTTAGGGTGGTACTTCATGAATTCGTCGGTAAATCTTCAGTTTGTCTACAAATCCCTTAGTTTGTCGGTAAAATTGTTCTATTGATTTTTTCTATTCGAGTTCAATAAACCATTCTATTTATTTAAGCTGGCAGAATAATTAAATGGATCAGGTAGTCTAAACTTTCTTCTAGCAGGAAAAAAACAGTTTGCAAGTTGTTTCGAAACATAGAGTTTTCTTTGCACTTATTGGAGCGCGTCTACAACTTGTAATGAAAAATTTGCTTATATTGTCTGATAAAACATTTTGAATGTGCAAAACGTCATTGTTTCTGTTTTTAACCTTTTTGTTCTCTTGTCTTCAGAGTTTATTCGAAGTAAAACAGCACACGTTGCCGAATCGATTTGAAGAAAAATATTCAACAGAAGTAATGCATTTTTTAATTGGTTGATTCTTGTTTGTCTATCTTATTATAGTGAATCATCTATTTTTAGCGATTTCATCGTCTTATATTTCTTTGTCAATTTTAGCGTATTTTTTGGATTTTACAGCATAAAAAGATGTAATTCTTCGCTCCAGAATGATTGGAGATAATTGAAGGCTTGAGTGTCATGACTTTTGCTTGCATTCACTTTCATCTGGTTTTCCCTTCGGATTTGAGTTTACAAACGACGCTGTATTGGATTTTGAGTTCACGACATTGAGGCAGTCAGTAGTGCTTCACATGAACCCAAAACTGAGTGAAAAGCAATCCAATGTCATGTTTACACTTTCAAACTAGACAGTTTTAAAACCTTATCTTGTTTCGGGGGGCTTTGGTTAAAACACGGAAAAAATGCACCATTCATATCGAATTGTTTACTTGAATATTTTTGAATAGGCGATACAAATTGGCCAAGCATAAACAATTTTGTTGTGATTATTTTGTAGAAAATATAGGTAGAAGATTCTTAAGTTGAATTATTCTCTTTCAGGCAAAAATATTGCGATGGCTCTTATCTGAAGATCCTGATGGGCGCCCAGAGGCAACAGATTTTAGAAGGAGTGAATTGTTTAAAAACATTTGTATTGACACTGATTTTTCGGCAGACTAACATTGCCATTTGTCATAAAGCTCGGTGTGTTTTTTTCTAAAGTATTACGAATGGAACTATTCAACGAGGGTCTCGAGAAAACGGAAAATGAGCTCACGCAAATAGCACAGCACTGCACGTCTTTGTTTAAAACATGTTTTTCGTATTACTCTCACCATTTCTAAGATAGCCCAATTAAATGAAATCTGTTTATGATACAAAGACATATGCTTAGTTGTATATGATACAAAATTTTAACAAATGACTTAAAGAGACCATGATATTCTTGTGTTTTCAACTAGTGGTTGCCATTTTACTAAAGTTCTCACATTGCCTTTGAAATACCTGTCTACTGGTGGAGATGAAAAGGGTCTAATTATTTAAAGCCGTGTTGCCACATTTGCATTACTTCTTTGAATATAGATAAAAACACATTTCTACCTCTTTTTTAAGGAAACAGAGAAACATTTGTCAATAAAGATGTATTTGGACTGTTGAGAATGGCATTTGATAAAGTTATTGTCCATCTTTTTTGGCAAAATTTTTTTTAAAAAGTAGTTTGGAGGTTTCCGTCACTTAGTTTATAAGTTCACGAACCATCACTCATTCGCATAGAAAGTTTATAAGCATCTTACCGAAGTAACTGCCCTTTGTGGCTTTTTTACTGGATCAGTTAAGTTCGTCTCCATTCTCCACACAAACTAAGCCTTTGGTATGACAAAATTTGAAGATATCAAGATATCATGCCAACTACATTCTTAGCATGCTCACTTGTGAGTATACAAACCAGTAATCTACATTCCCTTGCAGTTTACCTGCAATTTACAATCATACAATACGCATTTCAAAATTTACATCCCCATGTATACTTTCTTCTTTGCAACTACATGTCCCAGAATGCAATGCGCGCAATGGACCGAATGACGTCATTATGAAAACGGCTGACTACAACTTTACAGCTAGGCATGGCTGCGTCTTAAATCCGAATGGTTTTGGTTGCCACGCCACGAGTTTAAAGGTATGTTTGTGCTGATTTGGTGTACATTTCTCATAAATTTTTCTTTGAATTCAATTGGTAATTAGCAGAAAATTTACGTAAAAGTTCCCATAACTGTGAAGGAGCATTTCATTAAATGCTGAATGACAATTTTCTTTTTTACATACGAATAGGCACACGTTTGTATCCATTCTTCCATTGTGTCAACGCAAAAAAAGTTGGAGAACGAAGAAATGGAGACTTGAGGAAACAGGAACGCTCAAAATGTTTGGGAAAAATGGTTGAAAAAGCATCTGTTCTCTCGTTAATATGAAATAAATTTGATAAACACTTTTAATTTTGGAAACGATTCAGCGTGGGGCCTTAGATACCTATTCCCTAAATAACTTCTAAGTTAAAAATGAAAGAATGCCCTTTGGTTGATACATGTGTTTTAATACATGTGCACAAACTGTATTTTGAAACTTTGTTTTCAATTTCCTTCCTGGCAGTGTTGTATCGTTGAAAGATCAATACTTCTAATGTCCATCCTGCACCATACTTGTCTTTTGGGTGGAGTTTCAGGATATGATAGAAATTTTGCCCCCGAATTTTCGTCTGCTCAAAGAGACGCAGTTAATACAAAGTTAAATTGAGCCTGGAGAGAGATTAAATTTTTGATGTCGAAATTGGTAACCTGATGTTGAAGAACTTTTCTTTATTTTCCTGAAGGTTTCCTGGCCTAATGGAGGTTTTCTGTGGAAATTTGCTCAAGTATTTAGGAGGATTCAAAGAGTAGGTATTAGCATACGAACCACAGTAAAGAAACACCTATTTACAGTAAACATGACGTGGAAATAGTAGAGAAGACCCTCAATTTATCAGAGTTAATGGATCTCTCACTGCAGATCAGGGGAAAAAGAAGATGATGAAATTGTCCGTAAGTACAAAATATACTGAAGATTTTTGGATGTTTTCAAGCGAATATATTGCAGCGAGACATGATCGCAAAAGGTTGTAACGAATTTTGTGGAGAATCGTACAGTAACAAAGTCTGCAAATGAAAGAACACCCTGGAAAAAATTAAGCTGAAGCAGTTTGGGTAAGGAATTCAGAATATAACCTCGTTACAGGAAAAGGTGATTATCGGGAATATTCCTTGGAAAAAGCGATTATCTCTATCCTTTATTGATACTGGAGGCGATTCATCGGGGCCGAGTGAGATCCTGTTCCCAGTCTGCCAGATCTCACCTCTTGAGAATGATCTCCAAGAGTAGATGAAATTCTTTGAGTAGATGAAAAGATGTGTTGCTGTCTATATGAAGAGCTGAGATGTGGGATAAAAAGGAAGCCATAAGTTGAAAGTTGGGATAATCTAGCCCGTGCTCCAGCCTCCTCCTAACTCGTTACTCGCAAACAAACACGATGGGGTTACTTGCTAAGCACGTTCAAGCTAGGGGTCTGAAACAGAGGCAAGCAGAATCTTACTCCTACAAACAGGCCCCAAAATGCGGCTTCTTCTTTGGCGGTCAGTGATTGCTGCAGATGATACTGTGAGGTTTGTCCTGACAGTTTGAGGTTCGGAAAATACAGGTGCCTCCTTTGATAATAATTGTTTTTAGTGTCTTTATTATGAATAGTAAACCACATTCAGATTAATGGCCTGATATCAATTGTGACTTAACTTTATAAGTTACCGCAAATTCGTGTGTCGAGAAAGTCACTTCTCTCATTCTTTATCGAATGCTTGTGACAATCTGTTATAGTCACTAAAATTTTAATGGTGAAAATGTTCCACTTGTTTTTTTCTTGTTATATTTATGATTCTTTTCTATGTGATAAATCTCAAGTTTCAAATTAACTGGCTTAAATAGCGATCTTAGTTTTTCTAAGAGCTACTTTTAGCCTGTACGTTACCTGCCTGTACGCTACTCTTAGCCTGTACGATGCCGATACCTGTATTTATTTATTGATCAATTAAAAACCACTGATTATCTGAAGCTATCACCAGCTCAATCAAAAGAGTTATTTTATATCCAACGATTGTAAACATTCAGTGTGCATGTAGTCATTTTGTGCATGAAGTCATTTTTACCAAGCAGTAGGAAGCGTCTGCACTGGCCGCTAAAAATGCAGAACCCTTTACTTCAAAAGTTGCTCTTTTCTAAAGAAGGATTATATATTTTAGGCCAATGCTCCTTCAAAAGCTTTTTTGAATCATAGTGATTTTTGTGTGTAAATTGATCGCAAAAAAAGACTGGGTCGAGCTTCTCCAGCCTAACGTTGATTCCATATCGCAGCGTCCACGTAAGGGCCTCGCCATGTTGCTTGAGACTGGAGAGCATACATGTTGGTTTTAGTTTAACTTCTTTTTCATAGAAAAGTCAAAATTACCATTAAAGCAAGAACTTCCAGTAAAAGTAAGTGACTTTAAACATGGTGTGGTGGTATTTAGTTTATCCATTGTAGAATGAACTTTTAACTAATTTTCCAAGACCTGTTACTTTTTATATTATTTGAGAATTCAATGATCCCTACGAAGTCAATAGCGCAACCTTGTTTGTGTGCCTTTTTTACTCATGGCACCCGTAAGCTTTAGAGGCGAGAGGTCCCAACATAGAGGGATTTGATCACTTTCTGGTGCTGATGTAGGAGAACATATCGTGAGCCTGAGGTTGGTCTGTCCGTGGCTAATTTGCTCAATCTTGGTCTAAAGCCCAAGCCCCAGTTTCAAGCTTAAAGATTTTGAATTTGTGAAAAACTTGCTCGTTTGCGTGTGCCAAAAGCAAATATTTCATCGTAATTTAAATTTTAAATTTAAAAAACCTCTCTCGTTCGCGTGCCAGAAGCACAGAACACAAAATATAATCGCACAAGATGGCTATTTTCAAACCCCGAAATGTGCGATGCTGATTTTTTCTTAAAATTATGTATTCAGCAAACAAACTTCTCTTCTGAGAGAGGAGCAGCCATCTTGGCTGTCGAATTTGGCGCCAGATTTGCATGCTGTGTATTTCAAACAGTCTGTGCGTATTTTAAATACAATTGTCATTTGTGTGCGCTGGGCTTGAGAGCCGCATAGCGGGTTTTGTTGGAACTTAAAGGTATAATAATTACACAATTATTTTTATTATAATAATTATTACACAATTAGAAAAACAATTGTACACAACAGTTTTAAGACCAGTACTGCTCTATGGTTTTTGAGGCATGTGCTTTGACTAGAAAGGAGGAAAAGATATTGGAAACAACGGAGATGCGAATGCTCAGACGGATTATTGGGGTGTCATTGAGAGACAAGAAAGGGAATGATGAGATCAGAAAGAAGCTAGAAGTGTGTATAATTATAGCGAAAGCAAGGGAGAATAGGCTCAGATGGTTTGGACATTTGTACAGAGACATCATGTCTATAGAGGTGAATGGAAGCGAGGCCGGGGAAGACCAAGAACGAGATGGAAGGATAACATCAAGAGAGACATGCAGGAACTGAACCTGACCGGGGAAGATGCAGAGGAAAGAAAACAATGGAGATGGAGGATTCGGGCGACTAACCCTGATTAATCAGGATAAGGTCTAAGGAGAGGAAGAAGAAGAAGACAATTTGGAGAAGACATCATGGAAAAACATGCCAAATTGGTCTTCTTCATACAAATTTAACAAATTTATGATAAGCTTCAAACACTGTGTGTGTTGAATAGGAGGAAAGGACTTATTGAGTGGTATTCAAAACCCATGATCTCGTATATATAATTAGTTGCATACTTTCACATTTGCGAAAAAAAGATAGAAACTAAAGTTCAAAGGAAGTGATTGAGTATCTACGAAAGCAAATTGAATGAAGTGAAGTAATGGGAAAGTAGTGTAGACAGATGTCTTAGGGGGTAGGTGTGGTTGGGTGTAGGTGTGGTTGGGGAAGTAGGTGTGGCTGGGGGGATTGGGTGTGGTTAGGGAAGTAGGTGTAGCAGGGGGTATGTGTGGTTGGTGGTAGGTGTTGTTAGGGGTTAGGGATGGTTTTTGGGAAATTAGGTGTGGATGGGGATGTGGGTGTGGTTAGGGGTAGGTGTGGTTGGGTGTAGGTGTGGTTGGGTGTAGGTGTGGTTGGGTGTAGGTGTGGTTAGGGAAGTAGGTGTAGCAGGGGGTATGTGTGGTTGGTGGTAGGTGTTGTTAGGGGTTAGGGATGGTTTTTGGGAAACTAGGTGTGGATGGGGATATGGGTGTGGTTAGGGGTAGGTGTGGTTGGGTGTAGGTGTGGTTGGGGGTAGGTGTGGTTGGAGGTAGATGTGGATGGGGGTAGGTGTGGTTGGGGGAGTAGGGGGTGGTTGGAAAGATTCCAAAGTACGAAGAGTTTGCAAGTGCCTCTTCAGCGGCAATTCTCGCCTCTTTTTGGATTTAAGACGATGCTGTTGCGGCTTCTTATAATAGGATGAGTTCATTTCCGTTTTTGTGTGAAAAGATGAGCATGAGGCATTTATTTGCTGGAGGTGTTCATTTAAGCTATGCATATGTAAAGGGACCATACATTACTCTGATGAACCCTTGTTCGCGAAGTGTCAGTTCTAATATTTTCCTTCTGTAATTAATTATCTACCTGTATTATATTGTCTCTCTTTGTTTTGCGCTGTCCGCCCAGTATTTATGCTGTCATCGCGTGATTCGAGGAGTCCGGCGGACACCATATTAAACCTTTCTTCTTTCTGGAAAGTTTTCGTTTGAAAGTCGAAAATGTTGAAACAAACGCAACCGCATATTGGTATATCAATTCATTTGGTTATGAATTTATTAGTTGATAGTGCTTGTTGATGTGCACAGGTTACCTGTTTTACCATTGAATAATTCACTATGATAACTTTCAAACCAAAGATAGCCTGTTTTGCACAAAGCCAGTGAGTGTAGATAAATCTTTTGCTTAGGGCTCTCATCTAAGCTAAAAGGTAGGTATCCTGTCGCTGTGTACGAAGAATACTGGTACTCTTAAGATGCTGTTGAAGACAGTTATGAATACGACGAAATAAGTAAATTTTCTTCGTACACAAAAACTCATTTTGTTGTTGCAAAAATAGAAGAGATGCGACGAATTTCTTCATCGACAGGTCCGTCTAGAGTCAATGATGAAATTTATCTGCCTGCTTTGTATTTTTCTCGAGCATAGACTCGGGCAAAACCCCCAGTTCGGGAAGTTGAAGTTTGCAAAGCCAGGCAGGGGAGAGCTAGAGAGGGAAACTGGTTTCTAGAAAAAAGAGGGTCCCCTCTACAAGTTCTTAAGAGGGAACCAGTAAAACAGTGAGCGCTTTACTAAAAAGAGGACGTACCTCCCTTGACTCCGGTTCGCTCACCCCTACGTTTCATGTGCTACAGTCGACGTTCTTTTGAATAACTTCTTTTCTGCTGGCTATTTTTCAATTTGTTAGGCTATAAGCCTGAGTTCCAGACCCCTGACTATAAGTATCGATAGTAAGTAAGGCTCGGGCTTTTGAACTATTAGATAGCTTGTCTGTAAAATTCCTCGACAGAGCTTTTGCATTTTGAAGTCAAACCATAAAAGGTGCGTAATGTGGCTTTAATTTAGTGCGATTTCCAGTATAACCTGGATGCATTTAGGTTTCAGTTTGGATTTTCAGTAACTTGAGTGCGTTTGGAGGTAGCTTTAAGGTAGGAGCACAGAACCCTTATATGCGAAGAAAAACAATGACAAAATTGACAATAAAAATACATTTTTACCAATCAAAACTTTATTGCCGCTATATCCGTATTTTAAATTACACGATGCTACAAAAGGGTCGATTGTTTCTGCTAAAAGTTGTCCCAACTTCCCTTCTGGCAATGAGACAATAGTTTTCTGAATCGTTGGCTTGCTTGTGAGGTTGAATCGCCATCATTTCGTAGCCGCAAGCAATAGAAAACGGTACGCTAATTACAGGAAAACGAGCATGCCTTGCATGTTGATTTAATCGAGTTGCTATGCATCGTTGCTATGCAGTCTCGAACTGGTGTCTTGTAGGTTGTACTGTTCAATTTGACAGACTCAATCGTCTGAATGCGCTATTGATGGTGTCGTGGTATTTTATTGAATATTCTCCTCCAATTTTGATTACCAGTCTTATGCTCTGTTTAAATCTTGTGCTGAAGTTTTATAACAACGCGGTAAAATGTATTTATCTATAGACTAAAGGTGCTGAACTGTAAGTGCTTTTGTTATTTACACCTTTTGCATTTGTTTTCTGAAAAACTAAAACGTGAATCTTTATGTATGATTGCATTAGTTGAATATCTTTATTTTCTGAATACTGCTAACCAAAAGCATAAAATCTCTGCGTTTGAATAGTTTCACGTAGTTTTCACGAAGTTTTATACCTTCTACCATATTTATGTACTTTTATCTATCCGCAGGGTATGAAAATGCTTATCTCATTGGCGGTTTTGTTTGTGATCTTGCTGCCTTTCAAGACATTTGCTTATATCGATCGTAAGTGATATTTTTAAGTTATCTGTTTGTTTCGATGCTGTGGAAGATACAGGGAGATTAATCAGGGCCGTCGCTAGCTATGGTGTACAAGGGGGATGCCCTGACCCTAGTTGCTGACAAAGTGGGTTAGCCATCTACATTTTCCGACAAATCTGAAAACTTGCCGATGAAGCACCCTAAGTAGTAAAAAATTTCTCGTTTTAACAATACTGTTTTCTGTCATACCCCTTCCCTGTCACATCCCCTCACCCCCGTAGCGATGGCCCTGAGATTAATGATAAATTTATCTTCCATAAAATGACCGTATTGCTGCTAGCAATAAATCTTGAGCAATCCCTATGAAATTCTGAAAAGCTTGCATGGCTATCGCTTCGATTCATAGTGTTCAATCATTTGTTAAGAAAGTTCAAGCGCTAAAAGCCCGTCTACACGATAACAGTGAATGAACCCTGTTGTGTCTTGTACCTGCAGAGAGGTTTGCCACTGTTAATAAGTATTGTAGTATTTTTTTTAAAGAATTCAGGTGTACTCGAGTGCTAAAATGGCACATCTATACAGGAGATTATCTTCTTGAAAAGCTATGAACGGTCCATTGCAAAAACAATTTTTAGACAAAGAATGTTCAACTTCGTTACTATGAGCCAATTTGCTTCAATATGTCCTCGATTCTTTAATTTTTGCAATGTTTCTTCGGACCAGGATATACATCCAAACCTTCAATGAACAGTTGAAACATTGTTTAAAGCTTAGAAATTCCATAAACACTTACGTTCAAAAAGTACTTCGAAATTTCGAAGACATTTTATGCAACAAACTTGGAAAGACTTTTTTAAATCTTTCTCATTAAAAAAGTACGGCAGCTATTTCCATGAAATTTTCACAAGGCATCGTTGATATTTTGAAGCCTTTTATGAGACGAAAACATGGAAGTTCTTAAAATTCAAGAACTGAGTTAAGAGAAGCGCTAACAAATTGCTTTCTACTGAAATAAAGCAAATAGATTTTGTGAAATTGCGTCAATTGTTGGTTGCTCAATGAATGCAGCTTTTTGGTGTGTAAAAATTTTTTCCGTACAAGAACAGTAAAAATTCACAAGGGGTTGGCAGACCGAAGAAGTTTACGACGCCGAGGGACGAAAGGTCATTCCTGCGGAAACTGCGAAGTAATAGGTTTGAATCCTTACTAGAAACCGCGCCAGAAACTATGTTGTCATGTAAAAAGAAGCTAAATCTTTGAACATAAGCAAAAACATGGCTATAAAAACATAAGAAATAAAAATTTTCCAGCTTATAAGAAGAAAATGCTCTCTCATAACAAAAATTAAACATCGCCAACGAATACAATAGCTTCTCCTTGAATGTTACACAATTTATAAAGTATGTAGCTTGAATAAATGCAATGATTTAATGAAATTGTAGCGTTTTCGTTTATGTAGTAAATTTTATTTGAAGTTTAAAAGTTTGATTTTGTAATTTGTTATGCAAACGTAAAAAGTTGTATTTGTTTGCACAGCTCTAAAATTTTTGGAAGGTCATGTGACTTTGTCATTGTCAGGCCATGCAACCGTTCTGCATATTTTGCTGTTATAATCAGGAAAATCGAAAAAATCCTATGTTTTTATGGTTATGCTTCAAAAGTTGAAGTATTTTTTTAACTTTTAATTCCATTTTGGGGATGCATAGCCCTAGATTATTTGGAAAAAGACTGCTCCAATCTGAAAAAGTTTCCGTTGCAACACCGAATCCAACGCAACGCCCTAATTCGTTTATCGAATTTGTCCCAATACTTTTTGAACGTAATTGTAGTTTATTCAAGGCAAATATTAGCATGTATTTGCTCCTTTGTAAGGGGGAGCTCTCTATTAGATCAATAAATCGAGACAGCCGCTCTCCCGTTTCCAATTAAAAACAAAAAAGAATGAAAACAAGACCAGAATTTTTTAGCTCTTCTTAATGAAAGTGAATAATTACGTTATAATCCTGGCCATTGACGAGGAATCCCCTCACTTTTGATTTTAGTTTTGCATCAAAATATTTTGTTAACTGAAGACCGTATTAAAACATATTCTCTATGTTTCGAAAAAAACCCCTTTACTCACATTTCAAAACTCTCAGAATGAAGGGGGTGAGAGGTTTTTAAGGCAGATTCTTAAGCGTTTTTCAGTTTGTCGAGATATAAAGGGTCCAAGAATGGCGCTCATCCAGCTTCATGCCTAAACTGACTTTATTCAAGTTTGATATGCGCAGACAATTTCTTGTGGGGGAATCAAATACAAAAGAACTGTTTTCAATGTTAAAAGCATCGTTTCTGCTTTAGGCCGATGCTTTGCTTTTAGCAGTTTTTTGTAGAATATAATCCTTAGCTTTACTGTTTTCTGAAACTTCGTATAGATGTTCTTACCGTTAGCAAACAGAAAAAAGGACTTAAGATATACTAGGCAAATTCATCGACATACGTTAGAAAAGTAAGAGACCCAATAAAGATCCTTGAGGAATTCCTCAATAACTGACTTCCCCAACACTGAAAGAATGAATGTTGTTTGAAACATACTTCTGAATCTCTGTAAAGTAGGACTCAACCAATGTTTATCTCAACACCTGTTATCACTAAGTGGCATTTAGATATTGAAACATGCCACCTGTTAAACATTCAAGTATCTTTTGTACTGATTATGTGTCAGGGTCAGCAGGGGCGCAGTGGGAGTTAACTTTTTGGGTGGGCAAAGCTGAAAATTTTCCGATAAAACTATGATTTTTCCGACAAATTTGTTCTCAATACATTCCTTGAAGATTACCCTTGCTGCATATACTGCAACACTTGATACTACAATATCACGAATGGATCTCGAAATCGTTAATGAATGGATCGTTCGTTATACACCTTCAAGTTCAACAATAGCCTTTATTCTAACAAAACTTATCAAATATAAATCGCTATGAACAAAACTGCAACTAGTTATAAATTTACACCCTACAAGTCTTCTCGCTATACTAGACAATAAACTGTCAAGTCAGTGTTTATAGCTGTTTATAGCAAAAAGTTTTTTTGGCAAGTTTTAAATCGCATCATAATTACTTTGCATTTATTTATGCTAAACCTTAAATAGATATAACGCCTCCAAAAGAATATTTTTCTTTTAACTGAATTTATATAAACTGTTACTCAAGCAGCATCTTTCTCAAAAGAGGTGTGGCAGCATACAAATCGATGATGTCACCATAGTCTATCGACTGTAAAATATCACTTTCGACGTTGATTGTTATCAGAGAGGAAAGGTGGTCTTGTCCCATCGTTGACCGTAGCCGATTTTTTTACAATCCTCAGCTTTGAAAAAGCTCTTTCATAGTTTGTTGAACCTATTGGCAAAGTGAAGAGAACCTTGTAAAGAAGGACCAGCTGTGGAAAGGCACTTTGCAGGTTATACTTATCATCAACTGAAGAACTGAATGGAACTGAAAAGTTTTCTCTTTCTTCTGCAGCCGGGAGAGGGTTGCTCTTTTCTCTAACTTTCCAAAATTTACGGTAATTATTGGCGAACGAGCTGTACTCATCTCTTAATTTTTCGTCATCCAGGCCGTAATTCTTCGCAACCTTTTTGAATTACACTGCACACAACTGCCTTTCAATTGTTTTTTGAAAACATTCAGGGTTGAGCAAGGCAAAATCTGTCAAAATTGCCTTATGAGACGTAAATATTGTATTCATTGAGCTGATAGCTGTATCCACTATCACGATGATATACGGATTCCCTATTTCCCTCTAATTCATCTATGCAATTTTCCCCTGGCATCTTTTTCTTTCTGCGTATTCGTCGCTCGACAAAATTTTCCTCTTCTAAGTCATGGCGAAAATAATAACTTTTTGCGTCTTCTACAACACCAGCGAATTCATTTCGAAATGCACTGAGTTGAATTTTAACTGTCGGAAATGGGAGTTTATAAAATAACTGAGACCAGAGCGTTAATTTCCTTTACAAATTTCAGCAATGCAATGATTCCGATAAATACTCTAATGAAAATAAGTAAGAAGGGTTGAGCATGCCCTATTTTACGACAGGTTAAAAAAAATATGCGACCTTTTGGACAGGATCGATGAAAACCTTACATTTTGTCTAATATTTCAAATTTTCCGACAAACGTTGGATTTTCCGACAATCCGACAAATTTTTTGCCAGGGGGGCGGCTGCCCCCCCTGCCCCCCCCAGCCACTGCGCCCCTGAGGGTCAGTATCAAGCACTGGCACTTATGCAATCTAAACCAACATCGCTGAGGTAGATACGTTGTTTACTAAAAACTGACAATCTAGGGAATCTTTAAAGCGCAAATGTCAATGTCTAGGACGGGAACCAGTTGTGCTGTCAGAATTTAGGCTAATAGACACGCAACGCAACACATCTAAACCTTTAATGGTTTGCTAGTTATGGAATCTTCTGTCAGTTATCCTTATTCATCTCAGTGGGTTTAGTGTTTGTCAGGAACTTATAGTGACCAAGAAGTAAAGGGAATTGCGTATAGCAAAGCTGTATCAGAATTAAAATGCAATGCCCGGCTTTTATGTGATGTAAACATCATGTAATGTAACGAACCGTAACCTAACCTAACCTAACGCAGCCTAACGTGATATAATGTATTCGTATGTGATCTAATGACATTTAATGCTATCTGTTTATATACAGGAAAAAACTTGTTTGCTAGTATTAAGTACTAGTGGTTAGTAGATCAGTAAAACAGAAGTAAAAATATAAGCAAGACCTGAGTTGTAGTGTTTCGTTTTCCTATAAAACAACACCACCGTAACATCAATTTTATGTAAAGCATTAAAAAAACGCCATGTAAATCTTCCACAAAAGATAATGAGAAATTGATAAAATAATCAAACTGATTGATGACTTACTAGCTTTAATATTTAGATTAATTGCTTTAATTTTCCTTGCGTTATTACAGAAATTTTTCAGCGCCCCAAACAAAGTCTTGTTTGAAATAAACGGAGCCACCGATGAAGGGGGGCAGGGGGCATGTCCCCACTTTTCTGCAAAGTAATAGAGCTTTTTTCAAAATCTTTTATTATGGGTTATAAATTTTCCCTTGGCCACCCCCCTCCCCAATTTTCAAACCTGTGACAGTGCTCATGATAATTTTTTTTGTTTTCTGTAGAGAGCTGCTTGCTGTTTAGTCAGAGTGGATCATGTTGTTCTCGGCCCTCAGTCCACGACTACCAGCCATGTCATGAGAGATATGACAAGTTTCTCTGTGATCCATGGGTTGAGTCTGCATCTAATGTTAGATGTGCAAGCATCGGAAAATTTCCTGGTAACTTTCTGTAATTTCTTCAATGTAATTGCATGTCTTCCAGCGGATTTGATTCCAAAACCCATAGATCGTATTTAAAATGGTTGAAAGACACTTGCAGTTATTTATGAATCGTATCATACAGGAATTCCTGCATTCAAAGAGTAACTCTACACCTGTGAAATACGTTGATGCCCCTTTTATATCTCCAGGTTTCTATTTTTACCGGGAATAGCAGAAGTATGTTTTCTTATTGAACATACTTAGCATTTCTTATTCCTAAGATGGGTAGAGGAAAAATGATTTAGACGAATAAAAGCGTTTCAAATTTTCTCACAGCATTTTGCCTAACTGCCCTTTATGCTTACCTTCTACGTTATCTTAATTCGGGATCTGATTTTTAGCGTGAGATAATACCTGCCCTTTCTAAAGCCAATAAACTCTTATGCCAAAATGGTGTAAACGGGGCTTATATGTTTTAAACGACATTGTAACATTTCAATATTCTGATGCTATGGCCACCTCTCTACTACCTACATTCATTTCCCTAATTTCGCAGATGTGCGACTTTTACCAATCTTATGTTCAACTGAATTTCTAATGTTGTGACCACTGCTATTTTTGTAAGTTTCCTTCCGATCTTTATTTAAGGTGTTTCATTGGGTAATCCACTCGGCATGGTCAATGGCCTAATATTTGGGGACCAGCTTGTTGTTCCGGATAATCAAATATCTGCCAATCAAGCTCGGTATGTCTTTTTGGACTCCGGTGGATGGAAGGCATCAAAAACTTACTGGGATTCTCATAGATCTTACTTGACATTAATTCCGGCAGACCAAGCCTATCTTCAAAAGAACGTCATCGGATTGCTTCCTATATTCCTGGAAATAGATTTCTTGGAAATGAAGAGGATTTTCTACTTTATTATTGGAAACAACATCAGGATAAGTGGTATTTCCCCCCCAGACCGAAGGTTTGCCATAAGTTACCGTGATGTCAATGGGAAAAGGATCATTTACGGAAAGGACCCTGCCTACGCTGCGGTGTGTTTCAATTTTGTATCATTTTTTAATTCAGTCAAATCTTTGCAAATCGAACTCACTAGAGGATTGTCAAAATTTTCGAATTACAAAACTGTCGATTTACAAAATTTTCGATTTACAGTGATTCTAATTTTAGAAATTTATTTGTGAGAGACCTAAGAATTTTGTTTGTTTTAGTAACAGTTCGAATTACACCTGTTCGAATTAGGGCCCGTTCACACTACTCCGTTTTCAAATGAAAACGGAGTCAAACTAATCCGTTTTTGCCTTGCGTTCACACTACTCTGCTATGAAAACGGAGTCGTTTGAAAACGCAAATGAAAACGGAAGCTTGCGAATACATCATATTGAATACGCTCCGTTTTCAGTGTGAACACCAAAAACGGAGACATTTGAATACATTAATAGTGGCAATAAAATACGTGCTTTCTAGCACACCAAATCTCAAAATTTAAATTGAGAATTCACCATGGCCTGGTAGCTGTTACAACAAAGTTTTTCACAATTTGCTTTTATTTCCTTTAATTCATAGTGACAGCAATTTGTTGAGGTTTCGTGAACGCCTCTTTTCAAAAATGAGGCCACCAACAGCGTTTTTGTTGGAGCAGTGTGAACACTCACCGTATTCAAATCGTATTCATTTGAAAACGGATAAGTGTGAACGGACAGCGTTTTCATCGACGAAAACGGAGCGAAACGAATATGGAGCAGTGTCAACGTAGCCTTAGACAGAGTTAATGTATCCTCGATGTATAAACGTCGGATAGAAGTAGTAAGCAAAAACTAGTATCCTAATGCGGATCGAAAGTCATGTGAGACGGAGAATGACGCGTTTGATTGGTTCCTTGTATTCGTCAATCGGTGGCCGCTGACCTCTCATCGAATTTTATGCCATTTTGCAATGCTAGACATTTTATTATATCCAGACGGCATTTAGGCAGATCCGTACAATTAGCCAGACCTTCAGGCATCTTCTATGCTATTTGACGTTTTGATGCTTTTATATAAGGCTGGCGCATCGGTTGTAATGGGGAAAAGGAACATTTCGTGTCCACTGCCTTCCCAATATGAACTGAATCAGGTCTTTTTGTGTAACTTGCCTTAGTAAACTCTTCCTGCTATAGTTTAATTGTGAGTTGACCGATTTGCGGTCATGCATTAAACTTGCTCTCGATGATGTGGAAACGTAGCCTCTGGACTGAATTGCTGGTGTTTATGCCATGTTTTTCTGAGGAAGCAATTTTTGCCCCACAACTTGTATTGTGGCTTCTGACAAATATACAGACTGATTGGACAGGTGAAGCCATGTGATCAATATTACACAATGCATGTGTTGCAGTGAAGCATTCAATTCACAATGTTTAGGTCAGCGACTCTCGCAAAATTTGAATCATCCCAACTTTTCCAACACTTAAGACCTGTTTACCTAGTCTGCCGAAGTGCATTGCATTTTTTTTAAAAGGAGACGTCACTATTAAGATATATTTATACACCATTGAAAGTAGGGGAAAACGTAACCACAATGTTTGTATCCTGGAAGAGGTAAGGTTGCTAATAGAACCAATCTTAGCTGTCCAATCTTACCCGAAACAGAAGCGTAACATCACGATATCATCAACGTACCAAGCTTCATCCTCTTGTAACAATAGAATGAATGAAAATTTGCCGATTCTGGCTGCGCTGCAGATTTTTGTAATTTTTATAATAAATAGCTCAGCTTTCAAAGTGGACAGCACGGGCTTTTCAACCCTGTTGAACGAATGGCTAGATCATGTAATACCCAGACTTCTATGTAAATACAATTTATGGCTGAGGTGGGATTGGACTTCTCTGCCATGCTATGTTTGGTTAAGGATTTTCTTAAATAACATCAGTGATCATACTTTATGATTGAATAATGCCCTAGTATCTGCTTTCTTTCGCGTCGCCCGCGAGATTTGCCGCAATTTGCTGCTTAACTGATATATTTAGATTAAACAAAAAGGACAAGGTTTATTGATCCGTCAACGGTATTGATGTGCTTATGGTCAAATAATCGGTTGTGAGCATTGCCTGGATTCTGTAATTGCTTTTGTCAAGATGCTCTTGGATTCATTTAACTTCATTTTCCTTGATTTTACAGTTTTTGCTTGTTCTTGATCTATGATCCTTTTATCATTCTCTCTAGACGACCTATTGTAGGAAAATAATACTTGGGTTTAAAAAGGCTTGCAGAATAAAGGTCGATCCTTTCAGAGCGAGATCTGTTCGAGTCACTTCCAATACCTATGATAACTTTGCAAGAGAGGCAATTTACCTTGAAGTCGGAGGTTTTCATTATCTACAAGGTATCATCTTCTATTTTAGTTCGAAATGCAAGTGTTCAAACTTATTCTTAGAGTATGTAAATAAAGGAAAGGCCACGGTAGCAGGCTACTTGACGGACTCCTGTAGAATGCTTGCGGCGAAAAGTCGAGAGAAAAATGTAGAAAATAAGTAACACCGCAACGCGACGAGAATGAATAACAACAAACACACATAAATCAGTTATGGCTAATATTTCGCCCCGGCATACGGGGCTTCATTGAAGCAAATGTAAATGCCGGGGGCGTAATATTAGCTTTCATCAATTTACTTGTGTTTATTGTTGCGTTGCGTCGCATTGCATTGCATTGCGTTGCGTTGCGTTGCGTTGCGTTGCGTTGCGTTGCAGTGTTCCTTATTTTCTACTTCTTTTTCTTAAAGGACTTTTTATGTTTTAAGTGCATTTGCCTTTTAAACACCTTACTTAGTTTCAATTCATTTTGCAGGTTTCCATAACGCTTGTGAATTTTGTAAATGTGTAAGAAATCACAGAATTCTTTCCCATACAGTTAATTTTATTTCTGGTAGACAGTATCCTTCTAAATCGTCAATTTTTGAATCACTTTAGTTTTTTAAAGTTACAGTTTTACAACTGCAAAAGATGATCTTATTGTTTGGATAGAGTTTGTCTTGAAAATGCTTAGTTAATAAGGTAATCCAATATTATTTCGTCGAGAAGTCCTTCGTCTTAGTGTGTTGTCAATTTTTGCAAGAAACACGTTGCTTGAAAACTGTAAAAACTTACTAATATCTTTATTGCTAGGGTAATTGATAAAAGTAGAAAATTATATTGCTTTGTTGTCGGAAATTTCTGAATTTCACTTGTTTCATATTTTGAAATAAGGCCATTATTTTCAGCCGACCATCATTGGTCTTTGAACACGATAAAGAACGGCACCACTACTTTTTTCCCTGACATCGTTGGAGGTCTTCATCTTCTGACATCAAAGATGATTAATACAAACAGCTACACTGCCCACGATGCAGGGAAGCTTGAATTTGTCAATGACTCAGTCAGCGCGGATCTGTCATCGTACGACTCAAGCTGTCTTGCGAATCCCACGAACTGCGCGGACGGTTTTTCAGTCGCATTTTGGTTTAACGGTGGGTTTTTCTTTTTGCCTTTACGGAATTCTTTTGTTTTACCAAGCAGTGTATTGCGTATAGCTACAAGTCCCTGAATGATGTTAAAAAGAAAGTTGTTTCTAGGGTGCCATTCATAGCAGTGAATTAATTCTGATCACTGGATAACAAACTTCTGTTTAAACAATCTTTTGGTGGTACAAAACTTGTAAATGGCTTTGAAAAAAGCAAACATTTAGTAAACTAAAGCTTTTCGTCTGACACTCTTCAGAGTTTAAAACGTCAGAACATAGATCGAAAACTCTACGCTAAGAAATATATATACCCAGTTGGGGATCGAAATAGGCCAATCAGAAACACGAGCACATGACTGTAAAGGTTGACCAATCAGTGCCGCTTGCCTATTAGAATGTTACCATGGAGTCCTAAGGTGAAAACGAACTCCTTTTGTCTACACAGTAGCGGTTTTTTCGTGCTTATGTAGATAGATGTATGGCCTCCCTAAAATACACAAGCCGAATGTCCCACTTAGACCCATTTTGTCTATGATTGACTCAGCACAACACGAACTGGCTAAGTGGCTTTCTGAAGTTTTGGACCCTGTTCTTCAAAAATATTCAAAACATTGTATCAAGGACTCTTTTACGTTCGCTGAGTTCATGCAAAACTTGAACATCGAAAACGAAACATCTTTCATGTGTTTTTTCGACATTAGCAGTCTTTTCACTAATGTCCCTTTGAATGAGACCAAAATATGTGCCGACGCTTTGTACCGGAGCGAGCTTAATAGCCCACCATTCCCAGAGGAAGTATTCATTGAACTGATGGAAACTGCAACACGTTCAGTTGAATTCAGTTTTAACAATGAAATGTACCAACAAAAGGATCGTGTCGCTATGGGTAGCCCTCTGGGACCTGCCTTGGCCAATATCTTTGTTGGCTTTCATGAAGAGCGGTTGTTTGACTGCGACCAAAAGCCAGGTGTCTATTTTCGGTATGTGGATGACACATATACTATTTTCAAAACAGAGGCTGAGTGTGATATTTTCCTAAAACGCCTTAATGGTCTTCACACAGCCCTAAATTTTACATTTGAAAAGGAAGAAAATAACTCCTTGCCATTTCTAGATGTTTTGGTTGAAAAATTTGACACTGGATTTCTCACCAGTGTATACCGTAAACCCACTTTCTCGGGGTTATACACTCGATGGAGTTCGTTTTGCCCAAAACAAAGAAAAATCAGCCTCATCAAAACGCTTACACATAGGGCACTGATGATTTGTTCCAAGTCTAAACTCGACTCGGAACTTGAAAAACTAACTAAGATTTTTCTGGAGAACGGCTATCCAGAAGATGTTATTTCAGTTTACATTAAGGAGAAGATAGGAAATTTCTCGGCTGACGTAAAATTTGGTCCTCAAAAGTGCCCGGTCTATCTAAAACTATCCTGGATCGGTAACAGCTCCCTACGTTTTGAAAGCCAAATAAAACAGGCCATAACAAATTGTTTCTTCGCGGTTAACCCACGTGTTGTTTACAGTACAAAAAAGGCCCTTCCGTCCATTCAAAAGGACTGCGTTTCTGCCACAAAAAAAGTTCTGTTGTTTATGAATTTACGTGCCAGTGTGATTCTGGCTACGTAGGACGCACCACCCAAAGATTGGAGGATAGGATAAAACAACACGTTCCATCTAATATTAGAAACAAAACACATCCCCAAAGAGAACAGCCACCTCGGTCTTGCAAATCCAAAATTACTACTAAAACCTGCGATTCTGCTATCGGGCAGCATTTGCTAGAAAACCCAGATTGTGCAAAAAACTATAATGGCGACGTGTTTCAGATTATTGGTAAAGCCCGATCGTCGTTCCACCTAGCAGTTTTAGAATCTATCTACATAAGCACGAAAAAAATCGCTACTGTGTAGACAAAAGGAGTTCGTTTTCACCTTAGGACTCCACTGGTAACATTCTGATAGGCAAGCGGCACTGATTGGTCAACCTTTACAGTCATGTGCTCGTGTTTCTGATTGGCCTATTTCGATCCACAACTGGGTATATATATTTCTTAGCGTAGAGTTTTTGATCTATGTTCTGACGTTTTAAACTCTGAAGAGTGTCAGACGAAAAGCTTTAGTTTACTAAATGTTTGCTTTTTTCAAAATTCTGTTTGCATCACAAAAAACGATAGGTTACATGATAGGCAATATAAATATATCTGCAAATTTTCAAAAGAAATTGGATCTATAACTCTAGAAGGAAATGCAAAATTAAAGTACACGTCACTATGGGAGTTTGGGGGCTCGGCCCCCCATCCAATCAGCGATGTCGTCGGAAAATTCCGGCTTTCATCGGATAATTGACAACCGTTAAACGTGTCGAAATTACTCCAAGAAATCGTTCTGCAAAGGAATTTTAAGCTGTTTGCCAAATTTTCTGCTCGTTACGCTCGCAGATGATCTGCAATTCCCCTATTTGCCCCAGGGGCCTCTATAGCCATTCTTCTGTGCCTTTTTTGCAAAATTTGAACATAGCATAGCTGATAAAATATTAGCCAGTACCAAGATAAAATAAGGAACTAAGATAGTCTAACTAAATTTGCCCGAATTGCCCACTTTGCCTAGGCCATTTTCTCGTTTCCCTAGGTTATTTGATTTGTCAACAAAGCACATCGTTTTGTTCCTCAAACATCGGCGAACATCTTCGTAACAATTGTTTATTGTTTTGACCGTGTTCGCTGTGTCTCTGGCCCTTTGGAAACTAAGCAATTTCGGGCCCTCCATTGGCAGATCCCAGTGCATAGCATAGCTTAGCATATTTTATCTTGCCAGTACTAAATAATCAATCAAACAATATATGACAAAGATCAAAACTGCTTGTGAATTGTATATTTGATTCAATTCCGTAAAGATTAGCCTGAATTTACATTGGATTCTTGCGACAAAAGTTATTTTCAAACTTATTTCTCACTGACGAAAACAAGAAAAAATGCAGAAAATGAGCGTACGACTTGTCAAAAGTGTCGCCCTCTTGTTTCATCAATTGTATCTTAGATGATCGATCTTGATATCAAAAATCATAAATGGATTGTTCTTCTTGCTACTTAATTATGACGTGGTCGGCAAAGATTTCTAGCAGGTCCTGTCAAAAAATCATCCATTTTCATCAAAATGTTCAGTTTCTTTAAAATTAGACATGATCCAAGATGTTATATTGTCGGAAAATCGTAAGCCTGGGCTCTCCCAAATGAAAGCCTGAATTTTCGCCACTGCGTTTGCAATGAATATCAAGCCTCGTTTCCATAACATTTAAATTCCGACAATCGAGTCGCATTACAAACCTAACCCAGCAGCCTCGGTTCTGCGTACTTACAGTGATTAAACAAAATATGAAATTTGTAACTGTTATCTCCGATGCTGCAACCAGAATTAATACATGTGTGCATAATCGTACTTGCGAAAGGCAATTCTACCGATGCCGGTAGGCCAAAATCATGTAGCAAGCTGTTTACGATTTTAAGATACAGACACACCTTCCTGCCTCTCTGCCCTGATTCGCCATCTATTCTTCTTTAAAAGATTTCTTCTGGAAAATCTGAATCGCTTTCGTGACGAAGTTTTTTCATGGAGCTTTTTGACAACACCGACAAACAAAGGCACATCCCCATTCCCACCGATCGTCTGCGAGTCTATTGTTCATTTATAAACGAATCAAAACGCTCTAATTGTTAATTTCAAGTCAATCACAATCGTGACATTTATCATTCAACGTAAGAATATTTTCATGTAGACTTATTGTTAGGAACAATTCGCATTGAAACAGGAGAAGCAATCTTCGAATAAATCCCTGAAATAGGTAAAAAATTTATGCGTTCTAAAAGTTCATTTCTTTTCCAACATTGATCTAGGTTTGCTATTTGAAGAAGCGATTAATGTTTTTTATATCATTATTTCGCTTTGTGCCCGAGTTAACGAAAGTTTAAATTGTATAAAAGGTAACTTTTTATTCGATCAGTGAAATCTAACAGCGGGGAATTTGCAGTAATGACAGTTGGAAATGAAAACGCCGGTCAAAGCTTTGTTGGCTTCAAAATCATCTTTACAACTGCGAAAAAGTTAAATATCGATGTTATAACTGAAACTGTTCATTATAATGGTACCTATGACATCGCCCAAAACGGCTGGTTACATTTTGCTGTCACATGGTCCAAATCGTCTGGTATACGCCTGTATGAAGATGGGGTTCTTGTAGTCAATGGCAGCTTTGTCGAAGCTGTTGCTTTTCTCAATAGTGCCAGTAAGATCCATATTGGAGCGAACACAGCAAATCGTGGAACTCAGCTGCACGATTTGAAGTTGTGGAGCTTTTGGCTGTCTGCAAACGATGTCATGAATATCTTCAGTCCAGGTGAGCTTTGAATAAAATATTCCGGCAAAAGATGCATATAAAAGAATCTTAATTTGGCTAAGCCTCAATATTCTCAAAAAATTTTATATTTCTGAGCCTAAAATTATTGCAAAATGATCTTAGTAAGAAATTACATATCGTTGCTATATACTTTCTTCATCACTAAACATTTAAGGAAACGAAGCATACTGGCACAATACAAGCTTGAGTGTTTCTCGAATTTTTTACGTGGAAGTCAAGTTTGCCTTATTTGGTAAAAAACTCATTTAGATAAAAAGTCAAATTTTTGATTAAATTCGGGCCTGGCTTTAATTCTTTATCGATTTTTAAGTTTCACCAATTTTGAGGTGAAATTCTCTTAAAAAATTTATTCTTATAAAAATGTCTGTAGTGGAAAAGGAAGCTCCTTACTGGAGCAAGTTTCATACCGTGGTTTCCCTATTTTTTTAAATTAAAGCCTCTTGAAACGATAGATTAAACTCACAGATTTCAGGTGATTTCTTTCCTTTATTGCGAAGATTACTCAATAAATATGATCTCTGGTGACATCTCTTCCTATGAAGGTCGTTCCCGCACGATTACAAACTTTTTCTAAAATGTTATCATCCCTAGAGCTGGTTAGAAAGTAGATATTTCTGTGTAATAATTTCTTGGCTGATCTTTTAATTGATCATTTGAAAAGACTAAATCGGTTTTAGAATTTTTTTGTATCTGTACGACATCTTTATAGTATCTAGAGTCTTTGATCAAACACTTATTATTCCTTGCAAATTTAAAGTCATCTGAGTTTAATTTTTTCTGTAGGGAAAGGAGACTACAGCCAGAAGGCTGAGGATATGACAAAATTCAGTGAGTAAAATGCCATTTTCAATGTCTATATGACAATTTGTTAGAACAAAAATTACAATTCTATTTTACATCTTTAGAATGATAATTTTTTTGCAAATTCACTGCTGTAATATTTGTTTGTGTCTAGATTTGCTACCACCTAGCTTCTGAAATTAGATTTTGGGACACTGAGAGGCAGATTTTGGGACACTGAGAGGCAGATTTTGGGACACTGAGAGGCAGATTGTGGGACACTAAGAGGCTGTGCTTATCGAGTAGTGTCCTGGTCCCTCCCCCCGGTTTAGCCAAAACTCATAATTCTTACTCCCTGAATCATAGACAGTGGACAACTCTCCTCTCTCCAAGTGAAAGTTTTTGTCATGGAAATGATTCTAACCACAGACCCTTGGATCTTTAGTCTGCTTCCCTAATAGCCAAAGATCCCATCCTTGCAACTCCAGTGATATTTGTTGCAAAATATGTGAAAAACTATAACTTCTCTCGGCTTTGATCCCAATTTAGGAAAAAGTTTCAAAAATAGTAATCAGTAATATGATAAACAATCAGAAATTATCAATCATTATCAATCATCATTTCTTCGATTTTCTATGCTTTGTGGTTTTAAGATGACAACTAATGCTAGGTGTTGCTATCATTAATTGATATTATAACGGTTTCGATATCGCACTTGAAAAATTCTGTGCTTCGATCTTGCAATAATTCATACACTGAGCTAGTAAGATAACCTTTTAAGACATTTTGAAATTCAATTTCAGTTCCAATTTTTTATTTTTTCTTATTTGTTTAAAAAGTGCTCTGTTTAAAAAGTGACAATATTTTTGGCTCAGTAGCTAGGGGCACAGATGGAAAATCCAAGTTTTAAAGCTTCGAAATTTTTGCTAAGATCGATGAGAGTCGCCAGCTTTTATTAACTCCAAGCGTTGACATCCTAGGCGAACTCCGATTTGCGTTTTTCGAGCCTCTTTGCAGCATCGAGGTCGCTATGCTGAGCACAGCTTACCGTAAATTTTTGTTAACGCCCCCTGGGGGGTTTATTATTTTCAGCACTTTAAAAAGGGGGCTTATAAGAGAGGGGGCTTAATTGAGAGAGGGGCTTAATGAATATTCGTAATAAAAAATCATTTTCAGTGGCAGACGAATTTTTGCTATTTCCGAATTAAATTACACCATATCAGGCTCTTTCATCAATAACATAATCATCATCATCAGTTGCAATTCTGAAATATCGTCTTGGGCCATGTCGTCTTCTCAAATCGAGCATTCGCGGGGGGCGACTTCAACTCTCTTTGAGTACCAACTGCCTGTAATTTTGGAAAAATTTTCTCACGTGGCTCGTGCTTAATGCACTTTAAATCTTTGTCTTCGGATCCGTCCAGACTGAAAGAAAAATGCTTTGAATTTTGAGATTGCTTTGAAAAAACACGATGAAAATATATATCCAGTTGTGGATCGAAATAGGCCAGTCAGATAAAATCAAGCACACGACCGGCCAATCAGTGCCGCGTGCCTATAGAAAATTACCACTGGAGTCCAATTTGATGAGGAGTATTGAACGACCAGTGGATAAAATAAACCTATCTTTTAACTTTGTCAAGTTTACCTATCTTTGCATAAATGAAGTTTTTTAGAGGGGGGGGCTAAATTGTGAGGGGGCTTATTATTTTTCCTTCTGAAAAAGGGGGGGCTAACAAGAGAGGGGAGGCTGAATTAAGAGGGAGGCATTAAAGAGAATTTACAGTATTACGTTCTGATTAGGTATGAGGATTAAAAATCACAGGTCACATTTCGAAGAAGGGGATCTTATATCTAAACTATCTAGGCAGTAGCAAATACTATGATATCTACTTTACAGGGCCAGGAACCTGTTTGGGAGCAATGGCAGCTTATGGGAGAAAAGTTTCTGTCTATGAGCTTTATCACGTCGAGGGCTCCTTCCCTTTAAAGTGCATTCCAGTTGAAAATGGCGTAAAGTATTACATCTTCCCGGATTTACCTGTTTACAATGTGACTGGGCCATGGAAGAGCAACTTTGAAGCGACGATCAAGTATGAACAAAACTCAAAGACTATCATCAGACATCTGATAAACTCAGCCTCGTCCTGTGAACAGAAGGTCTCGTTTACGTGCATGATGACTGGCATATCTGATTCAGATCTGTATGGCTGGAATAATGAGTTGCTTGTTGGAAGTTGCGTTGGCGGTACATGCAACTGTGTGGCCTCAGCTTCTGTTGTACAAAAAGACATCAAACAATATAATGTCACAAAAAAATTGCCACTTACGAAAATAATCAGAAAAAGTATTAGCTTGTCCAATCACTACCAGATGTTTGATATTGGCCCAGTAGAGTGCTTTCAAGGTATTGATTCCAGATACTTTAACTGTATTTTAACTGAACATGTCCACATCACACTAATCATCTGAATTTTATTTCGTTTAGTTATCCCTGATTATGTATGGCCGCACTGATTTCTGACATAAAACTCATTATCTTTGTCAAAGTGGAAAATCGAGAAAACTTTTTCAAGTTTGACAAAAAGAATCCGATTTCCGCTTGGAAATCCGAGCGCTCTGCAGTTGGTGTGTAAAATTGTTGTTTGCTGTTTGGTTAATGTAAAGTGGTTTAAAACAAAGAACGATTTGACTTTGGGTATTCTGTGGCGCCAGAAAAATGCGTTAATTGCTAATCATTTCCGTTTTACAGACTTCATCCTGCTCTGGGGCAGGACGGAACCTTGAGGGATTAGTGAATTTGGTTCGGTGACAATTTGGGTGGGCGCATTGGAAAATCAGCATTTGTTTACTAACTAGCTTAATCCCTTTTCTCTATGAACAATAGAAGTTAAGTGTCTCAGAAGTTTTTCCTGAAATCTTGTTCGGTGCGTCTAGGGCCTATAACTCGTTCAACAGTAGCAAACCTTTACCCACTTGCTTGAAAAATATTATAAATATGTGATATGATTTTTTAATATTTTTCCTTGTCAATCACGCCATTCTTTATAAGCTTTTCGCTTTTTAGATATGAGGGTTTATAGCTCATGCAAACATGCTTTGGAAGTAAATTCATTTGCAGCAGGAAAGTACACCATTTCGACGTCAGTGAAAAACATTTTTGTTCACTGTTCAAAGAATGATAGCAACTTTGTGACGCGCATAGATCACGAACTTAGCGGACTGTCTATTCGTGTTCATGGTTATGAGGAACACGGAAGCTATGTCAGGCTTATTCGGTACCTCGAGGACTTTGAAAGTATACTGGCTGTAATAAACGTAGCAGATTCGTGCAAACAAGAGGTAACTGCTGAATGCTACAACTCCCTTCTACCGGACTATTCATGGTTTGATGATCGTGATGGAAATAAGATCAACTATCAATGTAAATGTGGGACTGAAAATAACTGCCCTACAACGGGACCCACAAGGTCGTGTAATTGCCAAAACAATGATAATGTAATAAGAAATGACATTATCGTTTACTCACAAAAGTCTCAACTTCCTCTAACCACTCTGAGAGCTGGCGATACAGGCAATCCACCGGAGTACATCACATTTGAAGTTGGCAGCTTGGAGTGCATCAGTGGTAAGTTTAAGCTTTTTCTCTCGGCTTGTTCTTTAAAGTTTTGTCATGATTTAAAGCACAATACACGTATTTTTTATAAGAAACTAAGGTCCGGTGCTGGTAGGCAGTTAAATTTTCTGGCCATTTTGCTATCAAAAGTTTCTTAGATGTTTCTTAAATTTCTTAGGTAATGAATTTTTTAAACGTGCTTCCAAAGTAAAGTGAATAGTTCACTCACATTCAGTGATGAACTAACAAAGTGATCAAGGAGTTTTGTTTTCCTAGAATGACAAACTCTGTTGAGATCTGTAAACAGTCAAGCTCATCGAAAAGCTGATTGAACTTCAACAATGTCAAGTTGAAGTCAAAACAAATTTTAAACGGAAACTTCTTGAATGTGCAATTTACTGAGAATGAATGCAAACTGCATGTCAAGTGTAGTGCTGCAATATACAGAGTGATGTTCAATGTCAAGACTGTTTCGAGTGTCAACTCGGAAAATAAAAACTGCAAATTATAAAAGTTTCTTAGCTTTTTCAATTTGGGTAGGGTTGTTTCTTAACTTTCGAAAAATTGAGCCTACCGTTCTTATAACCCGTTTCTTATTAAAAAATGAGTCTATTAGTATAACGTTATATATGACCTGCAGTACTAATCACTAACCCTAAATTGAATGAACTTTGTGCTGATTTTGTAAACAATTCTGGTCAACTATCAGTTGCAAACAACTTCTGTTACGATGATAACGTCAAAAGATTCAAGCCTCTTTCAAGTGACATCATTAAAGATAACGTTAATGATCTTTTCGAATTGTTCTGCCCCTCAAGATAAACAGGAACCAATTAAGAAATGGCAATAGGTTATGCACGTCTGCATCATAAAAAACTGACCCTGACATATATGAATTTTGTACAATTTTTCAAGCTAAGGGTGCCAGGCTGTTTGTTTTTTGTATACACGGTGGAAAAATATTTTGGAAATTTTTTCTGCCCTGTGATAGCTAACTGTCCTTTGAACTTTGATCTTTGAATGAACTTTGCTACATTTTATACAGCTGGTTATTGCAAAGATTTTCAGCCCTTAGGTTTCCCACACGCACGATGCCTGTCAAAAATCCTGAAACACACAGCAATTTGCCTTGTATTTTATATATTTCATTTCACTACCACCGTCCCCTTTCCTCTAAGAGCAGTGTTGACAGTTTAGACAAAAGTCATACAAGTAACGAAGCAGAAGGTACTTCCTCTTCTCCTACCTCATACGCAGTTCTATAGTAAACAATCGTTGTTTTATGGGGGAGGGAGTGGATTGTTTTACAAGGGAGGGAGTGGCTGATTTTGATCTTGAAAACTGGCATCAGTGTTCCAACACTTTTGCCCGGCATTGTAGATGATCAGTTAGCGCGAATAGTCAGAACCCGGAAAAAAATAATATAAAGCTGAAATTAGGCACAGACACTCTATACAATTGTATTACAAGAGATATATAAAGGGTGCAGATATATGAGGTAATAGGGCGCAACGCCCTCAACGCCCCCACTTACTTTCCTTAACGCTCTGTAACCCAGGGTAATATATATATTAAGTCACTTTAGCGACATCAAGATTTGAACCCCTTTTGATCAGTCCACCATTATGGGACTTGCCCAAATATGGAACTCCCAATGTTTAAATAATGGGGCTTTTTCTGGTCATTTTTAGTTTTTCTGGAACCTGTGTACTTAATTTTAGCTTTATATGATTCTTGTCCGGGTAAAATCGCAATTCCACTACACTTAGCTTAAAATCTATTCTCTAGTGTCATCATTCAATATAAGTAACAATGTCACGTTTACGACGTTGTGACGTCATCTCCATTGCAATCAACTTTATTTTTAAACTTTTCAAAAGGCAATTCATTTCAACTTTAATATGGTTTTCCATCCTACGCAGCTGTAGCCGCTGGTGTAAATAGTTGCCATAGGGAAACGTCTGGAAAGTCGTGCTACGAAAGTAAAATTTCAAGTAAGTGGAACAAATAAAATAAAATTATTTTCTTAGTAGCATGGGTTTTAGAAGAATGGCCTTCCGTCAGTGAAATCGATTTTCAGTTCTACCTGTACAGTATCAAGGTAGAGAGAGAGAGAAGAATAGGCCCACTGCATGCCTATTCGCAGACGTTGCCCGTTTCGCTCAGAAATAAATACGTGAATTGAAAGTAAGCATTGCCATATCAAAATAAAATGTAAAAGTAAAACACAAATATAAAAGCGATTTTACTGATATGATATCTTTTGGGAGATTTTGCTCCAGTTTTTAATAGAATTGCAGAATGTGACTGATCAGCATATACATTCTTTTTATAAGATTAATTTTTTGAAAACACGATATTTTGTGAAACCTCTAGAAAATTTTTTACCTCAAAACGAGGAGATTTTGCCATGTAGGATTTCTTGGTTGGTTAATTTTCAAACTTTTTCCCAAAAACGATGTCTCACTCACTTTGTTGGCAAACGAGGCTTTAGCAACTCCCCCGACCCCTCCCCACCCCCAGTGCCCAGTAGCTAGCAATGCCACTGCTTCCACCTTAATTATTTAAAAACAAATTAAGAATAATTCAGCCTCAAATGTTTGAAAACAGCCAGCCTGAAATTGAAAAATAGTTATAAAAAGGTCAATATGTGTTGCTTCTAATAAAGTGTTCTTATAAAAAAGAGTGTAAATGGAAGTAGCGAATCCAATGGGTTGAATTGAGACTGTTTTGATGAGTGTTCGTTTTCTTTTTAGACTTTGGTAACTGCGAAAATGAGATGGATTTCAATGGCTGCTGCGAATTTCCATTCACATACAGGAACCGAACATATAACAATTGCACTACAACAGACTCAGTAGTTCCCTGGTGCTCATTAACTCCAGAATATAGTGGACAATGGAGATATTGCATCTCAAGCCAGCCTAAAGGTATGACAACCATAGTGCTATGGGTATGCTTAAATTCTTGGTATAATGGCTTGACTAGTATCCCTCTTAGTTTGAATTAGAATCACAATGCATGCTCAACATGCTTACGTGAACTCTGGCTTATGTTCGGTAGAAATAGATTAATAATAATAACATCTACTTCGATATGTGACAACCGTACCTTATAAGTCAAGAAGTGAGCGGCCTTTCTCTGGATTATAAGCCAGAACTTTGAAAGCCTTCATTAAATAACGAAAGCAAGGCATGCACTCATCGTTCAATAACAATCCAAGTTTGAGATTAGAACTCCGCTCCTTAAGTTTTTTGTTGATTTCAGTGCTAAAAATTTCTTAAAGGTTTTTCAAACACAAAAGGCTAAAGAGCTACTTACAAGAAACACAGTATCAAAGCACAACATGAGATAAGATGAAATATAATACTCATTAAATGACAAGGAGCTCTTTGTTTTATAGAGTTCTCAAATGTGACGTCACAAAAAACTGTTTTTAGAATTTTCGAATTTTGACCACATAACATGAAAGAACACGCTGAAATACTCCCATATATGAAAAATCAGTTAAATTTGTCAAAAATCGGGTGAGCTATAGCCAATAAAAAATTTGAAGTTTGCTAACGGATTACTATTATTTTGGCTCAGATCATAAAGTTATGAACTGAGACCAAATTAGAGAGGTTTAATGGGGCCAGAGCTTGTGCTCATCTGGTCATATCTCAGCCAATTCGTAAAACCTTTAACTGATTTTGCAGATTTAGAGGTATTTTATGATGCACTTTCATGTTATGGTCGAAAGAAAATCTTTCCCATCCCATCTTTGATTTTTGAGTGGTTTTGCAAGGTCAAGGCTAATCAGTGCTAAAGGTCTCATTTTTTGGTTATCTTATGGTTCGCTATTTTACAGACGGTTTCTTCAACTTATCCATTCGTTCATCTTCCAGTCATTGGCTATGCCTACTGTTATTTTTCTCTCCATTTTCAGCTGACATCGACTTTAGTTTGGGTGCAAAGGAAACAACTGGAGACTGGAAAATTGGATACACTTGCAGCGAAGATGACAACAGTGGCCCTTGCTATGATATGACTTTTTCATCAACTCCAAGTACGTTCTCTTCATATTCCTATTTCATATATGCCGTTACTGGAGTTTTTCATAGAGAATTTGAATGCAGTCAATTATCCTTACTTTTTTCTTTCCCATTTTTTCCAAAGGCTCCTTCACAAGATTCGTTACTCATTTTGCCACCCCAGTCAGGCTCTAGGGTGAATCCTAAATTCAGAGGGACTCCCTTGATTCCAATTTTGAAGCCTTTTTCAATTTTTAGTAGAAAGTGTCTAAAGAAAGAATCTGAGTTGGTTTGGAGATATCTTAATTTGTAAGCATTTATAAACCTTAATTTCAAAGAGGCTCTCAAAAGGGGCTCTTGAAATTTTTGTACTTTTAATTTGTGGACCAAACTGGAAACAAGTTTTCAAACATAGTTTGTTAATAACATAAAAGATTATTATACATACTTTTCAGTATTTGTATACTCCTCACATGCTAGAACATATTTTTCTAAGATACCATAATACAGAATCAACATTTTATTTCATCTTTGTCAATTTCTATATTATCTTCCATTTATCAGGATTTGGCTTTAAACTGTCATCTTTTTTCGTTGTCTAAACAAACATTCATTTGCGAATGAAGCAATCTGTTTATGTTCTTAATCTATGATGTCTGCCTGCTTGATAATCTATTAATATGTATGGCTGTTTGGCCCCTTGAATAAGTCCAGTATTAATTTCCTGCAGATTTCCTAGTCTTAGGTTATCCATTTTTAGATTGTGAACGAAGTTAATTTTAATTGATGTATTTTTTTCTGTCTGTTCACGTTAAGAGAAGAAATTATTCCCCCTTTTTTTCACGGATTTTGGGAGAGCAGTTTGAAGCTCTAGGGGTGAGGTAGCTCAAGACCAAGCTTTCAACTTTTATATCATTTAATTTTAGGTGAAAAATCTCAAGAAAAGCCTGCTGTTCATCGTCTCTCCTATAAGAGTGTTTCATCTCTTGACAAAATTAACGGCTTTTGCACGCAAAAGTTCATTGGGTCGGTCAACTACACTACAACCGCAATATCTTATTCAGCGACTGATTTGACGAGGCCAGAGTTCTTGGACAGCGTCTCTTTCTGCTTATCATCTAATGCTGATAGCCCGGTTGAAGCAATCGTTCACATTTATGCTGCTGTATCGCTTGATGAAGCTGATAGTGTCTATATTTCCAAGTGCAAATATCAGTTTTTCCGGTCAGCGATGTATTTTGGACCGGTTATTTGGAAATACGGACCGGTTTCAGATGGAAAATATATCGGCGGACCAGATTTGAAAAAGATTGTCTTGCCAATCTTATCATCTAGCGATCCAAATGTCAGCCAGAAGCGGATTTATTTGCTGTTGGAATGGCAAGAGTTTTTGATAGGAAATGGTATTACGGACAGTTTGCACAATCCTTGTAAGGAGCTGTATCTACGCCATAAAGTTCGTGGACCAGGTCTGTAACTCTTCATATCTAATCTTAAAACTATTTGTTCTTTTTCTACTTTTACTGCTTTTATAAATCATTGGACATAACGATCAAAATAAATAAAATGCCGTTTTTACACTACCTGGTATTTGTCTGGTATAGCTTTTACTTTAAATGCTGTGCGTTGATTTAAAAAAATTTGATGAACCGAAATCAAAAAGCTGCAAACAGCGATAGAGTCAATTGACTTCATAGAAAACAAAGTCGCGAGCCAGTCTGCAGAGTATGGCTGTTCTCGACGAGCTCTCTCTCTCTCTCTCTCTCTCTCTCTCTCTCTCTCTCTCTCTCTCTCTCTCTCTCTCTCTCTCTCTCTCTCTCTCTCTCTCTCTCTCTCTCTCTCTCTCTCTCTCTCTCTCTCTCTCTCTCTCTCTCGTGATATCATTATAACGAAAGGAAAATGGACAGGAAAATCTTCAAATATAATCAAAAGAGGAAAGAATTAAAAGAAAGGAGGAAAATATTGACAGAGTTCAGAAAACGCCCTATTCTTCATCAGCATGAAATTTGGCCACATTTTCCTTCTATAAAAGTTTCCCTGTATCTTTTGAATAAATTTTTCTTAGAAATGGTATTTAAGCAAAATCATATATGGTCTGGTTTTTGCGCTTTATCAGGAAAAAAAGTTGGAGTAAAAAGCTAAATTATTTTCTCTTTGTACTCGTGTCAAGTCAGGTAGTGGCTTACCTTAAAACTACGCCATCATTGGGTGACTTTCTCTCTGGCTCACAGCCGTGGAACTGTAATGTTTACTTGAATCTGAAAAATTTAGATCCAAAGCCTGAGAAGAAAGTTAATGATGTTAAATGCAAGATTAGGAGCTGCTGAATAACGTAAGATTCAAGAAGTCGTAAACCCCAGACAATTTTTTTCAGTAGATTGACGAATGTTTGAAAGAAAAAGTTAAGTACAGGACTACAAAGGCCCAATTTTTATTATAAAACTGCCTTAACTTTCACCAATACTATGCTGTTTTACGCAATTTTATTATGTGCTCCCTCAAGTTCCTTTGTCTATGATAGTGACAACGCGTTGAAGTTGTGTTTTTATGGGGTGTTACAATTTTGGAAGTTGTGTTTTTATGAGGTATTACTTAACTGGCATTGCTCCTGATAGAAGGGACCTGCAAGTGTATAGTAGGGGCCTGCTAATCTTTTTAAATTTGGATTGTCCAACTCACGAGGTTAACGGTCAACTGTGATCGGTTGTCAGTTAATTTCTTGAGGGTCTTACAATATTTTTCTTCGTCAAGGAAATTATCTACAAGCTGACAAGAGCGATACAAAGAGACAAGGTGAAGCCTTGGTGTATGATGCAAAGTTTTTTTCACCTTCTAAGAAATGTATACGATTCTGGTACTTTATGAGCGCTGTTGGCAATAGTATGTTAATGGTGAATTTGTATCAAGAGTATCACACGGCAAAAGAAATCATAAGAATCGTTGGTGATCAAGGAACCAAATGGAAGAAGGCAACCATTCCCATCGAGGCTCTGGTAGATTCTCAAGGAAATCTTGCGAAGGTATGCCAATAAAATAGGCTTTGCTTAAGTTTTTTGTAACATTTACCCATTTTCTAGAAGTTAAAATGAACATATTTGTTTATAATTCGTTGAGTACCTTCACCATGAAAAAGCAAACAGGCTCATCCCTGCAAATAACAGCGAACCCACTTGTAATAGCGATGTATGGATCATAATTCGGCTTCGTCTCAAAAAATTGCAGAAAATTGTGAGTTTAAGTGATTAATTCTAACTTCTTCTCAAATTTTGAAAACTTTTAAATAGTTTTTTTGTGAATCGCTTAAATGTAAGTAGCGGTGCACAGTTGTCCATGTTCCTTGTGCAGTTAACAAAGATGAAAACTTAAAAGGGCGAAATCGATACACTTTTGCAGGTAATCGTTCATTTCTTTCACTATATTTGCTGTTTAAAAAAATATATTTGCTGCTTTTAGGTATCCTTTGTGGCAATGTACGGCTCGAATAGTTCTCGAAGTATTGCCATAGATGATATCAGTATTCTTAGTGAGTCCTGCATCCTACAACCAAACCAATTGCATGAATATGGAGGTAGGTCTCTACATTTACATGTATTTTTGATAGTTGAAACTCATGGCAAGGCAACGAGTCGTAGCTCGAACGTAGTATCAGACACTGTGTAACTTGGATTTTCTGTTATAAACCGTGAGCAAGGCTCCCTTGAAAGCTACCAAGATGGCTTAGTTATCTAGGAACTCCTAATACGCTCAAAATGAAGCTCCTGATAGCTCGCATTGTTAAAAGTGTCGAGACTGTGAAACATGCAAAACGCAGAGTAACCTTTTCAGGATGTCAGGATGAAACATAAGCTATATCCCGGTAAAGTTTGGCGCTATAACTTCTAATTATCGATGCCTTTCTTACAACAAATATACATTGAGAATGGCAGTTTGATAAGACTATTTATTTTCTTTGGGCATTGAAATAAGGTTATTGGAGTCAGTTCGGTACCCCCAAACGTGTCTAAATTCAACCAAGAGCATTTGTGCTGTGACTGAAAAGCTATTACACTTTTACAAGGCAACATACACAAGTAACTCCTAAAAGTAACTAACGTAACAGGCTGTACCCCCCCCCCCCCCACTTTTTTTGCTAAACCAGGATATCAAGGTTGTAGCATCAAAGATAATGTATAGAGGCTTTTTAAGAGATCTCTATACATAAAATAAATGGAACGAACTCACCGCTTGAGAATTCAAATGAATAAACAAATCCTTCATTTCTCCATCTCAATTTCATTCCTCGATCCTATCACACCCCATAACAAAACTAACATAAACTAAATTGTTTCCATGGATATTTGATATTTGAGGGTTGGTTGGTTGCCTAATTATCATAATGATCGGATTGAACCCCCTGGAAAATTAACGTATCAATAAATTCTAGTTCTAGGCCATCTGCCAAAAGCTGCGATATTCATTCCTCTGGACCATTCATTGTATGACAACAACTCTGCCTCTGTGATGTTTTCGCCATCCTCTCCTCCTGGGCCAAAAACTGCGGATAACTTTGGCTACCCACATCAACATGCATACTTTAATGGCGTACAGAACCGTTTACATGTAACATACCAGGATCAAATAGAACTTTCAAATGATTTTACAATCTGTCTTAATACAAAACCAGCTTCATTGTCAAGTACACTGAATCTGCTCCAAACTTCTGATGGTAGCCTCGTGCTACGAATGATTGAAGGAGGAACTCTGACATTGTGGTAAGTACCAGTTTCTTTCTCTCCCTGATGTTTTTCCAAGTTACAAATCATGATATACCTGGAGAAAGATTTCTGTCTTCCCCTTAATTGCTAAAATTTTATAGCAATCTCCAAAAAGTTTATAGCAAATCTCCAAACTCAATAACTGACAATGAGCTAAGACCTGATAATGCCTGGTGACAGATGAAAAAATATCTTCAGCGTTTCATTAATTTTTTTCATGAATATAGATTGTTTTGTGCTTTCAAATTTATCTCTAAACATTTAACGATCAAAATGTATACCTTATTTGATTCATTAAACGCACTCTATTTAATAAACGCCCGGAGCTATTGTTAGAAATATTGCGAAGAAGCAATTTTTTATGTTGCGCATACTTATGGTTATAAAAATATCATATTACACAGAGGGAAATAAGCCGCTCCACACAGGTTGAAAAATAGTGTCAGCCACCACATTTTGAGATGGAAGAGAGAAGGAGGATCCTTGTGAAATAGCGAATTCCAACGTGGATGAGAATCGACCTTAAGTTAAACTGATTCAGATAAAGAAGAGAATGAATTAATATCAATTGATTAGATTCTGTACTTGCCAGATCTGGCCTGGATTAATTTGAAAATATGATTTTATCTTGCAGATAACATTCTCTTAATGCCACCATTAAAACCAAAAATTTTAATTAACGCTAAGAACTAAGCCTGAAAATTAAGAAAGTATTGATCTTCGTATAAAGATTGTTATATTACGATTTTGGTATAAAGGTTGTAATATTATGAAAATTTTAAATTTTTGTTCCACTGAATATTCAAGAATGTGTATCAGTGTAATTGTATCCGGATACTGTAACCTGCAGGAATTCGACCTAGCAGTTACCAAGCCTTTAAAGTGATTTTGGAAATTTTGAGAGTTTTGAGTTAAATTCATCCAGAACGATGATAACGTAATGTAGACTACAACAAAGATGAGGACGACGGTGAAGATGACGTAACAACGGCGAATACAAAAACGACGAATACGAAGACGACGATTCAGAGAGGACGAATACAAAGACGAAGAATACAATGACGACGATTACAAAGACGACGAATACAAAGACGACGAATACAAAGACGACGAATACAAATACGAAGAATACAAAGACGAAGAATACAAAGTTGACGAATACAAATACGATGAATACAAAGACGAAGAATACAAAGTTGACGAATACAAAGACCACGATTACAAATACGACGAATACAAAGACGACGAAAACAAAGATGACGAATACAAATACGATGAATACAAAGACGAAGAATACAAAGTTGATGAATACAAAGACGACGATTACAAATACGACGAATACAAAGACGACGAATGCAAAGACGACGAATACAAAGACGTAGAATACAAATACGACGAATACAAAGACGACGAATACAAATACGATGAATACAAAGACGACGAATGCAAAAGACGACAAATACAAAGACGACGAATACAGAGGCGACGAATACAAAGACGACGAAAACAAAGACGTAGAATACAAATAGACAATTACAAAGACGACGAATACAAAGGCGACGAATACAAAGACGACGAATGCAAAGACGACGATAACAAAGACGACGATTACAAAGACGACGAATACAAATACGATGAATACAAAGACGACGAAATGCAAAGACGACGAATACAAAGACGACGAATACAAATACGACGATTACAAAGACGACGAATACAAATACGATGAATACAAAGACGACGAATGCAAAGACGACGAATGCAAAGACGACGAATACAAAGACGTAGAATACAAATACGACGATTACAAAGACGACGAATACAAATACGATGAATACAAAGACGACGAATGAAAAGACGACGAATACAAAGACGACGAATACAGAGGCGACGAATACAAAGACGACGAAAACAAAGACGTAGAATACAAATACGACAATTACAAAGACGACGAATACAAAGGCGACGAATACAAAGACGACGAATGCAAAGACGACGAATACAAAGACGACGATTACAAAGACGACGAATACAATACGATGAATACAAAGACGACGAATGCAAAGACGACGAATACAAAGACGACGAATACAGAGGCGACGAATACAAAGACGACGAAAACAAAAGACGTAGAATACAAATACGACGATTACAAAGACGACGAATACAAATACGATGAATACAAAGACCACGAATGCAAAGACGACGAATACAAAGACGACGAATACAAAGACGACGAATACAAAGACGAGGAAAACCAAGACGTAGAATACAAATACGACAATTACAAAGACAACGAATACAAAGGCGACGAATACAAAGACGTCGAATGCAAAGACGACGAATACAAAGACGACGATTACAAATATGACGATTACAAAGACGTAGAATACAAATACGACAATTACAAGACGACGAATACAAATACGATGAATACAAAGACGACGAATGCAAAGACGACGAATGCAAAGACGACAAAACCAAGACGTAGAATACAAATACGATGATTACAAAGACGACAAATACAAATACGATGAATACAAAGACGACGAATGCAAAGACGACGAATACAAAGAACAGAGGCGACGAATACAAAGACGACGAAAACAAAGACGTAGAATACAAATACGACAATTACAAAGACGACGAATACAAAGACGACGAATACAAAGACGACGAATACAAAGACGACGAATACAAAGACGACGATTACAAAGACGACGAATACAAATACGATGAATACAAAGACGACGAATGCAAAGAAGACAAATACAAAGACGACGAATACAAAGACGACGAATACAAAGATGATGAAAACAAAGATGACGAATACAAATACGATGAATACAAAGACGACGAAAACAAAGACGTAGAATACAAATACGACGATTACAAAGACGACGAATACAAATACGATGAATACAAAGACGACGAATGAAAAGACGACGAATACAAAGACGACGAATACAGAGGCGACGAATACAAAGACGACGAAAACAAAGACGTAGAATACAAATACGACAATTACAAAGACGACGAATACAAAGACGACGAATACAAAGACGACGAATGCAAAGACGACGAATACAAAGACGACGATTACAAAGACGACGAATACAAATACGATGAATACAAAGACGACGAATGCAAAGACGACGAATACAAAGACGACGAATACAGAGGCGACGAATACAAAGACGACGAAAACAAAGACGTAGAATACAAATACGACGATTACAAAGACGACGAATACAAATACGATGAATACAAAGACCACGAATGCAAAGACGACGAATACAAAGACGACGAATACAAAGACGACGAATACAAAGACGAGGAAAACCAAGACGTAGAATACAAATACGACAATTACAAAGACAACGAATACAAAGGCGACGAATACAAAGACGTCGAATGCAAAGACGACGAATACAAAGACGACGATTACAAATATGACGATTACAAAGACGTAGAATACAAATACGACAATTACAAAGACGACGAATACAAATACGATGAATACAAAGACGACGAATGCAAAGACGACGAATGCAAAGACGACAAAAACCAAGACGTAGAATACAAATACGATGATTACAAAGACGACAAATACAAATACGATGAATACAAAGACGACGAATGCAAAGACGACGAATACAAAGACGACGAATACAAAGGCGACGAATACAAAGACGACAAAAACAAAGACGTAGAATACAAATACGACGATTACAAAGACAACAAATACAAATACGATGAATACAAAGACCACGAATGCAAAGACAACGAATACAAAGACGATGAATACAAAGACGACGAATACAAAGACGACGAATACAAAGACGACGAATACAAAGACGACGAAAACAAAGACGTAGAATACAAATACGACGATTACAAATACGATGAATACAAAGACGACGAATGCAAAGAAGACAAATACAAAGACGACGAATACAAAGACGACGAATACAAAGACGATGAAAACAAAGATGACGAATACAAATACGATGAATACAAAGACGACGAAAACAAAGACGAAGAATACAAATACGATGAATACAAAGACGAAGAATACAAAGTTGACGAATACAAAGACCACGATTACAAATACGACGAATACAAAGACGACGAAAACAAAGATGACGAATACAAATACGATGAATACAAAGACGAAGAATACAAAGTTGACGAATACAAAGACCACGATTACAAATACGACGAATACAAAGACGACGAATACAAATACGATGAATACAAAGACGACGAATACAAAGATGACAAATACAAATACGATGAATACAAAGACGAAGAATACAAAGTTGACGAATACAAAGACCACGATTACAAATACGACGAATACAAAGACGACGAATACAAATACGATGAATACAAAGACGACAAATACAAAGATGACAAATACAAATACGATGAATACAAAGACGAAGAACACAAAGGCGACAAAAACCAAGACGTAGAATACAAATACGATGAATACAAAGACGACGATTGCAAAGACGAGAATATGACGTATAGGAAGACGAATATGCTTACAGTGGCAGTAAAGCATCACACTTTCACCAATATGACAACATCATGAAAACCTTTCGAATTTACAGCACAGCCTTAAAGAGAAGTTACATTTCACCATTAAATATGTTAGGAATTCCAGATAGTTTTGTATTCATAAATTTTTAATCTTCCATTTTTAAACAAAATTTTTCTACTGATGATATTATTTTCTTTTTGAATTCCAGGTTCAATACCAAGGAAGGACAATTTAATGAAAATTTTAAACCAATCTTGACTGAAGATGCATGGAACTTTATTTGCGTCGTGTTCCAGCAACACCGCGGAGCATTCAATTTCTTTGTGAATGGGCAGGTTCGTGAACTCTCGAACTTTCAAACGTGGGACTCTTGAATCAATTAGCAAAGTTTAACAAAGTCAATAAAAAGTCTACTTGCTTTCTATAAAGGTTCTTTTATATGGAAGCTGTTTGAAACGTGGTTTATGCACGTTGGCACAAATGAGACTAATTTTGGTGAAAAGCAGACATTTGCACATGGAACCAGGAATTTTAGGTCGTACTGTAAGATACCTTTCGTTCAATGTAATATAACCTATATCAAATGGCTTTTTCAGTTTGCAATTTGGTAGGTTTAAAATTTGGTAGGTTTAACTTCCGGGTCTCTTTGAAATCCTTTTGTAAACATTTTTTCTAAATCATTTTACTTTCCTCTTCAGCTGATGCAAACGGTCCACACTGGCTTTGTTGAGCCAAGCATTGTTGTAAAGACACTCAAGATTGGTCATCTTATTTTGAATAAAGGAAGAAATTTTATAACGTGCGTACAGATATATTCTAGCGCAATAGATGATGCTGTCATACCAGCTCTTGAGCTTTGCCCAAACCGTCACAGTAAGTGTTTCTTTTTGCTTTTTGAATTGTTTTATTCCAGTTCGAAGACTCCACCACGTATTGTCATCGTGGCTTTAAAAATTTACCTATCAGGGGTGAAAATGATTCCCTAGTAACGCAAGAAATGCTTCCAAATAGCACTTAGTTTTAGATTCCGTCATTAATTTTCTTGATATAGTCACCTCACCTCCCATTTCTGCCAATAGATATTGTACAATTTTGCCTATACTTGATAAAATTTGTACAAAAGTAGCTAGTTTTCACTTTTCGAAAGGGATGTGTTTATGCAAGACACCAATCGAGTCCTACCGTGGCCGTATTGCTCGCTCGCTTTTCTCCCAGTATGTTTATTTTATATTTTCCTCTGTATTGTAGATGTTTCTTCTTTATGTGACCTTGCTCTTGTTTTCATTTTTCTTTAGAAATTTAGGTAGAACATTCTTTTTAGCACGATAATTTGCTTAACGATAGCTTAACAATAATTTGCAATTCAAGAAATTAAAACTAATGCTCGAACTACATCTACATTGGCACTCATAGCGAGGAGAATTGTTAGCTCTTTAAAGCTTTAGGCAATGGGATGATATCATGCGGTCTACTCGTTAATAAGGACAAGATTATTTTTTAATAGCAGTAACTATTGAGCTCCCAAAACCTGTCATCAACTTTAGACAGAGACATGAAACTTGTGAGTAACCAAGTGTACATTGTTTTCTTTCTCCCACCTCTTCGCTGAAAAAAGTTAGTTTGGCATGGGTGCAGCATTTGATTTCTAGAATTATTCCCCTCCCATCGCACTTGACTATTTTTCCTCATCTTTGTTCTTGTACAAATGAAATAAATCTACTATTTCTAAATAGCTTTTTTCTATTAATTATTTTTTAATACATATTTAAGTCCAAAACTTTATCTTTAAGTTAATTTATCAGTTACTTTGTTTCCGAATATTTCTCTGTTTTTACTTATTCACATGCAAAAAGATGCTAATGATAAATACCTTTTACCTGCTAGATACCTATAATTCAATGTAATTTTATTCTGTGGAATGGTAATAGCATGATATTTTTCCGTTTTAGTGGTCAGTGCCTGCAAGATGAAATGCAGCCGTGAATCTGTTTGTGATCAGCTTTCTCAAAGGTGTCTTTGTCCATCTTATGCCAATAGATTCGTAAAAGAAGATTGCTCTAATGGTATGTATGTTTGTTTGTCTAAGTGGAAATGTATTTACCGACGTTAAGAGGGGTTCTGTTTAAAAATCAACAATTCGTTATTCGCGAAAGCAGCCATTTGCACGTACTGTGTGAATGCATAGGCAGTTAACTATCTTAAACTATCTGTAGCGTGACTTCCTTTTGGATGTTTTTGACTTACCCTAGAAAGACAATTTCAGGTCATGCCCTTAAAAACACCTGAAAACTTACCAGATATCTCTATCTAAAGGAATATCTGCCTGGTTAACAATCTGGTGATCAATGTCTACGAGAAGACACCTAATATTGTCACATAATATTTTCATATTGTCATGTAACTTTGTCATGTAATATTGTCATGTAATATTCTCATGTAGTGTTATCATGTAAGCATTATGCCATGGTAAATCCTTTTTAGAATGAGTTGGAAATACTTACACATTTATTGGGTAGTCAGTAGACAGGTCTAGAAACAAATAAGAAATCAAATGTTTATGAAAGTGGTATAATAGAAGGGAGTTGTGGTTCCATTGGGTTGCCCCCTTGCACCTTAGCGGCTGGCGTGTTAAAGCTATTATTCAGGCCCTTTTTTATACCACTGCCTTAACAAGACTGTTCTACCATGACAATACAAGTTTATTGCCGTCATTTTTTCTTTTAATAGCACTAGAGTCCACGGTGTATAGTGGTTATGCTGATTACATGGGATTTGATGATCGAAAAATGCTACCTGGCAAAACGTTTCAGAGCATTGCGGAAGCTGAGAATAGAACGAAGACGAACATATCATTCTTTCAAGACACGACCTTTGTCTTCGTGCCTGGTCCAGTTAGCTCTGCACTTTGTGCCTTTAAACCAGCAGCAATAAGCATACCATTACAGTCGAGTTCTTGTTTCTCAACTGGAACATGCGTCAACGGTATGACGCTAGTGGTTTGGCTGTACATCCCAGCTGTGCTTGACTGGAACGCGGTTGGTAACGTAACGCTTTTCACTTACGGTAGACTCAAGGTTATCTACGGCGTTGTTAATGACATGCGCAATGGAACTACCAAGCCAATCCCATCGCTGATGTTCGCCTATACACAAAATGGCGAAACCTGGCTTTGGGTATCGATGATATACGGCAGCTCGATAACCGAAGCTTGGTCTCATCTTGCCATCACCGTGGACTCCTCGCACGACGTTCAGGTTTATTACAACGGTAAACCAAGTTTTGTGAAAAAATCAGCTAAAGTGGAACCAGCTGAGACAGAGACAGCTAATATTGTCACTGGGGATCTAGAATACACGTGCTTTGATGAATTCGTTGCTTGGGACAATTTTCAGTTAAAAAACCAAATAGAGAGAATATACAATCTCTCGGTTTTTGGAGGTATGGTATAAGTTTATATGCAGGGAACGTGAATTTCTCTTTCAAAAAAGTTTTAAATTACAAATTATTATTAGAAAACACACATAACTCCTGCAAACTTTTATTTGGAAAATCTTTCATCCCTTACTTTATTTCATTTCCAATATCTCCAAGTTACCTGCCGTCATGTTACGAGGTATTGTTAAGCTCCCAACAAAAAAGGATCGTTAAGCTTCAAGCGATCGATCCAAAAAGGATAATTTTAATGTACGTTAGAAAAGATTTCTAGGTATCTAAAAAGAAGAAATATTTTAAGGTATCTGAAGAAAAGGAATCTTTTTATGTATCTGATAAGCCTTTTGGCTTGTATTATAAAAACGAGCCACGGAAGCTTGGAATGTGAAGTCACAGGAAATGGAGCAATAACAAAGTTTACAATTTATCATGTGACATCCACTTCAATAGTATCTTGAGCTAACCTTTATATCCTTCAATTACCTAACATTATCGAATACTTCATCCCTCGAAGGTTTCTTAGCACAATTTAATCAAATTTCAGGACAACAAGCTACTGAAAGCCGGATTCTCTTCAGAAAATTGGCCCTCAAGGAACCCGGTGATTTGTGGGCAGTTGATCGATCTGATGTTGCTTATAAATATCATGATGGATCTTGGATACCGTTGCCAAGCGAGCCGATTCAGGTTATTCATTCAGGGATGTTGGGTGTTATTGCAGTACACAAGAACAATAGTTTATACAGAAGAGCGGGTATCACACCAGAAAATCCTGTTGGATCATCATGGGAACCCCTCTTGACAAATAGTATGTTGCTACCGATGCGGCTTATGTCATCTGCCAATCAACTATCGGCCAATCAAGAAGCTCCTGAGTGATATCGCGGTTGCTCATTGGCCAATGTTGATTGACAGATGACTCAGCCTCGTCGATTGCCTTTAAAATGTATCTTATAACTGAATTTCCTAATGCCACTCTAACTCCTAATGTAAATGCTCATAATTTCTTACTGCGTTTGAATTTATAAGAGTTAAGTCAAAGAAAAATGATAAAAGCTAGAGACTCTTAAAGACTGAGTTAGAATTCCACTTGTGCCTATGTTAAGCAAATATTTTGAATAAATCGTTGAACTTTTGGCTTGCTAACAAAAATAGCGCAAAGCTAACTGATAATTGCAATCATTTACAGTGGTCTAAAGTCAATGAGTTCTACAATATCACTTTATCATAACTTGGTGACCAATGCACTCCTTAAGATTTGAACACACTCTTTAAAAAGACAGAGACCCGATTTACCAACAAAATAAAAACTACGTAAGAACATGCATACCCCAGATAAAACATTAGAAGAAGCATTAGATTAAAATTAGAAAAAACAATGCTTTTGGAAGCTGTTTCTCGCGTTAACATAACAGAGCAGATTTTATCAGCTAACCGAGTCCTCGTTCATTTTTATAAAAAGGACTCTCTTTTCAGAGAACTGGCAATATTTTAATACAAATTCTAACGTTCATGGATTTTTGATAGAGTTCGTGGTAATTTTTTGCAAACTGCCTGTTGTGTATAAAGACAGAGAATGTGAAAGCCAAACAGTTGAAGTTTAAAATAAACTGTGAAAGAAAATACCTGGTTGCAAACCCAAGCCAAGACAGGGAATGGGTATAAATGCCCCCTTAAATTTATGTAGGGGGACCTAGCTTGAATCTGATCGAAAAATAAAAATAAATCATATCACCCAGAAACCCAGTATTGAGTGTTTTGAGGCACCCGGGTTGACTAGGTTGGATTGGACGGCACTGAGTTGATGGGTTGGGAGAAGTAGGAAGTGTAGGGTATCTTTTTGCTAAATAGATTACCGAAGTGTGGCGTCATCAAAAATCCATTTTTAGAATTTCTTAATTTTGACCACATAATCTTAAAGAACAGCATCAAATACCTCTCATTGTGCAAAATTAGTTAGATATGTTCCAAGTTGGGCGAGATATGGCCAATGAAAGATTTTAAGTTTGCTAACGGATCACTCTTATTCTGGCCTGGTTCATAAAGTTATTAACCAAGACCAAATTACAGAGCTTTGATGTGCTTGCGATATCTCAGCCAATTTGTAACAAAATCAACTGAATTGGCATCTTTGAAGGTATTTCAAGATGCTCTTTCAAGTTATGAGATCAAATATGAAAACTTTTTAAAATATATTTTCTGTGATACATGGGTGAAACATTCAGATTCTTAAACATTTTATTTTCTTCTAGCTAATTTTATGGGACGTGTAACCGACCTTTCATCGTCGCCTAAGGGTAATATTCTTGCAAAAAGCCTTTATCAATGGCACTGCATTTCTGCATCGTCTGGAGGTCCGTTTAAAAATATGAACACCCTAATTGGTGGCAGTGAGTTTTCTCAAATCGCTTGCAATGGTTTTGAATGTTGGGGCGTAGACACGTCTAATTTGCCCCAAAAATTCTTTGAAATCAGTGATTGCAGCTTTATTCCAAATGACACGGTAAGTTTATACCTGTTTTTACACTTATTGGCATATTTAGGCCCCGTTTACACGAGATTTTATTTCATCATTAAAATGGGTTTTATCAAAATTTGCATATTTACTTCCTAAAATTTCATCAAATCTCGGTTTTGAAGATATGATAGCCCCTATATTGCCTACATCTTTGTGGAGATGGTGACCATGTTTTTGTGGCACCGTCTAGAGGTACTTTTAGTACTCTCTAATGTCAACGCTGAACATTGGTGCTGCTAGCTTTATGGGTATTATACCATATAAATGTGTTTGCTTTAGCCCTATATTTTTCGTTTTTCTACCAAATCATCACTTGTTCTACAATCCTCTTTACTTTGCTTCACATCATTCTTTTTAAAGATTTTTTGTATCAATAGCTTTTCACAGTATCACAGTTTAAATTCAAAGTTGCAAATTTGTCAGGGTTTCATCGTTGTTTTTTACATTGAGATCACACAGCATTGCTTTTTCGTAGCCACTTGGTTCCAAAAAGATTTCACACATTACTGTAAGTTATTTTCCTCCGATATTTGCGATCGAGAAAGAGGACAAGAAACTCTTAACTCGTATTGATGGATGGAGAGCTTCACGGGAAGGGATAGACAATAATATGCCCTTTCTTGACGTGGTTGGGTTGTATGGAATGGCAGTTGGAGTTAAAATCAATGGGGACATCGAATTTCAACTTCCTGATGATGCTGATGGCAAGTGACAATTTTTTTATAATCCAATATCGATTGCAAATACACATAATGAGATACGCTTCATACAATAAAACACTCTTCAATACTACTTTGTCTACCACAAGGCCATTGACATAAAGAATCAACGGTTTCGTGAATTTCAATAGAACTGCATGAAAAAGTGATAAATTTTTCTGATTGATAAGCTGATACTCTGCAACAATTTTAGGTTAATAATTCTTGAATTTTCTTTAAAATCTTAAGTACATCATATTAGTCACTAATGGACAGTATATGATGATCGTCGATTTGTAGACGATCAAACAAAAAAGCATTAAAGAAATTACGAAAAACGTATGCTGCAGTTGTGTAAAGTCATGGTTAATAAACCTTCTCTAAAGGATGTCATTCAGGTTCATGTGATATCGGCATCCGTTGTTTAAAACTTGCTATCGAAAGAAGCTGTTTAGTTAATCAGTACGAGGCAACTTTGTATGATCAGATTCAGGTCAACCAATAACAATGAGGCACGAATGACTCAGCGGATTTTGATACGTTTGGGTATACCCTCTCCTTTTATCACGATTCAATGCCTTTGAGGTTCTTTGAATTGATATTCCTCGTATAGGGTCTTGACGTTTATTGAAGCATAGTGATAATAAATTCGAAGTTCTATAAATAAATACAAAATTCTACTCATTCCAACCTCCACTGATTTCGATCAAATCTCAGGGCGCGCAAGATTCTTAGAACAAAGTTGTTGTCTCAGGTCTGTCTTTTACGGTTTTTGTTTATGCGAAGAAAAATGAATTCAGTTATATTTACATTGGAGATCAAGCTCTTCAAAATACACGTATAGATTGGATGCGCAAATTACATTAAGACAGAGATCAGAAAGGTGAATACCAATTAAATCGGCATTTGGTAAGTTAAATTTGGTTGTGGACTAGAATTATAGCTTATTCATAGTTATAGCTTACCAGTAAAGTATATAACTGCAAGTTATTTTCACTGCTACTAAATTCCGCTTGCTGTGAGAATGGCCATCTTGCAAAGGCCTATTATGAAAATTATGCAATTCTATTGTCCTATGTCTTCCTCGGATAATTTTGCTTGACGAAAAGTAGAAACTAGTGAACGCTTTTCTCTCAAATTTTTTTTTCTGCGCATGTGTCGTCGCGAATTTTTCGGAAGAACACTGCAAAAAAGCGTCAAAGGAGACTGGCCTCAAGCGATAGCTGTATACGAAAGCAAAATTCAATTCTCAGGTGTAAACCTCGAAACCTGGGCCGAACCTCGAAGCCTGGGTCGAAACCTCGAAACCTTGGTCGAAACCTCGAAACCTTGATAGCTTAAAAACTCGATAATCCAAATAAAACTTCTGTTTCTGTTTTGAGTTTGGCATATTTAGCTTCAACTTAATCAACTGTGTATATATGCCTTATATTGATAGAATGAAAATAATAAGGGCCTTATTACTAGAGTTTGCTCAGCTGATGGGTTGCTGAACTAGGATCCTTGATTCAGCAGGATTAATTGGACCGATTTCCATTGGAATTTCGGTACATAAGGGGTTCGTTGGATTGGGATTCTCTTGTTTTCTTCAAACTCACTAAAGATGACGTCGAAGCTTATTCCTAGAAAAACTTTGGAAAACAATGTTGTAGAACTGCAAGGAGTAGATAAAAGCTAATAACTATCTAAGAATTAGCCTAATAGCAACCATATGATATATAACCAGACTTAAAAAAGCACTAGCTTCACACTTTTAGGGTAAGCCTCTTCCAGTTGTGATCTGCTGTTTATATTTCACACTTTTTTCATAGAGACTAACAGGTCTAAGCTCATCACTATTTCGAAATCTGTCTGCTAGAAAAACTACATGACTAGTTATGGCTAGTCAAGTTTTTCACTTACTGTTAACATGTTCCAGAATGGATCGCATAAGGCTACTGGCCGCCAAGGATTTATGGTACTGCTATTTTGACAGTGTGGAATGAGTTCAAAAAGCCAAGCTCTGTCGACAAAATATCCCGTGTGTTTTTGTCTCCATCTTCTCCAAATATTTCGTTGAATATTATACTTAGTATTAGTAGATGAATATTATACAAGTGGCAATAAACGTATCGTTGATGACAAGTTTACTTTTGCTTTTTCTTTTTCAGATCAGCCTCTTTTGATAACACAGCATAAGGACGGAAGCAGTGCTGACTGCATTCATTTATCGGCAACGGAATTCATAATTGGGTGGTTTACTGGATGCAAGAATCTTCTTTTCCGTTCGAAAGAAGGCTGCCTTGTTAGGCTAGCATCCAATAAGTTTTTGCAAATCGACGGAGGAACTACAACATCATCTGATACATGCAGAAATGAAGATAAGGTTCGATTTGACAAGAGTGGAATGATATCGACATCCAAATCGAGTACTTCTTGTTTGCAAAAATCTTCCAACAAACTTATACAGAAGTCATCAGAGAGTAGCCCTTGTTTAGATTTCACTTATAACACAAGTAAGGTGTTATCTAATTATAATTTTTTTGAATCTGCCCCTATCTTTACATATAAGCAATATTCAACACTATAAACACAAAGGAATTTTCATTGTCTGAGCCCAATAGACTTTCTTAATGAGCCTCTGTTTCGCTACGCCTCTGTTGTAGCGCCCGTAAAGTGAGGCAGTAGCGAAACAGAGGCTCATGGAGTAAGTCTATCAGCCGAATACCCTAACAATCAGAATATTTTCTAAAATCCTGTTCTCGATCATAGAATCCGTTATATTACAGCCAGAATTACCTCCAGAACATACGATATCTTACACGCAATGACTTTGAGTAATCATTCATATTGTAGTGAACCCTATCAAGAACATCCCTGGAAATCTTCTAAAATGGAATGCAACTAGTGCAGGTAAGCATCACGTTAAGGCTACTTGACTAAACAGCACTGCCACAATATTGTATCTATATTTGTATTGTAAAGATATCGAATATCAATGCTTCAAAGATGTCTTTATCAAGGCTATTAGTGGTATCGGATATTAGTGCTATTAAAGCTATCGAATATCAAGGCTTTCAAAGATGTCTTTATCAAGGGTATTAGTGGCGTCGGATATCAGTGCTATTAAAGATGTCGAATATCAAGGCTTTCAAAGATGTCTTCATCAGGACTATTAGTGATTCGGATATCAGTGCTATTAAAGATATCGAATATCAAGGCTTTCAAAGATGTCTCATCAGGACTATTAGTGATTCGGATATAAGTGCTATTAAGGATATCGAATATCAAGGCTTTCAAAGGTGTCTTTATCAAGGCTATAAGTGGTATCGGATATCAGTGCTATTAAAGATATCGAATATCAAGGCTTTCACAGATGTCTTCATCAGGACTATTAGTGATTCGGATATCAGTGCTATTAAAGATATCGAATATCAAGGCTTTCAAAGATGTCTTTATCAGGGCTATTAGTGATTTCGGATATCAGTGCTATTAAAGATGTCGAATATCAAGGCTTTCAAAGGTGTTGAATATTATGTTGGTACCACTATCTCTAACGAGCGACGAAGTGAAAAGATGCAGAATTCAGAGAAAAGTTGTCATTTTCTATATTTCATTTATTATTCAATAACCATATCTGTTCTCTATTCAATACTCATCATTCCAACCAACTAATTCATATCAACATGCATGATTATTGCGTTTTGTTTTCAACGTGTTGTGTGCGTGGACATAACCGTATTCGGTATCTTAAATCAAACGATTTTACTGCGTTCTGGTTTAAATGAAATATATTATCATCATATTAAAGCCATCAAAGATGTCGAATATCAGGGCTTTCAAAGATGTCAAATATCAAAGATAATGATACTTCAAGATAGCTGTATTTGATAGCATTAAAGGCATTTGACATTTTTAAATCAAACATTGTCCGTACAAAAAGGTTTTATTGAAATAAGTAAACTTTAGACTAGATAAAGTTGATATATTGCAAAATAATTGTAATTTTATTTCTTGATGTAGATTCTATGGACGTTAATGTAGACATTGCTGCAGTATTTCATCTGCACTACCCAAGGTGGACCGCTAAAACAGATCATCTAGGCAGCAAAGAGTTTGCTTTTTTTTGTCAAAGACTTCGTTTTGAGGTAAGTAATTGTATGTTATCAGTAATGAGTATTCATGAAAATCCTCCTGCAGCCAAAAAACGAAAACCCTTGATTTATGCAAATGATTCAATACTCGAATAATGAATTTGAAAATAGTGTGAACATAGACTTCTGATAGCCTTCACCTCAGTTTGGTATTCTGACTACATTTTATTATCCTGGCCTTGTATATTGAGAATTGGTAATTATCTTTAAAAGGGAAAAAATTATTGTGTCAATTCTCAAATTTTTAAAATAGCTTCTACTTTTGCTACCCACATTGGCACATGCTTTGTGCCACAAGTCTGTCAACATTTTTAGGATTTGTTATATTCTTAAATGTATGTGCTTAACTCAAATGATGTGCCATTATGTAATATTCCTATTTAGGGAGAGCTTATTACTAGGAATGTTCGAAGCGATTTAAACATTGGCAATATGCGTTGCCAATCTTTATTGTGCGCTTTCATATAGTGCATTTCCTCTAAAGAACGTGTATTACACGCGGCGGCGTTAATTAAAAATCCAACTTTGGATGCGGTGTTCATCAGAGGGCAGCGTCTAATACAAAATGAAAAGCGTGTGTCAAATGAAAAATGACAAGAGAAGTGCTATAAAAAGGATAAAATGGATGCCAGTGTCTCCATCAGAGTCATTGTCCCAATTGCATAAAAACTTTCATAGCTTTCGAATAGTAAGCGTAAAATCTATTCGTTATTTCTTGTTTGGCCTGTTTTCTTATGAACGTCGCTTCCAATATGCGGCGTTTAAAGAGAGTGGCCTTTATTGGAGGAAATACGGTATAGCAATATAAACAAACAGATTTCTTTGTAGAATTTCGTATTAACTGCATTGGAAGATTTAATCCTTGAAATAATGTCTCCTTTTTCGAAGATGGCACAGCGATTTTCTGGAAATATTAATTATCGGAAGTTCAAGTGCAATACCATAAAGTACGTATGTAACTATTCAAGTGGCCAAAATTAACAGCAATAAAACTTTGCTTTATAAAATCAAAAAGATAGTAGATAGCCCTGTAAGTGATTGAAGCGGGCCAGCTTTGTATTTGACTGGATTCTGTCTTGATGTAATGACAGCATATGTATAAAATTTATTTGAATGAGCCAAGTGACAGCATTTGAATATGTATAAAATTTATTTGAATGAGCCAAGTGACAGCAGAAATTCAACATCAACCAAAACAAGAAAAATTCTTTTTTGTTTCATCATATTTGAATGCCTTGTTAATCCGAATTAAATGCGATATAAAACCAGTATTTTGCTTTTCCGTTTGATATCTTGCTGACATGTATTGATCAGTTTCTTGAACCTCTTCATTAGCAACTTTTACATTGATGACTTGATCAGAACAAAAATTGAACCATTTCTCAAAATTCCACAGTAGAGTTGATTTTGAATACTTTTGAATAAATCCTTAGGCCAAATAAACTTGATTTATGAACATATTTACACTACTTTTGTTCTTTATCAAAAGACATGAATTAATTTTTGTGTCAGTTTCGTTCTGTTGGGTTCCTCTGCATTTTGGAGTTAATTATAGCTGTACAAAGCTATTTTAAAGAGTCCGCTTCCGTTTCAGAAAAGACGAATGCGACCTTGAGCGGTTAAAAAAATGCCATTTTAAAGTCGGTGCTCGCCTGTTCTTTGCTCACGTCGATGAAGGAGTTCGGAGAATATTTTCTTCTAAAATTTTTAATGGTGAGGTGACAGACTGTGGCGGGATTTCCTGCTCATTATCAATGTCACTGACTGCAGTTGGAGGTAAGACATTTATAAAAAATCTTTTTGTGGTATAGAACTTAAAAATGGCTTTGAAAAAGCAAACATTTTGAGTCATACTAAAGCTTTTCGTCTGAGACTCTTCAGAGTATAAAACGTCGAAGATGCATAAATATACTTATTAAGTGAGACAGTTCAGATTCAGTCCTCATTCAACGCCTTACGATAGTTAGCAATGGAAAAAACGCCTTTGCACGTTTGCCTAACGTAGATCTGCTAGGTTGTGTTTACCTCTACGATGAAGTGTTTTGCATTTTTTCAGTACATTTAAATTTCTTGGCAGTGATATTCACACCTCAAAAAGCTGATGTTCTCAACGTCACTTCGAGGACAGCCTCTGTTAGAAGTTACCCTACAATCAAAGCAACAAATGCTGCTCCAGCTGGTTACAACGTTACAGTCGTCGGAGTATCAAAGATCACTGAAAATTTGCGAATTTTTCACAAGATTGAGCAGTTTCGAGAGGGAAATCAATTTGTTATAAGAAACCTTCCACCAAATTTTAATTTTACCTGCAAGATACAACCACTGTTTCTTCAGGGAGTTGGAAATGCTTTCGAAGTTAAATTTGAGACTGATGAGGATGGTAAGTTTTTTCATGAATTTTCAAAAATATATATGTAGAAAGGCGAGTTATGAGAAGGTGTGGGCATTTGTAGAGTGCTATCATTGAAACTGGCTTTATACACTTAAGAGGCTCTTTTCACAACAATTTTCTGTTTCCATCTTCCTTATATCTAAATATGATGATGTATGATTCGTTTTTGCCAGTACTACCATCTCATCAGCATCTACTAATGTATCAGTAGCATTTCTAGAGTTTCCTTTTTGCTTATCACTATAATGTACACCTGCTTAGAGCTTTACATAGATTTTCTGAGATCAAAACATTTGGTAATACGTTGTGATAAAAGACTAGATAGATGGTTTTATGAACAGTACGCAATCAACAGAACACACATTTATTGCACTGCAAACAAATCGGTTGCATTTTTATTGTATTATTTCTCGTAGTTTATAGCTAATACCATTTCTTTACTTCTCCTTTTTCTAAAAGTACCACAAGAAGCACCATTGATTGCAGTGGAGGCAAGTGGAAGACACACGATCGACTTCAATATAAGTATAATAAACCCAATCAATTGGAATGGCTTCCTGGTAGGGTATCGAGTCTATTACCAGTCAATGCTGGAAATTAATTCACATCTGGATTTAAAGAACCTGACAAGTGTTGAGTCGACTCATCCGATGCATGTCAATTTTAGAACTAACAGCACAGATTTTAGCCAAGCTTTGAGTTTAACTGGGCTGGAAGTTTTTACAAACTACTCACTTATAGTTGGTGCTTATAACAGCAAAGGGGTTGGGTCTTTGAGGCAGATATTCTGGAGAACTAATCAAGGAGGTATGTGGTCTAGCGCTAAGAAAGTGTAATATGGAAAATGATAGTAAAATAATAATAGTTTGCAATAAGAAAGTTTGAATGTAAGAGAAGTTGGTAAGAATGTTGTTTTGTCTTTGCTGTACCCATTGACAAAAGTTTGGAGTCCGTACAGGTTTTGTCATTATATATCTATTGTAACAATATCATCATCGATTGAAGATACATTTCCCTAAGGCTGTTAGACATTAATCGCTTCTTTAAGAATTCTACTGTCTTTCTTGAGAATAATGAGTTTAGCTAGCACCTAAATTGAAAAAATACATTTTCACGAATTAATTCTTTAAAAACACAGTATTTATTTGCAGCCTTTGTATTCTAATTATTTATGGTGAATGTTTTATTTGTTACAGAGCCAGAGGTATTTACACCAAATTACAATTTAAGCGTTGTTAACAGCTCATATCTCTTGGCATCGTGGTCACCATTTACAACAGACATTGAACTTCTGAACGGCTGGTATTTATCGAACTACACTCTGAAATACATGGAGTATAGCACTCCTGCTATCTTCATGCCTTTTACAGTGACTAAAGTCATTGTTATGCCAAATGAAACCAGTCTTCTCATAGGCCCTTTAGAAGCTGGCAGAGATTACAACATCTCGATTGCTGGAAACGTTGAATTGCGAGCAGGTGTTTATTTGAGCTTGTGTATAAGAACTGATCAAGATGGTACGTATCCCTGAAATTTTGATCTGCACTCATCTTTGTTTGCTATCTCGATTATCTTGTTTATGCAGCTAAATCTAAATCTAGTCATTACCAAATAGACTCTGTTTTAGAAACTTTCTTCGGTAATTCTTCATGATCTAGTTTGCCATCTGATTGCGTTTCGTAGCAGGTCAAAAGCAGGCCTTAGAATGACACCTTAGAATGTCAGCACAACGTGATAATATCCAAAATAAAATTTTGTCTGTTTAGACTCTCTCTGTCATTGAAAATGATAACTCTATCGTCATTGCTTTTAAATTATCTAATTCTAAATTCTAATGGCTGAACTCTAAAATATTTACGTTCTTTGTAAGTTTACATCTTTTCGAGAACAAAAGTCTAATTATTGTATCATATTCTTTCTAGTCCCGAGTGCGTCTCCAGGCTTTGCTAATGTCACAGGCATCGGTTCTTCGTTGTTAAACTACACCACTGGGTGCATAGATCTTAACAGCGAAAACGGAGAGATACTATATTACAACGTATCAGCCATGATCGTAAATACTGGCGAAACAGCGTATTACAGAGCTGATATCTTAACAGAGCGTTGCGTTGCAATCAATTGCTTTTCCTTTGGTTTGTCTGAATGCCACAATCGTAGCGTGGATAGCAGTACACGACAAACACACCTCATGGCCCGTAGCTGTAGTGGTAATATGACAAATATTGGCAGAACATCAGATGTAATTAACTACGCTATTGAAGGTCTGCGATATTGGACTAACTACAGTATTAGGTCATCAGCCTGCACGATAAAGGGTTGTGGACCGTTTAACGAGCCAATATATGTCAAGACAGATGAACACGTGCCTACCTGCCCGCCTAATATCACAGGATTCCAAAATATGTCATCGACATCAATGCTGGCTACATGGAATGAACTTGAGCTTCACTGTGCACATGGAGTACTATTCCCATATAATATTTTCATTTCACTAGAAGACGAGCTCACAAACAATGAGTGTTTCAACCATTCGTCATGTTGGCCTTTGTTCGATCCTGCATCAAATGAAACCAAATATTTAAAAAATTCTACCAACACATCTGCTTCGTTATTTGGGCTGAAGAAGTATCGAAAGTACTGCATCTTCTTGCAAGCTGTAAATGTCAAGGGTCGTGGACCCACTTCGAACAAAACGTGCAGCTTCACAGCAGAGGATGGTATGATCTTTGCTTTGTATTTTTTCTTAACCGAAAAATGACCAAGATAGATAGGCTGAATACTAGCAAATTTCAATTTAGTGTTTTTCTTTTCAGGATTGATAACTAGGAATACCTTATCCTGGTTTTTGGATGTCTTGCTGCATAAGTAGTTGTTTTCGTTTTGTTAAATGACTGGTCCATTACGAAATAACGTCTTTAGAAATGCTGAATCGATTTATTCCCACTTGAGTGTAAACAAATCAAAGCTATATGCTAAAAGGGTGTGTTGCCAGCTTCGTTGCTCTGTCATTTGACGTCGTATCATAATGTTTTTATGGAGCAGAGCAATCACGCTAAAACTTTCAAATTTTTGTCCTTTTTTATCTCTAATAGCAATTCCCAAGTATGTCATGAAGTGCCAGTAAGTAATAAAATACTACATACTTGCATGTTTTGTTTTTCTTCTCATTTAATTTTGCTGTTTATTCCTAGAACCCGATGGCCCCCCTGCCGTATTCAACGTATCAGTTAAATCCAGCCAAAGTGTTGAAGTACATCTGGAGGTGCCATCCGCTGATGTTGTCAATGGCATCATCAGGGGCTACCAGGTGATTTACCAAGAAACCAATGAACATGGTGAGATGATAGGTGAAAACATGACTGCAGATTTCAAAAGAATAGATGAAGTCATTACTATAGGTAAAATCAAAGGCCTTAAAGAATTCACTTGGTACAGTTTCCAAGCTATAGCTTACACATCCATTGGATATGGGCCTAATTCATCTCGCGTGACATCTCGAACTTTCGAAGATGGTAAGTTTGTATAGCTTTTTTGCAACTGTATAAAAATTCAAGCTATTTGGTATACTATTCTGTCGAGATATGATATTTCTGTTGTTAAGTGAGATGTGCTTTATAATGGCTGCTTGGTTTCCTGTTTGAAAATAAAATTATAGCCGCTGAAATTCCAAGTGTAGGTTTTAATAACTAGGGCATGATTGGGTTTCAGTTTTCAAGAAAAATTCTCCCTCAGAATTATTTTTGCTATACATCCTGAGAACACGTTGTCGATGGCATGAGAATTGATATAAGCAACTATCGCCTTAGTCGGTTTTTAATCAGTTTGAGCTAACTCAAAAATATCAGTTAACTTTGTTTTTTATTCACTGTTGACAAATACTGAATAAATTTGGATAATAATTATTTCTCAGAAACTGTTCCGGAGCTTGGCCTCTTAGCACTTACGCAAAAAATTGTAAACAGTTTAACGTAATCAAGTAATCAAGTAATCAAGTAATCACATAATCAAGTATTCAAGTAATCACGTGATGAAGTGATCAAGTAAACTAGCAATCAAGTAATCAAGTAATCATGTAATCAAGTGATCAAGTAATCAAGTTATCAAGTACTCATGTAATCATGTAATCATGTAATCAAGTAATGAAAAATCACTTATTCAAAGGATGATATACCGGTTGTAATTTTAGCTACCATTGTGCTGATATGAAGGCCTTCAAACAACCTCTATATATTGATATTTTGATATCATGTTTTTTACAGCTCCCACTGCACCACCAAGAAACTTGACTATCAAAAATATATTATCAAATGGCTTTGTTCCATTCTGGGAGCAGACTGAAAAGTCACATCTGAATGGAATTTTCCTCAGCTTTAATGTCACAGTAACGGAAAATCGCCGCGATGGTATTGTGAATACATACACATTTCACGCAGACGCTGGACAACACAAAGACAACAGTATTCATACAAATACAACACAGTCGAGAAGAAGGCGTAATGTCGGAATGCCTCCGGGTGTTGCCATCACAACTCCCTCAACCGGGCCAAGAGGATTGATTAACAATGTAACTAACAATGCAATTAACCTAGTCAACAAAACTCTTAATGATCTTCTTAATGGTTTGCTGAACTCTTCTACGACATCACAACAGCAGCTTCAAAACAGTATTGGCAGCGATCGAGCAAATGCCAGCATGAATATAACATTGTTGCATGCATTTCAGCGCAATTATGTGAATTTTTCAATGAAGTCAGACAGTTTTGCTCTCATATTGACTGGTCTTCTGCCTTACACGTTTTATAACATTAGCGTTAGGACTTGTACTGTGATTGGCTGTGGACCAGATGCAAAGACAAGAGCTAGAACAGCTGAAAGCCGTAAGTGAATATCATGTCTCTCTATTACGTCATCATTAGTAGAACTTTAACTATCAACTTCAGTTAAAAATCGAAATACAACTGTATATTTCATAGGTAATGCTTTGCATTTTTTTTAAATTAAAGAAAGGGGGGTTGTACGACTTCCTTTAATGACTCAGAACCAATTTCTGTTTTCTTTGCTTCACAAACCTATCATAAATCGGCTTCAGATTCCCTACAGTTCACGTTGCTTTACACCGAGTACTGGAAGCTATTCAAGTCATAATGGCGGTTTTTTTCATTCCAGGACCAACGTCTCCACCTGTGATAAATACTTATGCTCAAAATACTCACAACTCTTTGAATTTTACTTGGAAAGAGCTTCCAATAATGGAGAGACAAGGCATTATAACTGGTTACAAGATCAAATGGATGAAGAACTGCGAATACCAACGACTCATGAACTATCCTGAAGATGGTGACTGTGTGCGAGTGCCGCCTGAGAATACGACAATTTTCTCAATTGATGAAATCAGCAGTGATATGCTTTACTATAAAATCAATGGTCTTACTCCATTTACGTGGTATCGTTGTGAAGTATGTGCTAAAACATCAGTTGGTTACGGTCCTTGCGGAAACGCAACATTCCAGACGGATGAATCAGGTAAACTGCTTCACTCGTTGCCCTGTGTCATAGCTATGTCACAGCAGGGAAAATAGGATTTCAGCTTTAAAAACAAAAATATAAGTAAGGGATAGAATAACTCGCATGTTTCTTCCCAACTTCATGATACTTTCTCAATACTTATCAATATCTATTAGTGCCCAACCTATTTTCTACAACCTTAATGTCGCCTGAAGAATATTTCTCAAATTCAGTTTTTGCGAAATCGTAGATTTACCCAATAGCTATTGTTTATTGGCAAAGCCTGCTTTTTTAGCCGAGTCTTTGACTTCTCATTCTCGTGAGAAATTAATTACGATTTGAGCGCTTCTAGGCCGACTTTCAAATTCAATTTTCAAGTAGGCCGACTTTTTTCTGGATATTGACTATCCCCTCTACTAAGTCTTCAAAAAACCTTCCATGCCTTAGTTTCCTATCGAACATGTACCCTTTAGAAAAGGGGCACAAGGGGGATATCAAAACCTACAGACTAAAGTTTGGAAAATCCGATATTCAAAACCAGAAATCCATCACGTTTTCCAGAGAAGAACCCATAACCCAGTGACTAAAATCGATGAAACCCGCAACTTTTTTCTTTCCAATTCCAATTTTCTTCAAACTACACTTTTATCGTTTTAGTTCCTCTTGAGGCACCAAATGTTACCAGATCATTTGCAGTGACTGGGAAAAGTTTCCAGACAGAATGGCAGGACATTCCACCACCGTATAGAAATGGCATCATCCAGGGTTACATAATATACTTCCAACTAAGCTCATTGCTTGAAGAGACAAACACATACTTCAACTGGCAGAAGACAAAAAAGTACCCACCGGAAAAATATATGTTGATTGATGATCTGCATTTGAAATCTAACTACACTTTTATGATTGCTGCTTATACCTCAAAGGGTGTTGGCTTCAACTCTAGCTTGCTCTATACGCAAACTGGAGATTTCAGTGAGTACTCGAAATATTTGACTAGACATTCTAACCCTATTGATGTGATTGTGTTTATTGACTAGTATTTAAGCAACTACAGTGAAACCTCCATCAACGGCCACCTCTATAAAACGGACACCTCCAAACAACGGACAGATATTTGAGTCCCAAAACAAGAGGTATAAAAAGATGACACCTCCATACAGCGGACACCCCTCTACAACGGACAATAACATTGGTCCCACTGGTGTCCGTTATATGGAGGTTCCACTGTACCCTGGGGACCAGACTCTTTTTATCGAGTGAGTCTTGAACCCAGAGTATTAAACAACATACAACAAGGTTAATTGTGTTTTTTTCTGTTCATACGCTTAAGTTGTAAATGACAATGAAGGAATTTACAATGAAATTTAAATAATGAAACAATACATTTTGTTCCTTAATATTGATTTCTTTAAAAAATCGCTTGCTAGGTATATATTGCTACTGAAAATTACATGTCCAAACCTTTCCATACTTCAGACTGTGTTTAGTATTTACTGTATGCCTTTATGACTTTAGAAGTTATTCATGATGATATTTTTACGTCCATGTTTAGGCTGGATAGGATTAACTATACTGCGTGCCGCTTATAAGAAAAATAATATTTTCCCATTCTTTTACATCATGCTTCTTCAGTCTGTTAATATTGCCAATTCAATATTGCTTATAGATTTAATTTTACTATATTAGTTTATCGTTGCATTTCTAATACATTTTAGTATTTAGTTAGAAATTCTTTATTGGTTGTTTGCTGCCAAGAGGCCTAAATCTTTTCCATGATAGCAAACAAATAACTTTATAATCTGCAAAAGTTGTTTAGGAAAACAAACATTTTAGTAGAATAATGTTTTCAACCAATAAAGGGATAATATTTTCTACGTTAAACAAGTGATCACTTTAAAAGTTTAACTTTCTTATATTAAGCATATCTTTACTTAAATTATCAATTTCCTTAGAACATGGCAACTGGAGTGAGTGGTCACAGTGGAGTTTCTGCAGTGAAAGCTGTGGAGGAGGAATTAGAAAGAGATCTCGTAAATGTGACAACCCAGCACCTTTCAGTGGCGGAGATGATTGCAAGGGCAACTCGACGGTTACGGAGATTTGTGGCACAATACAGTGCAGTGGTAGGAATTGGTATTCTTAGCATTAAAAGATTTGAGTGTTACCAAATTTCAAAATGCTCAGGATTACAAATAAGCCTCGTTAATTCGACTATCGCTTAAGTCGACCAACACGCTTTATCTCGAAATTCTTCAGTCACCATAAGTTTTGATATGCTTTATGTGAAGAAATAGTTCCGGATCAGTCGAGCTCAGATTAAGTCTAATTTATCGAAAAGTCGATAAAACTCAATTCCGCAAACAAGTCCGCTTAAGTCGAACGGAATCGGCAAGATCATTTAGGAATTATAATTAAGCAAAGGTTAGGCAAACAATACCTTTTTGCAATTTCTTGAAAAATCATCAACACAGAAAATCCATTCCGGTTACTAAGTTATTTTACCAGTTGATTATTTGAAATTGTGATTGTGAAATTGTGAAACCAGGACCTTTGACCTTCAACCAAGGTCTTCAGAAGGGGGAAGGGCTAGGGACTTTTGAAGAATATTTGTCTGCTAACTAATTTTTTGCTTTTTCAACAGGGCCTATAATGGGTAGTCTCGGCGAAAATTGTTCTCGAGTGTGTCAAAACCGCGGCATTTACTGTTACCCAGAATTTCAGTTATTGAATTCAACAAAGACATACGAAAAGCTTGGTTATAACTGCCTAGACTCCACAACAAATCCAAGCTATAGCAAGAAGTATCATCCTAGCTATGTACACAGTTCGAAAAAATGCGAAGGCTTCAAGAATGTACCTAAACAAATAAGCTGCGACTCAGTGCCTCCGACTGATGGAGAGACTGTCCGCTTATGTAACTGTCTGTCTCCTGGTAAATAAAATGCCTATTCTTTTTTGAGTTGATATTGTGCTATTTTTACAAGATGTATTGGTATGTGGGTCCTTTTAGAAAAAGAAGGGCTTGGAAAAAACGGTTCATAAACTGCTGACCTATGCCTTTTGTCTTCCGATAAATATTCAATTAGCTTTCATAGTCTAAGGCTTAACTGATCACGTGAGCAGAAGATAATGTATGTGCTTAGCAACATAATTTATTCACCTGCAATATCACATGAGGATCCAATACCCATAGTAACATATATGGACTAGTTCCTTTCAAGAACTTAAATAGAAAATATTTTGAAAATTGACAACAAATAAAGAAATAATTACCGTAAAAGCTCCATTAAACCCTCCGGGGGGTATTAATATTTTCAGTCCTAGAGGGGGCTTAAAAGAGAGGCGGCTTAAAAGAGAGGCGGCTTAAATGAGAGGGGGCTTAAAAGAGGGGGGCTTGAAAGAGAGGGGGCTTTATAGAGCTTTTACGGTAGTTAGAATCATAGGATATAATTAACTCAACTTTGCAGCAGTAACCCAAGAAGTTGAGACTGAGATGTGATTTAAGAAAATCGAATAATTCATTTTTAATTATTAAAATGTTACATAACAGATGTTTTTTCAGCTCTGAAACCGATTTTTACATTATTTTTATTAATTTGGTTATTTTTACCTTCATCCAAAGGTGGCTTATTACATAAAATAGTATATAACTAATTTAAGCCAACTACTCACAAAAAGTAATTACAAGATAATAAAATAAAAGCTCCTAAAACATTTATTATAAAAAGAAATTTCCTTGGTAAAATTATTTGCAGATCCTTCACTTGCAGACTTGACATTCGTGTGATTTGATCGCTGATTTAAAAATGTAAAGTGAGTTATTATTTCTTCAACAAGAAGTGCTCACAATAGTTTTAGAATTCTTTTAGAGGACTTCCCATGCCTTTGCCCATAGAAAAGTTTTTTAACATTCTAGATCCTTTCTGAGAGTTCTTTGCGTAATGCGCTTTATGTAACAATATATTTTAAAAATTTATGTGATGTTAAATAAAAGCTGACTTTTTTTTAGTTGATTGTGGATGTGGAGATTGGAGTCAATGGAGCATGTGTTCAAAGGAATATTGCGGAGGAGGAACAAGGAAGAGAACTCGAAGCTGTACTCCTGTTCCTATTTGCGCGGATGGTTTTACTGAACAGATATTTGAATGTAACGAGAAGCCATGTCCAGGTTATTTCACTTTTGATTCATTTGTTTTTGACTAGCATAGGACACTGAGATCCTGGTTACACCATACTGGATTCATTTTCTATTGGATAGCTTGCATGCCAGATACTATATTTCATCTATTTAACGCCCTCTTTTTTTTCAACCCCCTTCCTAATTAACGCCCCTTCCTAATTAATGCCCACTCTAAAAGTGAATAAAGTTCATTAACGCCCACTTCCTTTTTAACGCCCTCGTTATGTTATGTTATGTTATGTTATGTTATGTTATGTTATGTTATGTTATGTTATGTTATGTTATGTTATGTTATGTTATGTTATGTTATGTTATGTTATGTTATGTTATGTTATGTTATGTTAGTTATGTTATGTTATGTTATGTTATGTTATGTTATGTTATGTTATGTTATGTTATGTTATGTTATGTTATGTTATGTTATGTTATGTTATGTTATGTTATGTTATGTTGTGTTATGTTATTTTTCATGTTATATGTTATATGTTTTATGTTCTATATCAACGCCTCTTTCTAATTAACGCCCACCCTTTAAGCTTAAAAAAATAAATTAACGCCCTGCGCGTTAAATAGATCAAATACGGTAGGCGTTCTGTTCGCACTGCAAGACTTTTGAATCCAAAACACTAAATATCGTTTTATTGTTGGGGAGACGAACCAGTATTTTCCCAAAGGTTTTCCAGTATTTTCCAAAATTTTGCATGATATGCTAATGCGCTGTTAAAATCGATGACACTATTTTCACATCGAATAATATATTCCGTGATAGGAGCATGATATATTCTTTAACGTGACATCAATATATATTGCTTTATCCTTTGATTCTGTTTGTAGGTGTTTGTTTCAAATATATCCTCTGCGTAAATTATGTTACTTCACTTAAAGCCTCAATGTAGCCAAGTTACTTCAGAAAGTCATAAAAAAGAAACCTCTACATTTATATGCTTGTTGATCTATCTATTCCAGTTTTCTTTGTTTATTTCATTTTGCTTACATTATTTTAAGAACTCTCACTATTTCTTTAAAGTTTGGCCTCCTCTCTCTCTCTTTGTAGTTAATGGTAATTGGGGAGCATGGTCCGAAATTACTCCTTGCAACAAGACTTGTGGCTATGGATATCGACATCGCTATCGAAAATGTGACAGCCCCGCTGATGCTCATGGGGGAAAATACTGCTACGGTTCTCCTGTCGATATCATACCAGAATGCAATGTTCATAAATGCCCAGGTATGAACTTATAACAAACATCTGACCCGACCATACTGATAATGTGATATTGACGTTGATGAAAAGTACCTTTTGACATGCAATTTGAAAAATGTCTATCTTAAATTGAAAATTGATAGATATTGTTTTGCCGAGTTTGATTATGATAATTGCTTGTCATTTTAAAAGGCAACTCGCAACTTATTTTGTGCAGTTTGAGAAAGGACTACTCCATGGCAAATTCTGAACAGCTCTATACGAAACATCAATATATACAATACGACCTATCACTACATTTTATTTACGAAATGCTTTCTAAAGCCGAAAACCCACTCCGGAAAATGATCCGCGGATCGGATCAGATCGTGTGGTTCTTTCGATCCGCGGATCGTTTCAGATTCGAATGCACATGACACAGAATGACGCAAGTGTTCTATTGTTTAACAAGTTCCAATTCGATTTTGATCAAAAGAAAATTATTTCAACTTTTTTTCGATCCGTTTCAATCCGTCGCGGATCAGTCATGTGACCATTTTTGCATCCAAAGCGCTTGCGCAACACAAAATCTGATCCGATCCGCGGATCACTTTCCGGAGTGGGTTTTCGGCTTAATCCAGCCCTAAACGTGTCTTCAAAGGCATCTTGTGTCTGGCAGTTTGTGACCCCAGGCTATGAGGATTGTACCAAAGAAATTCAATATTGTACTGCCTAGCTTTATTTACGTAAAACGTTTCAAAAACACTATTAAATTTTTAAATGCTGTTTATAACAGTTCATGGCGGTTGGACATCGTGGAATGATTGGCAGCCTTGCGATCGGCCCTGTGGAGGAGGGAAGTTACTGCGCAAACGATACTGTGAAAATCCATCACCAAAATATGAGGGCAAGGAATGCGAAGGGCCTAATTCTGAGTGGCAGCCTTGTAATCTACATCAATGCGACGGTTAGTTGAGTATGTTTCAGTGGTTATGGCACCCTTGTGCTAAAGGAAGACAAATGTAACGAGCAATGTTGCTGTAGGAGTAGCATATACGCACAGAAGAGCATGCGTAAAAGCTAAAAGCGAACAAGACAGCAAATCGCGAAGAAGAAACTTACAGTCAATGTTTAATCTCTCTTAATTCAAAACATGTTTTTTCTTGACAGCTAGTTCATTTAAGGCCATATTTTGATAATTGAACAAACTGACTTTTCCCCTGAAAACTCACATAATACTTTCTTATAAGACACCTACAAAAGAACTTCACAGCCTGTTCCGAAATAAGTTTCTTGTTTTAACTGTATTGAATAGGAGCAAAGTATGATGGCAAAATACCAAAAGCTATTTTCAAAAAATCATCATAATTAACCAACTGCAACAAATCTTAACTTACGCCCGTCTAACAAAATGTTTTTGTTGAACTGGCCCTCTTTTTGCAAAAAACAAGGAGCCTAAAACGACATTTTTACCTAGTCATCTTTGTTCTCAACTCAAAACTTATACAAATATTTTCGTCTGAAACGGTCATCACAGTTAATTTTTTGGCGAGTTCTAGATTTTGAAGTGAATTTTACCTTTAAAATTCTTATTCAGAATTTAACTTCATTTTATTTTGTCCATACATTTTTTAATAGAAAATTCAATTCATTTCAGATGTTTCTGTTCTTTTCACTGTTAAATTGGTTGACTTTGAGTGGGATTTCAAATTAGTATACGGATCACATCCAAAAACAATTGAACTTTCTAAGCAAGTCACTGACAACGTAAGTACAGTCTGTTTTAAACTAGCTAAAGCACTATTTTGCTTCTAGAACTTTTTCTAGGAAAGTGATTTTATTCAAAGTCTCAATTATTTTCACTGTACGCTATTGTTTTATCAAAACATTTTTCCTCTTCTAGATGTTTTGCTCTAACTTAAACGCGACTTTAAAAGTAAAATTACAATGTATTTTTAGACCAGAAACTGAAAATGATTGTTTGCAGTACTATATCATTACAAAGCCGCCATTATGTAAACAGAAGAAAGTTTTTTGGCGGTACAGAACTTGAAAATGGCTTTGAAAAAAGCAAACATTTTACAACATATTAACTAAAATCTTGTTCGTTTCCTCTATAATAACGACATTTTTCGGATAATTGACAGAGCCCGGTCGTCTTTCCATCTTAGCAGTTTTGGAATCGATCTACATACAAACGAAAAAAGCCGCCATTGTGTAAACAGAAGGAGTTCGTTTTCATTGGACAACTATGCCGGTCATGTGCTTGCGTCCTATTTCGTGATTGTCCTATTTCGACCCACAACTGAGTATATATTTTCCATCGTGTTCTTGCGGACCCTTATTCTGACGATGCTCTGAGGAGTGTCAGACGAAATAGCTTCACGGAGTATGGTTTGAATGTTTGGTGTTTTCAAAGCCATTTTCAATAACATTTCTATTGGATTATTTGATGATTTTTTACAACATCTCTTTACCTAAGGATTTTTCGCCCCTATTTGTATTAAATAGATTTCTGCTATTTTTTATTTCAGGTTAAAGCCGTTTACAATCATTCTTCGACTGTTAGTCATATAAGAATTGAAAATTTCTTGTAAGTAAAATCAATTGATTGTACATTTATATTAATTAGATATGGAAGAATTTTCAAATAATGCTATAATTAATTTTTTAGATATTGGCTTTACTTTTGTTCCGCACCTTGATATGAACTTCGGTCCGCCCTTTCGTCACTATCCGATTACGAAGATTGCCGGACAAACAAAAACCTATTGCACACCATTCTGTTAGCTTACTTTTGTCTTTAAAAAACAGACATGAGTCCAACATACAACAATACGTAGTGAAAGTCACTATTAGAGAAGGTACATGTCCACGATAAACAGAAAAAGAAGGTAGAATTGGCTGTTCCTTTCTTCCCTGCTTTTTCCTTCCCATGGTTACCAACAGCTACACATTTAGTAGCAAGCAGGCGTCCCAATCATTGGCCCTATGCTTGAACCAATTGGCTCTATGTCCCGGGTGGACCTGCTACCTATATTCGCTACCTATATTCAATGGCCATTTACAGGTCAAATTATCTTGTTTGTCTTGTAGTTAATGTCTTGTTTGATATGCAATAATTTTTATTTGTCAAACTTGTTTATATGAAACAGCAGTTAAGCTAAAACTTCATACTTTTAGGCGAGGCAGCGTTATTGCGAACTTTACAGTATATTATGTTAAAGTGAGTCAGGGAGAAGTTCTGCTACTTCAAGATTTCATTGACACGACGGGAAAAATGTACAATTTGTCAACCATTGTTCAAGAGGTCAAGCCTACGAAAGGTGTGCTCCTTCACTCATATTTATGCATCAAATCTGTAATTTCATTGTTTTTCTTACAAATAAATACAATTTTTAGTGATGTTTAGTTTTTTTTGCTTGTTATGATTTTTAAATCACTTGTATACGTTTTTCACTAATTCAAGGCGGATCCTGAAAATTTTTGTGGTTTTGATCATCTCTCATTAAGATCTTTCAAATAAGATAATATTTAGTGTATGTCCACTTTAAGAACCTATGTCTTGTTTCTCTTTATTTCTGTACAATTCTGCAGCATATAGCTTGCTAATCAGGGTTATTTAAATCATATAGAGCAATGTCATCGGAACCTTACCAATGTACTCAAAAGAGTTATTGATGGCTGGCTTTGCATTTAAAGGAAATATTTTTATTCCTAGTTGTTGTAAGTCCACCAAGAAATGTCTCAGCTGCATCCTACTCTCCAAGGACAATGCTCATTAAATGGCTACCACCAAAGAATTACCATTTATTGAATGACACATATGGCTATTATATTTTCTACCGTGAATTCGAGAGCACCGTTGGAAAATGGGATGTCTCGGGTGTACCTGGACTGAATAGCACTTCATTTTTGTTGAAAGACTTGAAGCCAGCTACAAAGTATAGGTTCAGAATGACTCTAGCAGTTACTACAGGCAACGGACCAGCATCAGACGAATCAGTTAATAGTACTATAGAAGGAGGTTTGTACAATGTTTGTTTGTCCTCTCTGTTTATGTTTCCAGAGATGCTGCAAGGCTAGTGCAACCATAACTGTACCCTGGGTACCAGAGCCCAATACTATATCCAATTGAAGGAGGTAAGAAACAGGAAGCGGGAGGAGACAGGAGTATAGTAGAGCCTTCTACTTCTCTTCTTTTTCAGAATGCTGTCTATTTTCTACTTGTTCCACGGGAATATTTAGAGGCTCTGGTACCCAGAGTACCAAAACTGCCAGTTTTCCAGAGTCCTTATCTTTGAGAAGTGCTTGTTGTTCTGCAAGTGGTAATTGTCAGTAGATCACACATTTCGATGTTGACAATTGTCTCTTCTCTTGGCAAAAATTAAAATGTATTTAGGGAACCAAGATGAGAGATCAAAATTTCATTTTTCAGGGAAGTTAATTCGTTTGGAAGTTGTGGTCTCTTTTTTTACATTATTTGTCATTAGGGGTCATAGTCAAGACTTTCTTCGCTCTCTTTGTGCTTTTTACCTCCTAACTCCATCCGCTGAGCCCCTGTTCCTATATTTCCAAATCAAATTCACTGATTTTTCTATTGGTGTTTGTTCCAAAATAAATATCGGTTCCATTTTACTATTTTGCATGCTTTACTGTATAGGACAAAGCAGTTCTGAATTGTAACTCTGAGTTTCACGCTTAGAGCGATCATCAGGCAATGGTACTATGCTGTTCTTTAAGCTACTTGCTATTGAGGTGCAAAACTGCTTTCTAGCCAAACAACTGTTGTTGTCAATGGTCAATTAAAAGTTGTAGTTAAAAGTTAACAATTTTAGTTTAATACTTTACCTGTTTAATATTTTACAAAACTATCATTCCTAGATCGAAGATATCCATTAATTTTTTAAAATTTTTTGCTTTTGTAGTTTTAATCTTAATGTTTTTTGTTTTAGTCCCCAAAGTCTCACCGAAAAACTTCACAGGCCGTGCAATATTACCGTCTCAAGTGTATCTGAATTGGGTTGGCATAAGTGACGAAGAATTCAATGGAAGACCTCTTGGATATGCCATTAGATACAAAAAATACTTCGACACTGCTTATATTGAGAAAACCGTCCCAAAAGCCAACTTTGAGGTAACATTAGAGAATCTCAGACCATTCACCCTCTACGACTTTGATCTTTTGGCGTTCTCAGGAGCAGGCTATGGACCTCCATTATCACTCATTTTAAAGACACCAGAGGGCGGTAAGTATTTTACGTGCTCTTTCTCTACTCATGGATGCGCTAAGTATTATACGAAATATTTCGCTACTCATGGACGTTTACTGTTGGCAAATTTTTGGTGAAATAGAATTTCTGTTTCTTCTGATTTTGTATTCTGTGCTGACATAATTATAATGGCGCACATTAAAGAGACGCAGAAATCATGATACTTTTTGAAATTGTGAAAATAAGTTTCAGAAATACCAATCCTGTTGCTATTTATGTCCACCTCTTTTCCAAATGACTTTGGACAGCGTGTGGGATACATTCGTTTGATTTTGAACGTGTGGCACTCTATCGAGTATCAATTTTCGACAATTCGTCTTTTCAGTGCCTTCTATCGCCCCTCCTATGTTCGCGGTGCAACGTGATCAAAAGACAACTACATCAGTAGTGGCTACGTGGAAGGAGATTCCTGATGACCTCATCAATGGTATTTTGCTAGGCTACAAGCTGAGGTATACTGTCAGTCGCATTTCGGATGAGTTGTATATTGGAGCGCCTATTACCAAAGAGATCGAACTTGACAAGTTTACATTTCGGTACCAAATTACCGGCCTACAGAGTTATACAACCTACGATATCAGCGTCGCTGGCTACACAGATGCTGGCAATGGGCCTTTCAGTATACCAATACCTGAAAGTATGTTGTTTTTCCTTGTGTATGTTCGTCGTGTTTTTGGCGTTGTTATTCATTGTTGGATACTTAGAACAACGAAAAAAATGTAACTGAAAGCTTTTAACTAATAGTACTTATAAACTATGAAAATAGATTGAAAATGACATCGAGGAAGGCCAAGATTTTAGACATGCTGTAGCCTCTCATTTAGAGATTGAAAATATGAGGTTAGAAAATATATACCCAGTTGTGGATCGCCAATCAATAGGCAAGCACATGGCAGATTAAGTCTACCTTATTCGAACGTTTTATAATCGAATTGGCAAACGAAAAGCTTTAGTATGCTTAAAAATTGTTACTTTTTCAAAGTGTTTTCACATTTTGTACTATAAAAAATTTTCATAGGTGAAAGACATGCTGATCAGGAATTACTATCATTCTTCTATCATTAGAGAACTTCTACTGTCGCTTGCGCTGTATGAAATCAACATGAAGTCTTTTTTTGTGTTGCTTACAAACAGCTGAGATTAAAATTTACCCATCATAACGAGGCTTTTATCCAGCCAAACCGAGGCTCCCACTATAGCAAACCAAGGCTGCTACCTGAGTGAACCTAGACTCCTACTATGAAACTAACTGACGTGACTCACTACTTTTTATTTGAATGAGCCTAATCATTTCACATTGCTATAAAAATTTTGCCCCTATGTTACGGTTTTTTCTGCACTTCCATTTCGAGAACTCTTTTACTCTTTGCATTTAAGATATTATTGAATAGTAATGATATCTCTTTTTTAGCCACTTGTAAATGCCCAAGCCGCGTCTTTCTGAACTGGCATTCAAATCCACCGTATGTAAGAAGAGAACCTCGTTTAAAAGTTTCCGGTATCATGGCCGAGATTATTCAGGATATGATCCAGACTTCATGTGGTACCTGTAGTGGCGCTGCGCCATTCATTAGCTGGTATCAAAGCCTATCAGGAGAAAACCCAGTGAAAACTAATGAGCTCGGTGTTCGGCAATCTATTGGTCAAGAGTACCATATGTCGTTTCCAATATTTGGATCTGGCAGTAATAGCAAGTACATGGAAGACAATGCTTTTATGTTGCTTATCAAGTCGTCTGGAAGTGCTACTGTCGTAAAAAAGAAAGTAGATTATTCTGCAAAGACGAAGAATGTTCTCAAGTCCATAACCAATTTATGGCCCATGTATCTGCTGGTTGTCTGCCTGACTTTTGTAACAGGAGTGATTGTTTGGGTAATGGTAAGTTGATTCAAACAATTGTAGTCAGAAAAGGGATGCTCGAGAATGTTAGTCAAAATTAACTTTAATAGATGAAACTAACGAAAGAAATTGCAAAAATCTGTCTAATAAAAGAGTATTTTTGAATTTCACTCTTAACAGGTCATCTTCTTATTCTGGTGTTAGCTACCATAGTTGCTCTTTGCTTACAGGAACGGAAAGAAAACGAAGAATTCTCCAAAGGAAGATACGTTCATGGCGTCTTGCAAGGATTTTGGTGGGCTTTCATTTCAATGACAACTGTCGGGTAAGAATAACTTGATTTTCAAACGCAGCCTCTCCTGTTTGGATTTTAGTCCATGAAATGTTTTATCGCCATTGAGAACCAATAAATTATATATATTCAGGATGGAGGTGGTGGGAAAGTGTTTGACGGGTCTACAAAAGCTACACTTCTTATATAACTGTATAGAGCTGATCATTTTGCAAAGATAGTTTTGTGTTAAATGGAAAAAAATCCCCAGTGAGTAAATCTGTACCGTAATCTCTTTGATCTTCATAAAAAAACAGATTTTGTCGCAAGGGGGTGGAAAAAAGGAAAAAAGTTCTTCTCTTCATGACTGTCTTCGATTTCTTGTCATGCTTGTCCCCGTGAACGGGCTGGAGAGATCAACCCCCGGCATTAATTTTTTTTGTATTGTTTTTCTGATGTCTTGTACTTCTTTTTGCATGAATCGTGATTCAGTGAATTTAAGATGATACTTATAATAACGAATCAAATCAATTTTTGCTAGTTATGGTGACATAACCCCAAGAACATTTAAAGGGAGATTGGTTGCGATCGTCTGGACATTGGCAGGTCTTGTCCTCACTGGCATTCTTACCGGTGCACTTACCTCTTCCGTCACGTCAATGACAATGCCCCCTGCTGTAACACTTTATGACTCCCAGGTAGGACTGTGGTTTTCGTGACTTAAATTTGGATCATTTTTTTAAATACCTAGATCGTTTAATTGGAAAATCTTCCGATTCTGGAAGACTTCTTGATATCATTGTGTTATCATTGTTCACAGCTACTTCCAAATGCAATCTTTAAAGATTCCACAAGTCATAAAAATGCGAAACCTATGCACATAACTGAATTTACGCAGAACAAAAATAGTACCAGATTGGCATACACCATTTACAGAAATGTTGTAAATTTGAATTAATCTCCATTATCGAGAAGGACAAAACTGCACATAAGAATGTTAGCCTCTTAGAACAAGAGTAGCTAGCTATACAGCTCTATTCTGTTAGCAAAGAAATACAGTTTGCTCTTTGTAGTAATTCACTTTACCTTCCAGACTAGGGGGTCATGAGTAGTAAAACTTACCGACGAAGACAAAAATAAAGTAAAATTTAGGTGATATTTCACCTACCGATAGACGATTCTACCAACAACGGACGATTCTACCACTAGGGAATTTTAGCACCAACAAAAAATTTACTGACAAACTCATGAAGATTTGGGGGGGGGGAGTAAAGGCCAGCTAAGCCCCTATAAGTACTTTCAGACGTAAATGTCATCGAATAGAAAATCAACACAAAGACAAATAATCCTTAAAGTATAAGCACAATGCAATAAGGATATCTGCTACTTATCCTTAAGATTAAAACGATAAAACACATTTCTTAAATCAACTGCTTGAACAACAAGGTGTATTTTAATACATGCTTTAAATACGTATTGCACGTTCGGAGCACTATTTTCCTTCCCTTCATAAGCAGCAATTTTCTGTAGAAAAAGGTGTATAGGACAATATTAGATTTAGCATCGATCTACTCAATTCGACTGACTAATTGGCAAAATTTAAGTATGTTTTACAATGTTTCCTTCTTTCAAAATCATGTCTAAAGAAAGAACAAAAATTCTAGTGAATCAAATTCTCTTAGACATTTTTTAATTTAAACATTTTACAGTAAACTTTGATATTACAAAAATTTCACAAAAATTCCTGCAAAATTAGCATCCTTTTCCGAAGCACGATCCCTAGGAAGACCAGCATTATATATAAATTAATCTTTACTTTTTCTTTTTTAACTTAGTAGCTGATAGGGTTTCTGTGTATAAATATGATAAAATGAAAAATTCATCTGACGTTCTAGCCTATGTTCAGTTACTAATATCACTTTTTTATTCAATCACAGAGCGCCGCTGTAAATAATTCGTTTGAATACTTCCTTGGGGTGAGAAGAAACAGCAAAGTTAATACGAGTGAGTATCACCAGTATGTTATATGTTATAAGATAACGATTCTCTATGCCAAATTAGTATCCTCACAATAACATACAAAAAGGTAGCTTGGTGCTTAAGAGACCTGTTGCTAGAAGACTTCTGTTAATAACCTCCACAAAAATGGCATTTATAATTCAAAAATATCATTTCTCTTTTATTCAAACGGTGTATTTATCTGGTACCTATTTTCTCAGTATATTGATTATAACTGAGGAGATTTGATTGCAATAATATCGTTGTGTTGTAGGTGCCATTTTGCAAAGAGTTCATTTGATTTCAAGCTTTCGATCCATTTTTTCACTTCTGCCTTGGGCTGCAAATTACTGGGATATAAGGGGGTGTTACACCCCTAAATGATCAACATACGAAGTTCAAAACGAAATTTTGATGAAGTCAGTCCTCCTTCCAGCTTACTATAGCATATTCTACTTTGAATGGTAGACCCACAGTCCAAAGCAATTTTTTTTTGTGCCTCAGCTTTAGCCAAGTCTACGTCACAGACCATACGAAGTAAGGAAAGGTTTCGGGGCAAGGAAACTTGGGGTCATTGCGGGACAAAGCAATCATTTCCTGTTTGAATTGCGCAGGCTACTTTGTCCATGAGTTTTGATTTTTGCAATCAGACATTTTTGCAATATTGCAATTTCAATTGCCAAGACTGACAAATTTACATCAAATTCTGCCTCCACTTTGAGTTTTTGTTAAACTGAAAAACCTAACAGCTTTAGTGACCTGGAGCCTTTTTATGCTAATTTTAGCTCATTTATCTGAAACTGTAGTTAATTAATTTCATTTATCTGAAACTTAATTTCATCACCGCAGAGAAAAACTATCTGTCAAATGACGAAGTGCTCGATGCTGTAAAAAACGAAGAAGTTCAAATTGCGTTGCTTGATGCGTTCACTGTCGCAGCCTTGGCGGAGGAGCTGGTCTCAAAAAGCCTCAAGGTGACAAAGCTCATCGATGCAAACACTGGATATGGAATTGTTCTATCACATGAATTTGTGCGTATGGAGAGCGATTTTAGAAGCTACATCTCATCACAGAGCAACAAGATTTCCGCGTTCCGTACAAATATGACAGAAAAGTTACATGTAAGAAGCACAGCCATCTTTTGTTGTTTGTTCTAAGATATTTAAGAACTGTCGCTCCTTTCAAGAGGAATAAATTTAGCCTCATGCTTGGACAAAATTGGAAATAGGCTTGACAAAGATAGAAAGATGATAGAATATCATAATACAGTTGAATCCTGTTACGTTGGACCTTCAAGACACTTCTAATCTGATGGACACTGCTATTCTATAGTGAAGTTTTGACTTATACGGGGTACGAATTTTGACTTGAAGGGGTAGGAATTGGGGATTGAAACGTCAAAATTGGGGAACACCAATTGGGGATTGAAAATCAGTCCGACCTAGTGAAAGACCGAGCGACCCGGGAAGGACTTGACGGGATTCAACCATAGCTGTGTATATCTGACTTTGTTTTTGCAGATTTCATTTTTGACTATGATATGTTATATGAAGTAGCACACTTCCCTTAACATTTTTTGGAACAAGAAAGTGAAGATTTTGAAGGCGTTTGTCTAAGCTATACGATTTCTCTCGCGAATTTTCCGATTTATGTTTCGAAGATTTATTACGGAGCAAGGTGTTTCTGAAAGATTAATTAAAGCCAGTCGTGGTTAAAAATTCCTTAAGCTCACTAAAGAAAGACTTCGCTGGGCAAAAATTATATGTTTTTTTCTATGACTTGCCTTATAAACTAAGTATCGATTTACTCATTAGGTGGGCTGTCGATGGCACACAGAATATGTTTCTGGGTCATGAAGTTTAAAGCCTTGGGACGTGATCACATGTTCTATGTGCGCGGTAGACAGAGCGACAATAGCAATCGTTTTTATGCTGCTGTTGGCTCCTGCTGCTACTATAAACGCCAGAGCTTTATACGAGAGCTAGTTGTGATTTGTAAATAGCTTTTATATTTGCTTTGAATACAGAAAGTATGATTCTCGTATCCCTTTCCAGTCAGCGCAATCTAAAGTTGAAGCAGTACCTCTTCTGTTTGACCCATCAACAAAGATGTTCTGGGATATGGTCTCTTTAGAAGGCATCTTACTGCTTGTCTGTTCCATCCTTGGAATATTTTACTCAAGCTACAGGGCAAAGCGCAAAAACAAGAAAATCATTCCTACACACGGTACGTTGCTAATTTTTCAATCCTAAAGATGAATAATGTTTACTTCTTAACTTTTACAATGGTTCATATCTTCCAAGTATTTTTGGATATTTATTTCCTGATTTGTAGGTCTGGATACGAACCTATATTTAGTGTGCGCTGTCTTCTCAAAAATCGCTAATTTAAGAACACCTACCTTCGTTACCATAGCTATATAAATATAGTTTAGCAAGCTACAATCTTGCAAAGCTAAAATAAACGTCATTTATAAGCGCCAATGTAAAATTGAGCTATCATGATAATGCTGAAATACCTAAAATGCTCTAGCTTTGCAGACCGAAATTCTTTAGAACTAGGAAAGTAGTTGTTTAGAAAAATATATGTTCATATTCTGATAATCTTTTTAAGGGTATTAACTGTTTACTTGGCAAAGCAGTATTTTGCTTGTAACGAACTTTGATATTTTCAAATAGTATCATAAAACACAAATAGTTGCATTTCACACGTGACTGCCTTGTCAACCATATCCTCTGCCTTCTTCATCCAAATTATCCTGAAAACCTCAACCCCGATAAGCCTCCCTCCTCCCTCCCCCCCTCCCACGATAACTCCATCTTTCATTAGCTTGAAAAGTTTTGCATTCCGTTTTAACGGCCTTGACGCAAAATCGAAGTTAACAAAACTCTTCAAACAATATAAATCAGTCAAGAATCTCGAGAACATTTAAAACTCATTTTTCAGTCGTGCCAATTGTTCTTTTATTGCTAAAAAGTTTTACTTCTAATTGGAATTGTAATGTATTTTGGTGCTAAATTTTAAGGTTTTGTCTTTTTTGTAGAGGGTAATTGAACAAAAATGAAATTGAACTCTTCGGACTCTCGATATTTGGAACATTCGTTACTTAGACCATTCGCATCGTCTTCTTAGGGGTTTGAGTTACCGTTATGGTATTGTAGCTGTACTGGACCTTTTTATATATCTTCAAAGAACTTGATTGAGATCAGGGATGGCGCCAGAAAAGAAATGCTGGGGGGGGGGGGGCTGTAATGTCAGAGTGCCGACAGTGAGTGAACTACCAACAAAGATCTAATATAACACCATTTCCGCTGTGGTAATTCCAGTTCAAAAAATGAAAAAAAAACTGAAAAAAAAATCAAACAATGAAAAAAAATAAAAAAATCACAAAGTGGAAGTTACGAAAGAGCCGACATTGCTTAAAATTTTTCAAAAATTGAAGTGCCGACGGAGGGGCTCAATGAATTTTTGGGGGCTCCTGCCCCCCCAAGCACCCCTGGTGGCGCCATCCCTGATTGAGATGCATTTCTTATCAAGGGGCTGCACCTGAAAAGTGGGGGGGGGGCTATGGCTAAGAAGAAATATGGTTGCCAATCATAAACAATTATAGGGATGGCTCGTTGGCGTTTTTGACAAAGTATAGCCATTAAATCGTATATTTCCCTTCCAGAGATTCTTCTCCTGGAGATGGCAACTATCGATCACAACATCGCAGAATTTGAGAAAACAGTGAACGAAAAGTTAGAATCATTAAATAGTAAGCACTTTTCGCAATATTTAGAACTCGAACGAATGAAGGCAAACTACAAACGACTCCTGAAGCGAAAATACCCTGTGCACGTTGACTCGCAGGCCAACCGGAAGGTGTCAAGGCATAAACTATCAAACTATGGTATCGGTGAGACAGAAATATGAGGAGATTTCTTGTACGCTTTGTTACTTGTATTTTTAAGGAGTTTTTCAAAATTGAAACAAACGACAACTTCATAATTGAAAGGCCCACAGTTTTTTGTATAGAATGAATATTGACATTGATAATGTTTTCTGGAGTTATTTTCTTTTCATTAATACCCTCTTGCCTTTCGCAAAAGGTGTCTAGGAACGCAGGTTGAATTTCCCTTAAAAAAATATAGCTATTTACTTGCTGTACCCCTGTGCTAGTGAAGAAGATCATAAATTGCTAGCTCGAGCTATATCTAATTTTTAAAGGCCATCTGTCACGACGTTGATTGGTTATAAGAACAGAGGGATTTTTATTGTTTCCAGTCCCCTTGAATTTATCGCATTGTAAAAAATATGGCGGATAGCTGGAATCGTGTTTAGGCTATTGCTCCATCTATTGTTCTCGTTAACCAATCCACAACGAGACAGATTGCCTTTAAGCCAGTAATAATTTTTTGTTTTGATGTGCACAATTTGATTTATTTTGTTTAATATATCCGTATGGAGGTTAATCCGCTGGTTACCTAATGCTGGCTGTCAAAGAGCTCTGTATCTTAATTTTGTAAAAAATGACAAAAAAATCTAGTAGAAGACTTATTGCAAAAGTAAGCTACAGAAAATTTTTAAAATACTTGAAAAAAGTTCACAATTGTTAATAAAATTTCAGTAAATATTTTATATTGTACGAAAGATACAAATTTGCGGACTAGAAGTAATTTGAGTACGACTTTGTAAACCGTTAAATTATTCGAAGTAGGTACATTCAAAGTCGATACCGTTTTAATCGATGATTTAATACCTTAAGCAACTTTAAGTTACTATTTCTAACCTACGTACTAGTGCGATTTTAGGGGACGTTAATATCAGATTCCATTTTGTACAAGGAGAATGTAGACTGTCTACATTCCAGTACCGGATAGGGGGCACCGGGTGGTCAGGTTTTGATAGGATGAAAAAGACAGGCCAAAGTGCCATTTACATAAAGTTCAAATGACACCAGTTTCTCAATCATCAAGAAAATGTATATAAATTTATATTGAAATGCTCAATTAATTTTATCTCATTTGATTGTCATGCTACTCTTAAATCATACATTCTTTTTATTGGTCAGAAATTAGTCTTTTATCAAGATGCATACCCTAGAAGTAAAAATATAAGTTACGAGAGTATAGGAAGAAGTATTTTTTATGTTCCTTGTTCCACCCCTCCCCCCTGCCCCGTTGTAGTTCCACCGTCCCTAACACACGCCTTTTATTGTGTTTACTCATTGATTGTTTATAGATGTTAGTAGAAATATGATTAGTTGACAGAAGTATATTTAATTTCATTTAAAAAGGAAAGCGGAAAAAATGAGATTAGGCATAAATCAAATTCGATTCCTTTTACCCTATCTTCATCTCATGGCTTCATCAATGTAGCAAAAATTTCATACATAAATCGAGATTTTAGGACACATTTAAGAAGCAGCAGGAAAAGACTTTTGTTTAAAAGTCGGCGCATAAATCTTATAGCTACAAAGAAGCTAATTTTTGCCAAATTTCTTAAATATAAAAATATTTACAATGTAAGAAAAGAATATCAAGGGGTCGTGAAAGATGGTAAGTCAAATAAAACCTAATCTATAAATAAACCTTTTTTAAAGCTGCCAATGATTTGGACTTTTGAAGAGCCAACTCTTTATGCCTTCAACCTCTGCCTAAACAAATTCTCAAGGATGCCCCTAACACTTCAAAGTAAGGAACACAAAGCTACAGATTATGGTACCACGTCATTAGAATTATACTGCACTTAAGCTAAAAGAGGGCCATTTTCCCCCTGGCCTCTTTTCGTGGCTCTTGTCCCTTCTCTGTCTCAACAACGCTATTCCGAAATGGAAATTTTTGTTTCAATAAACAAAGATTTAAAGTATACAGACATTAGATTATATCTCCATGAGATTTGTTCACATTTTAAAATGCCAATTCAGCCAAAAAAAAACTATTCTGCGAGCACGGTGTGTGGTGGAACATACTGCATTATACTGTAGCCCTTTTTCCACTCTTGCGTAATAATTAAAGGTGTACAACATTAAAAATCTAGATAGAGAATAACGTTAGAAACGTTTAGTGGTTTATATCTGGCCATTCAGGTTTCAGGAAAGCCTCAAATTTTTGTCAAACTCACAAAGCTTTTCAGACTAAATTGAAAAAAGTTTTTATTTGCTTTCTGATTTTTCACAAATTCTTTTCAAGAATTACTTGAATATGTTAAAATATCCACATTTGACAAATACAAGACAATTCAGACAGGATCAGACAAAGATGTGCATTTCCCATTGACTCCTTTGATTATTCCCCTACATAAATGGTCGATTTATTTCAAATTCAGTTGGTTCTCTTTATGTTTTTTAAAAATAGCTTTTCTAGTCCTTATATATAAGTGTGTTATCAGTTCTCAAATAGTTATTTTGATATCTATACTTACATAAAAGTCGACCCTATTCTCAAGCTTGATGCAGTAGTGTTAATATTCCATGTATTATGCAAATAATTCTTCGGTGCACAAAAACAATCAGACCTTTTTTGTTTGATAATGTACAAAGTGTGAAAGCGTGCAGCATCTAAAATGCATTGTTTAAATTCGCGCCAGAATCAATGTTGCGGCAACTCGTAAACCATTATTGAGATGCAAGCGAAAAGATCGACTTGACTTTTCTTGTATCTTCTACAAAGTCTAACACAAATACTGGATTTATTACAAGAGATCAACCTAGTAGCAATTGTACTTTGTATAAGATATCAATTGTTGCTTACTTTTTTGGTCAAATTGAAAGCTTCTTGGCGTGATAAAGTTTCTATCAGAAGCCCGCCCGATGTCCAAACTGAACGACGTGTTTTGCAATTGGCTGCTTTGGTGGTTTGCTTGGTTGCATGCTTCGAAATGGGCTGCAGGATGTGCATATGAAACTGGTAAGCTTGCAATCTTCTTCTGTTTTGAAATCAATACTTATCAATAAAAAAGTTCGGATAAGCCAATGGTTTTGATATATGACTTTTGTACAACTGTGGACCTAACAAAGGCTAAAATAGCCAACCTTCTTTAAAGAATAGCATGGAAATACTTTTGTTCTTTAGAATTTTTATGTGTTAAACGACGTTTAGTTTCCCACTAACGCAAACGAGAAGTTGCTAAGATTTTTTCATTCACTTGTAATATAACCTTATTCTTAAAAAAATAGTTGATTTGCCTTAATGTTATAATTTTATATAATTTTATATGGTTTTGCAAATTGAGGAAAAGTTCTTCACTTTTTGACATCTTTTCAAAGTTTAAGTTCTGAATAATGTTCATCTAGAAAGAACTGTTGAAATCCTCTTTGTATAGCGAGATTTCAATCACACTAGCTTTACCTTAGTTGCATAAAATACAACTTGAGCTGTAGGGAGGCATGTATGAAAGCGCTTAATTTGATTGAAATAAGCAGAAGTGATTTATTTTTATTTATGTACTCTTAGCAATCATATGGTCCAACTACCCTGGGTACCAGATCTGAAAATGTGGATAAAAGAAGGCGTCCAAAACGTAAGGAAAGGCCTCTTTTCACAAGTTCTATAAACAAGTCCTTGACTTGGAGCTATTTGTCATTTTACTTTCTGTACTGAAGTTGAATGTATTTCAGTTAAAAAAAAATTGACTGACATCGCGTTAATTAATGATGTTGATGCGCGTTAATTACCAAACATTTAAAGATCTAGTCTCACAATTCCCGTTAATTTGTGATCGCATAAATTTGTTCCGTGTTATTTTGTGTACCGCGTTATTTTCTTGTAAAGTGGTAGATTTTTGGAAAAGTTTTATAGATAAAATTTTTCTCGGAATTTTACGCCACGGCATGTTAAAAATTAATATAAAACAGTTAAAAATTTAACTTTAAAGGGATGGGGGGGGGGGGCTTCAGTGCCGCTGTGCTTGTCTACCTCAACCTAGGCCCACTCAACTTAGGCCCACTCAACCTACTGTAGGCCCACTCAACTTAGGTCCACTCAACCTAGGCCCAATTAACCTGGGCTCAATAAACCTGGGCTCAATAAACCTGGGCTTAATCAAACCGGGCCCAATCAACCCGGGCTGACTCAACCAAGGCCCACTGAACCTAGACCCAATCAATCTGGGCTCAATCAGCCTGAACTCAATCAACCCAGACTCAATCAACCTGGGCTAAAATAATCTAGGCTAACACAACCTATGCTCACTGAACCTAGGTCTACTCAACCCGGGCCCACTTAGCTCGGGCTGACTCAACTTAGGCCCACTCAACCCGGGCCCGGAGAATAAACAACATCAGACACACAAATAAGTGATGGCTAATATTTCACCCCGGCATACGGCGCTTTATCAGGGGAATTTGTACCAGTGGGTTCCAGAACGTCAAATGGAGCAAGTTTTCCTCTCTTCTCTCGTCTTCCGCACTTTCCCGCAACGTTCTATTTTCTCGACGCCCCATTTGCTACATTTGACGCTCTGGAACCCAGGGTAAGGAATTTCGCAGCAAATTCCGGTCAAATCTAGAGAAATATCTAAATATTCAAAACAAAGTAACTCGCGACCAAACTATCCAAACAACATGATTTAATTTAACAGTAGAAACTAATTTAAAGATGAAGATTTTAATCCTGAAGTCCATCTTTGAGAAATATTCCATAGATAGCGAGGTACAAAATCAATGACGTCAACCCGGAACGGAGAATTTGCACACAAAAATTTCGGCTCGAGGTGTTGGTAATGATAATAATCTTATTCAAAATTTGTATACTTTCAATAGTAATATAATTACTAATTTATACCAACTATTTACAAAAATAACTTTAACAAAAATTAAACAAATTTAAAATTCTGGCTATTTACAAATCTGGAAATTAGACTTATATCGCCAAGCCAGTGCTTGATCGCTTATTTGAAAGCTGCAAAGTAAAAGCGATGAATTGTGGGACGATGAATTGTGTTGAAGTAAAGCGATGAATTGTGGGACGTCGTCTATTATGTGACCTGATATCCACCAATGTCGAAAACACATTGAATCTCAGCCCGTGTTGGACAGTGGGCGCATCTACGTTGTCAAGTTCAGTGGCAGCAATCGCTGGGCTGAATATCTATTTAGCAGCCATTTACGATGGTTAACACCGTCTTTGCCAACGCCATTTACAATCTATTCTCGATGGTAGTACATCAAATCTCCCGCGAAATATCTTAAGGATAATGAAATTCTGAAAAAAAGACGACGACAGCAAACAGAGACGTAAATTGGCAGATACTTTTGGGGGGGGGGGGGTTGAAGGGCTCAAAATTTCCGACTGACAAAGGTCAATTCTTTTTATAGTTTTTACCAACAAAACCTTATAAATTGTCTCGTAAATAATTATTCAGCTGTATGATAAAGTTTCTAGATTTCGTAAATTTGAAAGATCGAGCATAAAGACTGTTAGTTTAATTAGTGCATCAAAACATACGTAATCCAAAAATCAGGTGTTAATTTTTCTCCTTCTACGACTTGCCCATTGCTCCACTATCTTATCTAAATTTACGTTGTCCAAAATGTCTTTATCGCAAGTAAGAATCATGAGGTCGTTAAGTCTATCACAGGGGCGGCGCCAAGAAATTCAAAGTGGGGGGAGGGGGCTCGAGTTGATAGAATTATTAGACTAAAGAACCATCTCTTGAGAAACGCACTAAAACGATTCATGATATTTTATGCCTATTATTTTATGGGGCACTCATTATGCTAGCGGTACGTTTGAAGGGGCCGGCAGGAGGTTGGCGGAGGCCTTAGGGATATTCGAAAGAAGTTGCTTCCCTGCGAGCGAAGCGAGCAGAAAATTTTCACGACCACGCTTGTTAGATAAACTTAAAATACATTTCAGAATACTTCTTGCAGGTATTTTCTTGCAATCGTTTAAAATTTTTTTTTATTTTAAGGCATGCTCTTATTATGTTTGATTAATTACAGTCTTAAAATTGAATTCATTACTTTATGAGGCCCCATAGACCTCGGCGTATTCCTTGGAAATTAAGCAACTAAAGGATTTGTCGGATTTTTCTTTTCTTTATACTTTTTCCTTCACTCTTTTTATTTGCTTAAAAATACCTTTCTGCAAAAAAGTGGCGGGGGCCGCCTATGTTTCATCGGTCGATCTCGAACGGAGAAAGTTCTTGACAAGTTATAGGAAATGTACTGCGCTTCTTTAAGCATTACTGTTAAATATTATTTAAAAAATTATATTTCATATCCCGTTTTTAGAAGCAATTTGATGGAATGATTATCACACTATCCCCATTACGACGAATGTAGTTGAAAATACTTGCATTTTCATACAAAACTTCGTATTTTCGTCGCCTCTCATTCTTTCCAGGACTGCCTTTTATCAAACAACTTATACCTTTCTTATGCTTCTCTTGAGCTACAGTTCACAAGGTCATTTGAGTCAAAACTTCAATTTTCACAAATGATTCAAATTTTTTCCGATTAACCTAGCTTTCTACCAACAACTTTAAATTTTCCGACTGTCACACCCTCCACAACCCCCCCCCCCCAGTATTGTAAAGGTCTTACGCTGTATTGCGCAGACTTATGCGAGAGGATTTCATGTGAGAAACGAAGAAATAAGATCTTGTTCTTTGCTTACATTCTTGTTATCGTGCTAATCAAAAAGCCCTTATTTACAAAATCTCATGATATTTATACTACCGGCATACAATAGATTAATTAATGATTGACGTAAAACTAAACGAGGTACAAATGAAACCGAGGTTATACAATATAAGAAATATCCTGTTACAGCCTGCCCCTCCTAACGAAAAAAATGCGAATACAGTGAGAATTTTTTTTTTTTTTATGATTATTACGCGATACAATTGTGATTACAAGCTTGTTAAATGTTAGTATATTTCTCGTACATATCAATATTTAAGGATAAGATATATGTGCCCCCGTGGGAACCACCCTCTAATTGAAGATAGGGGCATGACTTTACAAGGCCACGAAGTTTACCATGTCTACTTAAAATATCACGAGAAGCAGGAAATTGCTCGTACACAAACCTACATGCTGCTGAGGATATGGCAGACTTAGTTGGTAACGAGAGAAGATAGCTAGCAAATGTCAAACCAACATTACTTAAATCGTCGTTACAAAGCCGTGATAAAACCTGAGGGGGGGGTGTCAGAAGATGGTTCAAGGACAGCATCACCCTCTATACGTAAATCACCGGGTTGAGGGTCGGGGACAACAACTACTTTCTCTATGTTAACTGGGCGTGGGAAATCGATTCCTGTGGCAACATTGCGCAGAGAAAGAAGGTCAGCGCGATTATATGGATGTCCTATAACAAGAAATGGACCGTCAAAATTCCTTATAAAGCGCGTAGCTTTGCCGTCCTTAGAAGTAGTATGGTCCTTACGCATGTAAAC